AAAAGAGGAGCTCTGAATGTGCTGTGCTAATCAACGTTTCGCATTAATTGCACGTAATTGGTCGCAGACACGCAACACGCAATACATTTTCACTGCTATGCATACAGCTATGCAACACAAGTTACAAAAACTCTTTAAAAGTATTTTTATTTTATTTAACTGTAAAACGACATGAAATCATATTTTTTTCGATACTATAATGTGTAATATGTGTAAATATTGATTTATTGATTGTATTTTGATGCGATAACAATTTCTGGAACATACATGTGAGTTTTTTCACATTTTTAACTGGAAATAAGTGTGGAAAGTGTTGCATGTGGTGTGATAAGCGTATTTTATCAGCGATTACATTTCACTTTTAATGTTTTTTCATATTTCACGAGGTTACAATGGAGCAGTTTCACGCATCATCGATTTTTGTTTTCGAACGTTGATGTGGTTTAATTTATTGTTATTATTGTGCGTTTTGTGGATATTTTATAAAAATTCAATTTAATATTCATGTGATTCAAGTATTCACATCGAAAATATTGTTAAATTTGATTATTTTTAGTTAAAAACTGCATTGATGTGCCATCTATGTGATATTTTGAAAGTATTGTTGATATTTGTTTGTGTGTGGTAGTTAGATGAGGTGTAGGTGTGAGAATAAATAGCGGGTGTGGATTTAATTTAATATTTCACCCCTAGATGTCGATAGGATGCAGTTATTTGCATTAAATTCGCATTTATATGTTTCGCGTTCGCTACAGTGAAGATTTGTGTTTGTGGTTGTGAGTTTACCTGGAGTTAAATGGCAAGAGTAGTGTCCGTGTGAGATCACGCCACTTTGTGCAGCAAAAACGTTTGTTTACGTTTGAACTCGACTGATAATCAGGTTGGCATCGTGTTTCTATTGATATACTCGTATTTGTATACACAATAAAAATTAAAAATACAATGTTCTATTTTAGTTACATACTAAATTTATTCAACATTTTCAATGAAATTAATAATTAAATCTTGATTTTTACCGATTTTCTTGTTTTTGTTGTTTTTATGTTTATTTGGTCTCTAATTGCAATATTTGATGATATTTAATATAATTTCAATGTTTTTAATTGATTTTAATCACGTAATAATAAATTATTGCAATTTTAGTTTTTAAATCATCGTTAAATTGTGATTTTTAAGGAAATTATTGAAAAAAATTGAATATCTGGTCATTTTATTATGTATTTTTTTTTTCTAAGAATGCTTTAGTAATTAATTTTCTTTAGTTTTATGTATTAGCAGCTCACAGTTATAAATTGTGTATAAGTTGTGTAAATTTAACAAAAAATACAAGCCTACAAGATCTCAAAATGAGATTTGATTTGCATAAATTGCGCATGAACGAAGGAAACGAAATAAAACGAAGTAAAACAGAATTAAATCAAACGAAACACCTGTGCTCACACGGCATACATTATTACACATTATTCTACTTCATTATACACTACATTTATTATTATTTATAAATTAATTTATATTTTCTTTCAAAGACTCGTCAAACGAGGTTTCATCATCAAATAACAATTAAATGATTCAAAATTTTATTAAAGAGAAATTACAATAAGCAACCCAATATTCAATATATGTATCAATAGCTATAATACACGCAACCAAACATACAAAAACATCTTTCAACCGCATTTAAATCACTTGCAACAAATGTGAAACATTTAAACATTTAAATGTCAAGAAATAAAAGCAATTGATTCATTTACTCTTAACTAGATACTTGTAATACCTTCTTAAGTAATACCTTCTCAATACATACTCAATACTTAATCTAAAAGACATTAAAAGTGAGGTTAATGGAAACATTTTCACCTCATTGCAAACACATTTGACGTTCGATCAGCATTACAATTAGTTTTCTGCGCGAAGTTGTAAAACTTCTCTCGCGTCTGTGCGTGCGATAAACATTTAAAAGCGTAATTTACTTCGGTTTATCAAGATTTACAGATAATGTACCTGTACTTGTGTACATTAACAAGGTGTGTGCCGGTGTACGACGCTTTGAATAAGAAAATAGACTTTGTGTGAGAATTGTAATTAAATGTACTCGTAATTAAATGAAAATCGATTTAATTCAACTCGAGTAATCAAAGATTAATTAAGTTTCGAAACATTGCTCGTAAGCAGAGATAATAAAACTGAAACATAAACATGAATAGTTTTGTTTTTTTTTTTGTTTTTTGTTTTTGTGTGGTGTATAAAAGGTTCTTTGAAATTAGATTCTTGATGAATAGAATAGTATAGAACAAGAGCAGGTCTCTTTAATTTAAAAACCTGTTTAATTGTAGACAACACAAAGCAGGAATTATTTTGTGTTTTGTTTTTTAATGTGGACGCACACGGAGTGAATTTGGAAGGTTTCAAAGAAGACCCTTTACCTGATGTTTGAGGTGCGTAAACAGAGGTTAATGTTTGCTTGCCACCCTAAGAGTAAATATTAACTGCAGTGCGTGACTGTGATTATGATATCAAAGGTTTTTAACAGTTTTTAAAGCTTTGTTTGCGTTTTGTCTAGACGCAATAATATAGTGCAACTTTAATTCATTGTAACTTGGATAGTTTAAGAAGTAGGATATTGAGCAAAGTGTTGTATGGAAGAGAATTTAATGTAGATTATATTTATGTTTAAATAATAAAAATAACTTTAAAACTGTTAAAGATATAGTAAAAAATGTAAAAAGGTAATTAATAATTGAAGGCAATTACTATCTCAATTTTAATTAATTATAACCCGACCATTTTAAGTCATAGAATATTGGTTAAAATATTATTAGAAAGATAATTTAATATAGATTATATTTATGTTTAAACAATAACGTTATCTTTAATATTATAGAAGATACAATCAAAAATGTAAAATGGTAATCTATAATTGTATGCATTTTTAACCTCAATTTTAATTAATTATAACTCGACCATTTTAAGTCATAGATGATTGGTTAAAATATTATTAGAAAGAGAATTTAATGTAGATTATATTTATGTTTAAACAATATCAATATCTTAAATATTGTAGAAGATACAATGAAAAATGCAAAAAATTTCAATATTTTATTGCATCTTGCATAATAGGCAACTTTTTATACATAAATCAATATCCCTCTATTAAATATCAACTTTTGTTATAAAAAACCTTAATTATTGTTTACTCTCTCAACCTTGACTTGCAAATCTACAGCCCCAGGAAACTTTTACTAACAACTCCATCAAATATCACTATAATTATTGTTTAAACATAAATAAATAAGCAAAAATTACTCCTAGTGCATAACGAAGTAGTGTTAAATAAATAATCGTAAATATTTAATAGTTTAATGCATTTACGATTACCTACAATGCAATCATGTTTGTTGAATAATTCATCAAGCAATAAATAAATAAATATGCGAGATAAAACTGTAATAACAACAGTTAAATGCAAAATGCATACATTTTATGATTTGATTTACTATAGGCAACTTACAATGCACTCACACTAACGATAGCTCACAATATATCCATGAATATGCAACCAAACATACTTTTTCTATAATGAGCGCTAAATCTACGCAGATTATAATTACCATTGACATTTGTAATTAATTATCGAAACAAGGTCAGCGATTAAATTACTGATTGCTGATCGGCGATTGCCATGCGCCGTGTTTAAATAAATAACGTATCGTTTAAAAGATTTATTGTTTTTCATTGTTGAAACATGATTTATTCGTCTGTGATAAGAACAGCGCCATTTATTTCAACTTAACCTATATTTTTAGAACTTTAAGTTGTATAGGAATATAGGCAACCCAATTTTCTATATTTTTATAATGGAAATATTAAATTGTTTATGTATTTTAAGATGAAGGGAGTGTTGTCAGACCAACCCAGTTGTCGTAGAACATAGAAAAGCATTTTATTAATATTTCCATTCGATTCGCTTTCGAATTGTGCTCAAAACAACAAAAGTGAAATGGCCGCGGGCTGCCAACACTCCTAACCTCTCGTGATTGGGCAATAAAGCCGATTATCACGTTTATCACGAAGAACAATCAACAATTAATGTTTTGAAATCAATTTTTTACTTTTATTTACATTTCTATGATCTGCGCCTACAATTTTAAAATTCTTCAATTTTAATTCATTATAACTTGGTTAATTTAAGTCGTAGGATTTTGTTTAAAGTATTGTTCGAAAGAGAATTTAATGTAGATTATATTTATGCAAAAATATTGTTTATAACGTTAAAATTGTTGATGATACAGCTAAAAATGTAAAAGTTTTTATATTTTATTGAGTTGTGCATAAATGCAACTTTTATCTCAACTTTAATTCATTATAACTTTGTTAATTTAAGTCGCAGGATATTGTTTAAAGTATTGTTTGAAAGAGAATTTAATGTAGATTATATTTATGTAAAAATATTGTTTAAAACATTAAAATTGTTGATGATACAGTTAAAAATGTAAATGTTTGGATATTTTATTGAGTTGTCCATAAATGCAACTTTTTATCTCAACTTTAATTCATTATAACTTACTTATTTTAAGACGTAGAATTTTATTTAAGGCATTTTTAGAAAGAGAATTTAATGTATATTTTATTTATGTTTAAGCAATATCTGTAACCTCAAAATGGTTAAAGATACAGTGAATAATTTAAAAAAATTCATATTGTGTTGTATCTTGTATCATAGCTAACTTTTTAACTCAACTTTAATTAATCACAACTTACTCATTTTAAGTCGTAGGATATTGTTCATAGCATTTTTAGGAAGAGAATTTTATGTAGATTATTTCTATGTTTAAACAATTTAAATAACTTTAATATTGTTCAAGATACAATGAAAAATGTAAAAAATTTGATTAAATAATTACACATAAATTAAATCTACTATAACTCCATTCCTAATCAATATTTTTTAATGATTTAAACGTCAAAATACACTTAATTAATTGCTTATTCAATTGTTACAGATTTAGCAGCTATTCGTCGCCTCCTAGACGCCGAAACCGGCAACCTAAACTGCCCGAGTTGTGCGATGCCGTTCGACAAAGGCAAAAAGCGTCGTTTAATTGACAACTGCGGCCATGAACGTTGCTATTCATGCATGTTCACCAACGAAAAGTGTCCACTGTGTCATCCCGGCAGTCTTATCCTTCAGAAACCAAGTTATTTATCGCCCACAACTCAAACAGATCGTAAGTAATTTATTTTTATTATTTCGAATGTGATTTCTAAGAAAAGCAATGAAACAATGTCTAAAATTACATTTTACTGTCAATTATCATTAATTACTTTAGTCTGCGATCGCAAATATGCTAATAATCTAATAGTTACTTATAAATTAGCGCTAAGTAGGTCTTAAACCGAGTTGAATCTATTTAAGAGTGCAAAAACGTGACATCATAAATAACTCAGCGTTTAGCATACGTGACGCAAGACGTAAAAACGTCTGAATCAATAAAACATTAAACATCGGAACGTCGCGCCATGTTTTATTTTATTTTATTACCGAGTATTCTATTGCGCATACAAATCGACTGATTTGCATTCGATTTATAGGCAATTGCGAATAATTATGTAGTTTTAGTTGCCTATAGTTGAATTTTAATGTTTCACTGGTTGCTTAGTTACTTTAAATTTTAATTTGTTGTAACTTGGTTAATTTAAGTGGTAGGATATTGATTAAAGTATTGTTTGAAAGAGAATTTAATATAGATTATATTTATGTTTAGATAATTTTAATAACATAAATATTGTAGAAGATACAGGGAGAAATGTAAAAACTAAACTTTTAGTTGCAGCCAACTTTTTACTTCAACTTTAATTCATTATAACTTACTCATTTTAAGTCATATAAAATTGTTTAAAGTATTATTTGAAAGAGAATTTAATGTAGATTGTATTTATGTTTAAACAATTTCAATAACTTGAATATTGTAAAATATACAGGGGAAAATGTAAAATTTTAACCTAAATTCATAAGCAACTTTTAACTCCAAATTTAAGTCATTATAACTTGGTTAATTTAAGTCGTAGAATATTGTTTAATACATTTTTGGAAAGAGAATTTAATGTAGATTATATTTATGTTTAAATAATTTTATTAACTTGAATATTGTACAATATACAGGGGAAAATGTAAAGTTTTAGCCTAAATTTATAGACAACTTCTAACTCCAAATTTAATTCACTATAACTTTGTTAATTTACGTCAAAGAATATTGTTCAAGGCATTTTCAGAAAGATAATTTAATGCAGAGTATATTTATTTTTAAATAATATCTCTAACCTCAAAATTATAGAAGATACCGCCAAAAATATAAAAAATCAAATACAACTTCTTCTATTTACATTTTTAGTTGCCTATAGTTGAATTTTAATGTCTCTCTGGTTGCCTATATCAAATTCTATTGTTTCAGTACCAACGACGCCATTACAACAACGAAAACTCGGCAATTCAAGCCTCCGAGGCTCCGAAATCACCCTCTACGGTGAAATAACCCCGTCATCAATGCAAAACAGTATGACCAGCAGTATTACCTCATCCGGGGGCGGTAATCCCACCGGAAGTTGCCGAAACAAAGTGAAAACCAACGGCCATTTCACAACCTACATGCAAGCACGTGATATGACCTCTTCCATCGAGATGGCGCACCCGGAAAAACTGCCCAAAACACGCCCAAGCAATGCAAAGAACTCAGTAATGACACAAAGCTGCCCCACGCCGCCCCAATCACGCCGGCGGTACTTTTAAGCCCCAAAGCCCTTCGGAGTCCATTTGTACAACGAGCAGCCAGTCGTCAAACATCCGCAGACTCCGCATTTTCAGGTTAGTTGTAATTTAAGGTTAAAAATATTAAAGTAGACATTATTTGAGGTTAAAAATAACAAAATGGTGACTGAAGCAATTTGAATCATTCACACCTTCATGCCAGACGTAAAAAGCAAAACGCCGGGTTGAAATCGCCGTCTAGACGTGCAAAACATAAAAGAACGCACGCGTAGGACGTTCTTTACATAGAACACATGCGCATTCATTGCGCATGCGCATACAACTCATCTCTTAAGTCTTGTTATTTTTATACTATTTAGTAAATCGAATGTCTTCGTCGACTACTTCTGCATCGGACGCCAAGCACTGGCCGAGTACACTTTTAGGGAAGATTCGGTCGCTGTGGTCAGCGGGGAATAATGGGATTAATACTGGACTTAATCAACTCATATCAGGCAGGGGACTTAACCTATCAGATGCACTATTGTTTGTTTTTTGTTTTCTGCACGCGTTTGTGTGGATTCTGCATGATTTAACACTTTGCATAATTAACACTTACTTGTATGCATCGGGAGATGTGAGGAGTTGAGATGTGGAGGTTTTTGACCTGTCGCAGACACGCTAGCTGCCTGCATCTTGGAATGAATCTTCATCGACGCGTTTGGTCATTCATCACGACGAGGAAAGCAGCTTTCCTAATTTGGACACAGCATGTTATTAACACACGCAGATGATACTGAAAACTGTTGGTTTAAGGTTATGATGCATTAGGAAGTTGTTTTTATTATATAATTAACTGAAACTAACCTTAAAATGTAGGAAAAGCGGTTAATTTGAGAAGTAACTAAAGGGTGCTAGAAAATATCCCTAGGTGTACTAGAATTTTACGTAGGCAACTTTCAATACGTAGTATTTCTATGTATTAAAGATTTTTAAAAGTTTTTAAGTTTTAATTCATTATAACTTTGTTGTTTTAAATCGTAGGATGTTTTTAAAGTGCAGTTTGATAGAGAATTTATTGTAGATTATATTTATGTTTAAACAATATTAATAACTTTAATATTATTGAAGATACAGTGAAAAATGTAACAAATTAACCTATAATTATAGGCAACTTTTTACTCCAACTTTAATTCATTATAACTTGGTTAATTTAACTCCTGGGATATTGTTTAAAATATTATTTGAAAGAGAATATATTCAAGATTATTTTTATGTTTAAACAATATCAATAACTTTAATATTATTGAAGATACAGCGAAAAATGTAGCAAATTAACCTATAATTCTAGACAACTTTTGACTCCAACTTTAATTCATTATAACTTGGTTAATTTAACTCGTAGGGTATTGTTTAAAGTATTATTTGAAAGAGAATTTATCGTAAATTATATTTATGTTTAAACAATATCAATAACATTAATATTATTGAAGATACAGTGAAAAATGTACCAATTTAACCTATAATTATAGACAACTTTTTACTCCAAATTTAATTCATTATAACTTGGTTAATTTAAATCGTAGGATATTGTTTAAAGTATTATTCGAAAGAGAATTTATTGCAGATTATATTTATGTTTAAATAATATCTCTACCTTAAATATTCTTGAAGATACAGTGAAAAATGTAAAAAAATTAACCTACACTACAAACATTGCACTGCAGCATGCATTATAGGCAACTTTTGACACATAAATTCACTCTTCTCTGCATTATAACCAACAAAAACTAACCTCACATAACCAAACTAATTAATTTTACAGCACAGGATATGATTTTATTGATGTTTGATGTTTTGCACCCATTTTCTCTCCAAATCTCTCATTCCCCATAAAATTATCATCGTTTTTACTTACAGACGATGATTGCGCAGACAACAAACCCTCCACAAAGAAATCCTCCGAAGATATGTACATGCGCCTTGGTCTCCTCTTGGGAGACGGTGCCAGACGTGCCAAAAGAAACGGAGGAAGCGCCGGAGCAGATTCCTGCTCCTCCCTGGCAAGCTACGACACAGGAGCTGTCATGTCCACCAACACCTCCCCAGTCTCCACCCTTACAGGGTCCTCTGAAGATCAAATGCGTATTGCTGCGGGTTCAGACAGCGTCGGGTCCCTGATGTCAATGTCCATGTCAGGACAAAGCAACTGTTCATCCAGTCCTATGATTAGTAGAAGACACAGTGTTACAAGTAAGTCTAAAACCCTAAAAATCCATTTTAAGGGTTCTCATCATCAATATTTTTTATTTCTGATAAAAACAGCAGGACCTGTTGATGACCTAGCAATGTTCCAATCACGACGCACCTGTGTCCGCCGATCTGCACGCACAGCAAAGGAACAATCAAAGACCTCATCAATTGAACAACACCTAACCCGCCTTCCACACTACCGCCCCCCACAACTAACCCTCAAACCCTTGTTCTTTGAAGTCCCACTCCAGGAACCAGATCCCTTATTCCTGGGCCGTCAGTGGTTGATCAAAGAAATCAGCGAGATTGTTACTCATTCAACACCCGGGGTCCTGTTATCTGGTAACCCTGGAACTGGTAAAACTGCTCTGATCCTCCAACTGGTCGAATACAGTTGTTTTGGGCGTCGGAAGGAGAACCTCTATCAACGCATCGAAAAAATCCACTCTCCTGATCGGTCAAGGTCACCTTTGTACTACCAAGTGGACAACCATCATACCACTGATAAACTACGCCAGTTGGCTAATCAAGTGGTTGCCTACCACTTCTGTCAAGCAGATAACAACAACACCTGCCTGGTTCCTGACTTTATTCACTCTCTAGCTGCACAGTTGTGTCAAGCGCCATCTTTGATTGCATACAGGGATCACCTCCTGAATGAACCACACCTTCAAGGTGCCCTTTCCCTTAGGGAATGTATAGTCAACCCTGATTTGGCTTTCTGTAGAGGTATCCTTGAACCCTTGTCGAGTTTAAGACGAATTGGGAAGATAGACACTCCGAATTGTGTTATCTTGGTTGATGGTCTCTGTGAAGCAGAATACCATAGACCTGACCATGGTGACACCATCACTTCTTTTATTGCGAAACACATCGCGCAGTTTCCTTCATGGTTGAAGGTCATAGCCACGGTTAGGACACAATTGTCAGAGGTTACTAAAACCCTTCAATTCACAAGGATATCCTTGGATAATGTCATCAACAATGAACACCTTCAAAGGGATATCTTGGACTACGTCAACTTCCGGTTGAGTAACAGTCCCAGTATACAAACCAACATCACTGCGACCAATGTGGTGAAAGTGGATGTCAACCAGACCAAGTTCTGTCAACACCTTGGGGGTTTATCACATGGGTCCTTCCTGTTTGCGAAGTTGACTCTTGATTTGTTGGAAAGGGGACACCTGGTTGCTAAATCCAGTGGGTTTAAGGTCTTGCCTGTGACCTTGGCACAGATTTATCTTTTACACTTCAATCTGAGGTTCCCTACGGTGAGGTCCTTTGAAAAGGTGACCCATATACTCAGTGTGTGCCTGGCTGCTTTATACCCTTTGACCTTGGTTGAGATTTACTATTCTGTGAATGCCCTTTTGGTGGATTCCTTCCTCCCATGGCCTGAGTTTCTTCAGAGGTTCAAATTACTCTCTGGGTTTCTGGTTAAACGTCTGGACAACACCTATATGTTCTTCCACCCTTCATTCAGGGAGTGGTTGATTCGTAGGGATGATAATGAAAGCCCAAAGTTCCTCTGTGACCTACGTGCGGGTCATTGTGGGATAGCTTTCAGGTTATCCAGAGTCCAAGCACCTTTAGACTCAGAAAAGACCCTGGAGTTAGGCCATCACATCCTAAAGGCCCATGTGTACAGAAACATGACCCTAAATGAGTTTGATTTGACCTCGAGGGATCTACAAGCTTTCTGGTTAGCCCAGACTTCCCAGGAAGTCTCAGAAGGTGTTAGTAACCTTAGAAACATCTACAGCCCCAATGTAAAGGTCTCCAGGTTACTGTTACTCTCGGGAGCTGACCCTAATCACATCACAGAATACCTAGGCAATGCCCCCATACTTTGTATGTATGCCAATGAGGGTATACAATCAATGATCTCATTATTGCTGGAATTTGGAGCTGATGTGGACCTTACCAACAGTCAAGGTTGCACAGCATTGAGTTTAGCTGCGTCCAAAGGTCATTGTGATGTGGTCCGGTTACTAATCAGCGCGGGAGCTAAACTGGGACATGTGGATACCGCGGGTCATTGTGCGTTGATCCACGCTGCACGTGGGGTCACCTGAATGTCATGGGGTATCTCCTAGGAGCAGACTGGTCCAGTGAATCTTCAGGGAATGAAGAAAGTATCAGTTTTGATGAAGCTACCCAACAAGCGTTGGTTGCAGCTGCAGGTCAAGGTCATACCCAGACAGTAGAATACCTCCTGGATATCATCCCCAATTTGGACACAGCTTGTTCCCTCACAGGAGAAACAGCTTTAACCATAGCTGCAAGTAATGGTTGTCTTGAAGTTATGTCCCTGTTACTAGAAAAAGGAGCAGGGTTAACCTCAACCAACAAGAAAGACATGACCCCTTTATTACTAGCTGTCAAAGAAGGTCATGGGAATATCGTGGAACTCCTGGTGGACAACCCAACCACAACCACCACATCAGGATTGTTACTGGAACAATGTGATAATCAAAGAAGATCTCCTTTGATGTTGGCAGCTTCCGAAGGTCATGCTTTGATTGTGGAACTGTTGTTAGACAAAGGGGCGATTTTGGAGAAGGAAGATTCCGATGGTCTCACAGCCCTTTGCTGGGCCTGCCTCCGAGGGAAACAAAACACCTGTTTGTTATTACTGGACCGCAACGCGAATATCAACCACACAGATAAAACAGGAAGAACTCCTTTGGACCTAGCTGCTTTCCAAGGAAACCCTGCTATTGTACAACTGTTGTTAGAACGAGGAGCTATTATAGAGCATGTGGATATCAATGGGATGAGACCTTTGGATCGTGCGATTGGTTGTAGGAATATTCAAGTTGTTCAGTGTTTCCTCAAAAAGGGAGCTAAATTGGGGCCGGCTACGTGGGCAATGGCGCAGGGAAAGACAGACATTATGTAAGTGGTAGCTCTTACAACATAACCTCATTTATATAACCTATTTTTGCTTTTTGCAGGCTTATCCTGTTGAATAAACTCTTGGAAGATGGAAATCTTCTCTATCGCAAGAGTAGACTACGTGAAGCTGCTCACAGGTATCAATATGCCCTGAAGAAGTTCCCTTCGGAGGATGAGACTGCTTTCAGGCAGTTAAAGTACAATTTCCTACTGAATCATTCAAGATGCAAGCGGAAACTCAATGTAAGTGTGTTTATATTCAATATTTTGATTGTTTTTAACTTGTTTTCACTATTTAGGAGTATCAGGAAGCTGTAGAAATGGCAAACCAAGCTCTCGAAATGAAATCAGACAGTTATGAAGCGTATTATGCTCGTGCTAAAGCTTTCCTTGACTCAGGAGCACCAGAAAGAGCTCTGCAAGATGTCAAAGATGCTTTGAGACTTGTTGCTACTCATCGACCAGATGTCAGGAAGGTTTTACTGCATCTGAAGGATGAAATTCAGAAAACTGTTGCAGCTATGCATAAAAACCCACAGAGAATCATCAGTAACAAAGAATTTGCTCTTTCTGTTGATACTCTGCATGAATAGATAAACAAAAATTAACAATGTGCCTTAAAATATCTGTAAAAGACTGAAATGCACTCTAATATTCATTGTCAAGCAACAAAAACACTGACAAAGTGTGTACATACATTTTAAGATTAATTTATTGTTATATTTTGTTTTCTCTTTGAGGAAAATCATGTAATCATTCCCACGAAACGCCTTTCTTCTAATTTATGACTGTAACTTAAATTTTATTTGTTTTGTTGTTTTGTTTTTGTTGTATCTTATTATGCTACGCTTTAACTACTTAATTGAGGGTCAAGGATGGTTTACACTTGACTTCTACATTACTTAATCTTATTAGAATATTATTACAACATAACTTTTAGTGTTTATGCTTAGTTTTAGTTTATAACTTATGAAACTTGCCTTTATTGTATGTATTGTATTGGTTTATCGATTGATCTAGGTTAGTTTATCAAGTTTTTGAATAATTTTTACATATATGTAGAAATTTGAGTAGTTTCAATGGTTCCAATTATCAATGCAATATTATTTGTTTTATTTTATGCTTTAGATAAGTTATTTAAATGCTATGTATGCTATGATTTTTATTGTAAAGCAGTAAAACTGCTGTCATCAAAGGATTTTTGTGCAAATTATGAAAGATTGTAGTTTTTATGAACAATTATGAGAGTCTGGTGCTACAGATACAAATGTATGGTTTAAATGACAATGTAGATGAAGAAATATAAACATATTTGAACTTATTTTGTGGATTTATGATTCAAAGAAGTGTTTTGACACCTTGGTCATATTTTGGTTAAAAAAATTCAAAAAAATATTGATTCTAAACGTTTTAAGTCCAAGCCAACTAAACATATGACTTTATACTTATAAACTATTGAAATATCAAGTTATTTTTACATAGATTACAGTCTAATTAACAGAATTTTAATTTTAATCAACCTGTTGCTTGTCAAAATTTGAAAATTTTCAAACTTGTTTTTTGTTTAACAGGTTTGATGTAATTAAACTGTATCATGAGACATGTTGCATGTTTCTAGGGTAATTAAGGCCTTGGGAATTCAATTTTCTAGCTCAAATTGCTTGTTTTGATTGATTTAATTGAGAATTTTATATAAAACTTCAATAAATCGTTACAAAACATATGCGTTTAGATTTATTTGTTTTATTCATTAATTAGGACATCTCATTATCAGGCCAAGCAATTCCAAGGGTTTATTGATGCCATGAATCAGTTTCTGCAGTTAAAATTACGCTATCATCAGTAGTTAATTAGTTATTTGCATTTTCTTAATTGTCGGCATAACCTCTTTTCGCAATTCAGTCTTTTGCATTTATTTCGATAATTACAACATTTTGCAGGCTAAATACCATTTAAAAATGACAAATATACGTGTACAGTGTTATTTCAAATAGTTAACAACGGTTTTTATTGTTATTAACAATGTTTTGCATAACGGCAATTAATAAACAAAATAATTTATTTTCAGCATAAATACGTAAGTTTGGAATCTGAAACTTTGTATATACCTATAAAAAATATTATCCATCATATTTCATTAAAATTAAGAGGTTTAGAGTGATTTTTAATTAATTGTTATTTCAAATTTCAAATTAAATTGACGTTCGGTTGGTCGAGTCGGCATGAGTCGAGCCGAAGTCGGGTGGGGAGGGTAAGGCTATATATAGGACCGCGCGCCGATCGCCGCTCAGTCGTCGTTTTTTTCTGCTCGAGTCCACATCACTTTGCTTCAAGAACAGCGCCCTCTATGCAGTTTCATTCTTCTACATGAACTAAAATTTGACATGGTCAATCAAAATGGCCGTAGTATTATAAACAAAAACATATTCAGTAGTAATTAACAAAAGTTGCAGTTTTCGTAGTGGAGTTAGGTAACAAACTTTAGTATTATCATATTCTTTACAGATTATCATATCATCATCATGAAAAAAATAATAAAAAAATATAAAACAAAAAAAACCGATGTTATTGGAGATGATGAACCTTTGTACATGTTGCTTACCCTTGTATGTTGCTTTGTTTAGTGTTAAGGAGAGATGAGAGAAAGAGACTGAATGATTATCGCGAATTCGAGTAGACTAGTATTAAGGAGAGGCGAGGGACTTTCGAGTAGAAGCCGGTGGGCCTGTTCATCGTGTTCCTTAGTGTAAGTTATCGCCGGAATTTCTATTTTATGTTCATCGGTCCTAATTTGTTTTGCATGATCATTTATAGGCGTGTAATTCCTTCGTGCAAACTTTTCTTTAACGTTGCTCGCGAATTAGCTTTTGAAAAGGGGTCGTGCCCTGAGGCCTATCCCCAGTCACTTGTTAGGGAAAGTCCGTTACGTTGAATAGTCGCGACAAAGTATAATAAGAAACACTAGTGAATGGTGGCAGTTAGAAGATTCCCGAGGGATGGTGGTGCCGACCAACCAATAGACGAGTAGCTGATTCGAGGGTAGAGCCGGTCAATCCAATTAGACGCGACTTCTAGCATCCTACCAGCGGTGGACAGAAAATACCAAGGCCGGATAAAGGTAGGTGTGGTGATGCTCATGATCGGAGGGTGCTGGCGATCTTGATGAGCATTTCCTAAGGTCTAAACCATTGTAAAACCCTTATTACGGTCGTCATCATGTCCTTGGTTATGCGCTATTCCACCCAGCTTTAAGAAAGATCGGTGACAAGTAAGATAAAAACTTACATTCAGTATCTTAGGGGATTCCGTGCAAAACAATTCAAAGTTTTGAAAATTCAACTTTAAAACCATAGTACTGCCATCTAGTTCCAATAGAGAACTTATAACCTGCGGCCTTTCACTTCAAAAGTTCATAGTTAACGTAGGCTTACAAATATACGCTTAACCAAACGGTTATTTCATAAGTTTTCGCCGTTAGATCAACTAGTATCACAAAGAGTACAAGTTCAGGTTAAACAAGCGTTAATTAATCAAGAATCAGTCGATATTATACTTTAAACCATCAAACAAACAATTAAAACCACAAAAACAGCGTAATTACAATCAAGAAACGAAATAACAAGATATAGGTTATAATTGTACACAAATTATCAGCGAAAATGTCAGACAGTCATGATTCCACTGCTGATAACGCAACCGAACAACTACAACTGCCTCCAACAAGCGGCCTAACACAAATCGTCCCACGCCAAACATTCTCAAGAAAAGAAGAAGAGTTAATGCTCAAATATATAGTGTGTCACAGTCTTTATGACAATTTAAGAATGATGAGCATGTGGAAAGACATGGCTAAATATTTTAACAATGGCAGAACTGCTGAATCTCTTAGAGAAAGATTTCGCCGTTTTGTCATTCCACAAATCTATACTTACAACATACCTAATGATAAAAAGAATCTGATAACAGTTGGCTTGGCCATGAATGTACAAACAAGGAGAGGAAACGCAACCGAACAACTACAACTGCCTCCAACAAGCGGCCTAACACAAATCGTCCCACGGCAAACATTCTCAAGGAAAGAAGAAGACTTAATGCTAAAATATATAGTATATCACAGTCTTTATGACAAATTAAGAATGATGAGCATGTGGAAAGACATGGCTAAATATTTTAACAATGGCAGAACTGCTGAATCTCTTAGAGAAAGATTTCGCCGTTTTGTCATTCCACAAATCTATGTTTATGACATACCTAATGATAAAAAGAATCTGATAACAGTTGGCTTTGCCATGAATGTACAAACAAGGAAAGGAAGAAATGATATGAAACAAGAATGAATAAAATGGTGTTTAAGATAGCATAAGATGAAATAATATTGTGCCCGCGATTATAATTTAATTATACTATATTTGAAGTAATGAGAAAAATTTAATTTAACATAGGCAACCATACTTACACATTAACTCTAGTTTGACAGATCATAAGTTTACATTTCTCTTAGTTCCTTTCACAAATCGCGTTAAAAGTATAAAACCAACTCGTTTCAATCGCTTTTAGGTCATTTTCCCATCGCACAATCAATGTATCACTACACCTTCGAAAGCATTCGTGATTAGACTTATTCAGAAGCCAAAAATTGCAAATTCTCAGAGGCTAAGAATAAGCACCTAATCATGAACGCTTTTCAGGTGTGTAGAAACACTACGGATGCCGTACCTCTGTACCTCCCTCAACGACTTTATCTTAAACCCAGCGCAACGATATGGATCTCTGTACAGTTATCTTACAAAACCACTGGTCAGACAATCATCCATGGAGAAATGATTCAAAAACTGAAAGATTTAATCACCCCGGATGAATTTGCAAGTATAAAAGTAACGCGAACGGCTGTAGATGTTGTCCGGTTTGAAGCTGAACTCGAACTGGAAGCATATGTACAACGTGTGCTTTGTAAGCTGGATAATAAATATATCAAGCTGCAAGATGTCACACAATTGCTCAAGGTGAAAGCCTGTGAAGCAAAGACTGATTTCCCTACAAGACATGAATGGGATGCGTATTTTCGCGATGCTAAAGATATGAACGAGATGAAATTCGGGGAAAGACCGGATACTATTCATATTTCTAATTTACCAACGCGATGGTTTGTTAATGAGAAGTTTAACTCTAAGGATAAGGATGTCCTTCCGTCTGAGAAGTTGTTTTACTACGCGTTTGAGAAATTCGGTGATATACGCCACGTGGATATTCCAATTTGTGATCCTTATAGGCATAAAATGAAGGCGCATATCTCGGGAATACAGAATTCTTCGTTTGATGATTTGCAATTTTTTGAGGGATATATACAATTCAAAGAGTACATGGGTTTTGTTGATTGTATGAATGCTCTGCGAGGGAAGAAGTTATTGCATAAAGATCGTCTAGGTGACTCGCAAATGATTAAAATTTTCGTTGCGTTTGATAAGAGTAAACATCTGAGTGAGGCTGCTATCAGACGGAGGGATATTCTTAGAGAAAGATTGATTTTGAGACAAAAAAGTCGAGAGGAGGTTGAAAGGGAGAAGTTGGAAGCTATACAGAGGAAAGAATCGGCGGAAAAGTATAATATTCAATATGAATTTGAATATAATTATAAATAAAATGTTTGTAGACAAAAAATTGATGATATAAAGAATGGTAAAGAGCAAAGACGTCGACAACGTGAAGAAAAACGTAAAGCTAAGATACTTGCACAGTTAAAAGACCAAGAAAAGAATGATTTTAATCAAAAAATAGCAAAAGAAGAGAAAAAATTGCTTATTGTACAACGCAGACTTGAAGCTATACGTTTAGTAGAGGATTTATTCAAAAGAGTCGAGAGTAAATTAGATTTAAACGTAAACAAACCAAAAAAAGAAGATTTGGCAATAAAAGATAATCAGGTAATGATAAAAACATAAATTACACAGAAAACACATCGAATGTTAATATTTTTATAGTTAAAACGTATGAAATTGGATTATGAACAAGAGTTCTCTTCCCAACGTGAAAAACTAACGAAAGCAGTTGAAGGAAGAGTTATCTTGAGGTCTATTGTATCTTCCACTGCAAAAGAAGTTTGTAGCGATGAAGAATCATCAAGCGCTGATGATTCTATCGGTAATCCCGAGCGGGATGCCGAGAAAATATACCCAACGCATCCTCTGAATGTAAATGGGTGGTATCCATATTGGCAGAATCCTTTAATGGCTGCCGCGGCTTACAGCGCTGTCGCACCGCCATATTACTTTCCTCATAGGGGTAGAGGTCATCCAGGACCTTCAGGAGGTATTTTATTAGAGTTATACTCAAGTAAAGATAGAAAAATAAGAATAAAACATCTTTAGGTAATAGACAATTCCGTGGTGGACGTGGAAGAGGCTACAATCGTCCTTACAGGAATAAATTCCACACTGAACGATATTCAAGGTCAAGATCACGATCAAGGTCAAAATCAAGATATTTATATCGAGATAGTCGCAGTAAATCACGATCAAAATCAAGATCAAGGAAACGCCGTTCGTATTCAAGGAGTCGCAGTAAAAGCAGGAGCAGGTCTCGTTCCAGATCATATTCACGCACAAAACGCCACACATCGAGAAGTACACGTTCTAGATCTTAAGCTTTTAAGTAGAAAATTAATTTAATCCTATGATATACATACTGATAAGACTCTGGTATAAAAGTCCAACATTAAAATGAGATATTTTCGATTTGGATCCTCTCCTTCTCCTGCAAACACGTCTAGATAGCACCAATTTTAATGTCTTAATCCGTAATACTTGAGTTAGACTTTCATGCCGCTAATACCATGCGTTTTCGGGACATATCCGTAGAGAAATATCGAAAATATTACGAAACCGGCGCCCAACGCGAATTGAAATGTTAGCACAAAATCAAACAAATACATTGATGCCACACAGGATATTACAATCGCGAGTGAAGTGGCGAATCCTTTGAGGATATTATCAGCGTATTTTACAACCAACGCGACGATTAAACCTCCACAAGCTTGTAAAATGATTAAATATTGCACGAAACGATCGTATCCGAAGAAAAAACCACGTTGATTGATGATGTGGCCATCGGAGACGAAGCAAGTTAATAATCCGAATGGGATTGAACATAATGAGAGCTGGATGTTACGCATCCAGACTGTAACATCGCTTCCTTTTAACATTTTTCGAAATAAATCCCTGCGAAACCAGATAAGACGCATGCGGCTAATGCTGCTGAGAAACCAAGAAAACGGTTTTGTTCTTGTCCATTAACACTTGCAGAATGCCCGCCATCTGTGTGTGCAAGTTGTACTAAGACAATTCCCAAGACAAGTGTTAGTAAAGACATCCATTGGGTTTTTAAGAGTTGTTTGCGTAGAATAAACACGGCAAACATTGCTGTTGTGAGGATTTTCAGTTGGTATGATACCTGAGAATATAATAAAACAAGTATGATTATAACCTATATTTTGGTGATATAACCTTAAAACGCTTAAAAATTTATTTACCTGGTAGGTTGCAGCATCTAAATGACTTGCAGAAAGATACAGGAGGTTGTTTTGTATGACATAGACAAATGATGGCACACAGACCTTTAGAGTGTCTTTTGGTTGTTGAATTATGTTGGTTTTTATTGCTTTTAATAAGCCATCAACACCATCAGCTTGCACATAGACTATAGCTAGACATGTGACGAGTTTTACTAGTTCGGACATTAATACAGCTGGAAAATATTTAATTTAAAATTAATAGGAATAGTTTAGGTTATAGTTTATTATTACCTGTTGAGGATAGAAACATATCACCATCTCTTGTTCTTGCATATCTCATGCTCAGTCCCAGGAGTGCATTCTGCACTGTGAGTGTTACAAGGCTGATGTATTTAAGATTATTGGCACTTTCAGCTCCTTAAAATAAAAATAAGATAGAATAGAGTCAATGCGACCGTGAACTACTTGAAGATGACTTCATCCGATGATCAAGTCTTCATAATTTTAGTTTATTGGTGGAAATATATGAAAGTTTTTAAGATATTCGTAAAACTCACCCATTTTTCGTTCGGAATTTGTGTTTTCGTGGTGATTCTGCGTGTTTGGGTGGTATTTACATAGTAATTGCGATAGTTCGGCGCGTAGTTTTTGCGGTGGATTTTGTTTACGTTGATTTGTCGCAAAAATCGAACGCGAACGTATATACAACAGCACTACGTGTGGTGTTGTGGCAATTTGTTTAGCTTAGGCTAGGTGTAAATGTAATATACACTGGATTGTGTATGGATAGTGGACGTGTCAGAGTTGGGATTTGAAATGATCATGTATATCATGAGGTAGATCATAGATATTACGCGTATAATAGACATAATTCAGGTTGTTACATTGAGAAAATGTAATAAGGAGAGCGAAAGATTAAGTTATAAACGTGTTACTCATTGAAATTATTAAATTAATCAATCGTTTTAATGTGGTAGAGGTTGAGGAATCGAACTTAGCCGCAGTTTTCTCAATGCACTTTCTAAATTTATATTTAGAATCGTAAAGAAATGAATGTCAACTCATGCACACTGCGCATAACAATACCTCGTAACAGTAGTTTATTAAAAAATAATTACAGTTCTTGGTTAAACATGAGAGTAAATTACTCACAATGCATCAATAAACATTTGTTTACATCAAATTATTCAACAAAACTGTAGGAGAGGAATATTAATTAATATTAACATAATCAGCGTTTCTTTCCGGAAAATTTCCGAACGTTTTTCCCTGTTTTGACACCTATGGGCCGGAAATCGCGATTCGACGCATTAGTTTTCTCCTGTCTGGTATTCTTACCTTTGTTGTTACCGAATTTATTATTTCTGCCATCTTTATTACCAAATTTACCACCACCACCGCCACCACCTTGTCTATTCTTATTTTTATTAAATCTATCGCCATCTTTATTAAATTTATTACCACCCTTGTTAAATTTACCGTGGCCACCTTGGCTGTTACCATCCATACGTGGTTTCTTTTTAAACGCGTGGAAAGTCTTGGGTCGTTGAAACCCAGTGGTTTTCGAACTGAACAAATCTCTGTCTGGTTCTTCTCCGACTTCTTCTCGGTAATATTGCGCATCGTCATCGTCATCTTCCACTTGCCAATCGTCTTCACCCTCGTGTCTACGTTTCTTCGGTCGTTTAACTTCTGAATTTTTATTTTTATTTGTTTCTTCATCATTATCTTCATCATCACCTGTTTTATTCTTCATACCCTGTAGGGATTTCTCTTTGAGAACTTCTTTCGCGTGTTCTTTACGTTTTGTATTATCATCCTGAATCTTTTTACGCTTTTCTTTCAATTTCTTCTTTGCTTCACGCGATTTACGAATAGCCTCCTTTTCTTCTTCAGTCTTCTCAATAAGATCATGGAAGAGTACTTCACCATCCATTAAACCATCTTCTATCTTGATTAACTGTAGAGTCAGACGTGGGCCGAGTTCGGATAATCTGATCGCGGATTTTCCTTGTTCTATGTTTCCACGCGTCGCCATTTTCTGCGAGAGAGTTACATGCGCATTCGGGTCATCTTCAGCTTCACTTTCTGAGAGTAATCCACTTCTGAAACATTTAATTTTAAATTAAAATCAATAAAACTAACTAAATTTCATCACTTACTTTGTCAAAAACTCTGAAATATCTGTACACTTGGAAAGATTAGGTACTTTTCCTCCCACAACTTTTTTAACACCTTTGGAAATCCCCACAGGCATTACTTTGATGGTATAATGCCGAAAGTCAATCATTTTTGTATCAGTGACATAGTTTAACATCACCACTCTTCTGACTGTATTCAAATCTACTTTCTGTAGATTAAGTGTGGGAAACATGTTTTGAAACATGGATGCCATCAACTTAAACTGCATTCCTTCACCTGAGAAATTATTCAGGACTATCAGAGGTGAATGTTTGAAGGCTTCATCAACAACCAGTTGTCTTTTAAGGCTGGAAATTACATCTTTGGCTAGGGAAAATGCATGGACTTTAAATGTTAAAGTTGGACCTCTGGGGATTTTCCCAAGTTTCATATACATTCCATTTTCTGTTCTTGAGAATATACTCAAGTGTGTCACGTGTAATGCGCCTGCAACATGTACAAAATCTTTGATTGTGTTGTTTTTTCTTTCTTTGAGTGCAGAGGCTGTGAAAGGCTCCATAACTTTGCGAAAATCTTTTGTAAGTTCTTCTACAAAGCCTCCAGTGAGTCCTTTGTGGATCACAAACGAATGTGGAGCGTTTACAAAGTCATCTGGTTCTTTTAACACGTTGAGATTGTTTCGGACTGATTTTCCTTTACGTTTACGGCCCATTTTCACTTTTTGTATAACTTGTGTTCTGGTGAAGTCTTGTAATAGTAAGAAAATGTGTTTTTATTGGGGTTATGTCTATTTGATGCATGTAAAGTTGCCTAACATACTAACAAAACATGTTCAAATTCAAATTTATTTATTTTCTTAATAATTATTCCATGGAATGTCCCATATCTGCACCCCACCCTCCTTGGTACCCACAGCAACCACCGAAATCCTCCCACTATGGAATGCCAAACAAGTCAAGTAAACATCATCATCTCCATCAGTTTCTTTTTCATCTTTAACATTCATCAACTTCCCATTTTTTGCGTTGTAAAAATCAACTCTACCACTACCTCCGCACGTGGCGATTAAATTCTGACTATACGGTACCCATTTCAGCACAAGCGTATCATCTTTAGTTGCGATAACATTCCCGGGTTCTTCTTCACCCATGTCATACACTCTAATTTCACCATCACTTGCGCACGACGCGAATAACTCTGGTCTGTCGGGTGATAACATAATAGAAGTAATCTCACCTTCATGCGCACGGTAATATTGAAATACAGGATCAGATACACGTACTTCTTTGGTACCTCCTGGTAATTCTTTGGTACCAAAACGTGAACATTGTGCGATTAAGCCACCTTCAGCCGCGACTATAAACTTCTCCGGGTTATGCCTCGAGAAATCAAAGGAGACAATCCCTCTGTCGACTTTTTTACTGATAGCAGCCGGTGTTTCACCTTTACGCTGCAATTTACCGAATAGCGGTGTTTTTATCTTGAATTTATCTTGTAATTTCAATTCATTGCTGCCCATATTAAACCCCACATGTTTAAACACCCATCGAGGCTTCCAGATGCTAGGAGGTGGTTTTTCTCCGATTCTAAGTCTTCTACCCAAGCTACCTTTGTTATAACACCATCATGTCCACTTGTCTTGACCAATAATTGCTCGTTTTCGTCGTTTTGCGTGTTCAAAATGAGTATTTCACCTGTGTAAGACCCAACTGCTAATATTGGAGGCATTGTAGGGTGATAACTGATTGCTGTGATGCAACTAGGTGTCTTAATCCTTATCATTTTGTCCTCTGTGTCTTGGGAACCAGTGAATGTGTGTATGAAGATCATTCCAACATGGTGACACCATGATTCATGTGGTTGGACCACACTTATTGCTAGTTTCTTTCCAGTTGCATTCCAGGAGAGACCACTGACAGATTTAGCCTTTTTAGAAGTAAAATATTAATTATTTTTGTGCTAAAATTACTATTTAATGAGTTTTCTTACAAAATCTCCATTTTCTACTGTTAGTTTAAATGCAGTGAGTAATTTAGGCTGGACTTTAGTTGAAGGACCATCAGCTCGATGATTCTTGAATACTTGGGAAGTGGCAGCTTCATTTAATTCCTTGCTTACTTTCGGGTATAATCTCTTGAGAAAATCAGCCAGTCTCTGCTCATCATACTCAGGTGGTTTTAATTCCAATGCATCAGTTTGGATCTGACATTTTATAACATTTTACTCATATTACATTATACTTCTTTGTAAAAATAGATTTACCTCTGTATTTGTCCTAGAATTTGTTGAAATGGACGCAGTTTCACTTGTAATGTTAGCAGTTTGTGATGAACCTTGCATAGTCACCCTAAAAATAATTATTTATTATATTAATCACTCTAGACTCTAGAAATATTTAATTTTTGACTTACTTCTTTACTTTCCATTGCGAATCAAAACCCACGGCATCTTTAGGTTCATTCACGTTGAACATTACTTTCTCTGCCATGATTTACGAAAAATATTGTGTGTAGAAACAGTTCTTATTAGTTTGTTATCGTTGCCACGGTTATGTGTAGTGTTTGTGTTTATTCAGTTGCCTAGCAACGTTTTTTACTTCACATTTCATCCACTAACTTTAAACTTCAAAATTCGACATTTTAAAAATGTATCCACATCGTGATTATTACCGAAATCAATCAACGATCCGCTCTTTACCAATCGCAATCAAAACCTCAATGGATAATAATTCATGGACATCTGTCCTCGTGGACAATCCGCTCGAAAATGAAGACAATCAAGAAAACATTCCTTTTGGTGAACTTCAAAAATCCCGCCGACCTTTGAATCCGATGGAACAATGTGTCCGCTATGAAAACCCACGAAAAACCATGGTACTATCCTCAAAGAAAAGTGCAAAACTCTGGTCAGTCAAAAATGTCTATCACTTATCTTCCACCCATCAAATATTCTTCATTACCTCTTGATACCTTATTTATTAATCTTTTGGTATACTCTTAGATGGACTTATTTTCTAGCATATTACTTTGCTATTTTGAATGATTTAATATTTTTTGTTTATGTGTCGGTTATCTGTCGAAAAAGAAAACGGTGTGTTGAATGGATATATAACCTCATTCTAGTGCTACCAATATGGTTTCTCTACGAAGAGATAACATATAGATTAGGCGCTAAATTTATGATTGGTGGTGTGAATGGTTTTGATGTTGGTTTCTTCATTTGTAGATGTCTAACATGTCCGTTTCGGTTATACTGGACAATACATCCTTTAAAAATATTAAAACTCGGAGAATTATCTCGTCTGTTATTTATTTTGAGGTTAAGTTTAATTATGTTTCTTTTGTTGCACGGTAGCAGCGTCATCTGGGGATTGATGATTATAACCTACAAACCTACTTTTCAATATCTAAACACTAACATTTCTACTGTATCTTCTTTTTCTGAAGGTTATCCACTGGCTTTACACTTCATAACCTCAATTATGACCGAAAACTCTCATTCAGGTCCTCGGGAATTACTCCCTAACATTTTCATCATTGTTATTTCATTAGTATTCTTAATATTTTTATTATACGCTATGGCTTTTATATTTCTTGATCGTGAACTACGAAATAAACGACTTATTAAACTCCAACACTTTACTCACACATTAAAAATCCACCTCAGACATCGCGGATTATCATCTTTGATTCGTAAAGTATCTGAAAATCACGAAAACGTTGAAATAAACAAAAAATCAGTCGCATTGGATGAATGCACAAGTATCCTACAACAAGTCAACTGGGGATTAATACAAGACGTTTTATTCGATATTAATTTACCAGCGTTGAAAACCGGCGTGATCCTAGGGGTTAAACACCCTCATGCCGATTGTTATCTGCGTCATTTGTCTATAAAAATGCGTAGGGAAGTCTACAACGCCGGCGAGACTATCTACATCGTAGGCAACCCAATCGACAAAATGGTTGTCTTAATTGAAGGGCATCTTGACATCCTCGCGGAGGATAATAAAACATCTATGGTGTCACTTGAACCTGGTACTTGTCTAGGACAAATCTCTTTATTACTTTATATGAAATGTAAAAGTACTATTAGATGCCGCACGCATGTCAGAGTTGTAACTCTAACAAAAAACGCGTTTTTATCAGCGACGTTAAATTCATTCCCGGATGTCTATCGGCAGATATTAAAAACAGTCATAACCCAACTTCAAGACAGTCGAATACGGAATAATACAAGAATGATGAAACCACCACAGTATGATATAAACATCGCAGAGAGAGCGAATAAACAATTATACAAAGTGTGCAAGATAAGCAGTAATTTAGTATCAAGAAAAAGCGCAAAAGTCAAGTCGAAAGTCGGTAAGGTAGATCACGACCTAACCTTGAATTCTATCTGGAATTGTATGATGGTTATCGTCAGTGTCATTGTCGCCATTTTCTATCCGTATTATGTGGCGTTCCAGAGAAAATTCCCGAATGATTTTAAATATTTCGCTTTGGGTTTGGATATATTAATTGTCATTGATTTAATTCTAACGTTGATAACTTATGATATGCCCAAAACTAAACAACGGCAAGTAAACATAACCTACTTTTAAATTAACCTTCAATAACTTAACATAACCTCATTTATAGAGTGTTTTCATGGAATGGCCGTGCATGTTTAACTCATATCTGGAAGAAACTAAACGATTGGTCTTTTTATCTCGATTTTATCTCAGCGATATTCCTGGAACCTTTTACTTATACTTTACATGGATACGTAGAAGATGAACAAATAACTTTTTTATTTTATTTATTGAAATTGAACCGCGTCATCAAAGTTTACAAGCTTTTCTACTTTGTATGGTCGATTAACTTCTCAAATGACTTCTACAAACGTCTCATCATCCACACTCTAAGTTTATTCTTTGTTATTTACTACGGAGCAGTTGTTTTATATCTGGTGACATGCTTCCAAGTAACTTGCTCTCCCTACGGATGGTTTCGAAGACTTAGAAACCACGAATTTCGTCTTGGTTTACAACAACCACGAACAGATAATCCATTTTTATGTTCTCTTCATTATTCATTACTACATGTGCATTTGTTGACACTTAACCTACAAATGCAGACGTCTTTGGAATTAACCATAACCATGATTATGGTTTTATTGGGTTTCGCATATTTTGGTTTCATCTGTGTGGATTTAGCAAGTTTACGATTTCTACAACTCCAACAGTTGGTTTTTTACAAACGAGACTTGAATGACATGAAAATCTTCTGCAGGAAACATAATATTTTCAATAATTTAGAAGGGAGATTGTTGGATTATTACCGGTTACAATACAAACATGATCCTGGATACTTCTATCAGTATAACTATAGTAATTATATAACTGTTTCATTAAAAAATGAGATATTATTAACCGATAGACTGGAAACCCTAATGAAAATCCCACTTTTGAATACTTTGGGGAAGAAATTCTGCAGATTCTTAGCGTTGAAATCAAAGATTTACTTGATGCCACCGGGAGATGTCGTTACTTACCTCGGCAACATGAATAAAGAAATGTTAATCTTATCTCAAGGATATTGTCGTGATGATCAAGGCGATATTATCCACCCTTTACATCCGAATCTTACTTTATCTCAAAATCTACGACAAAGTGAAAATTTAGAAGAAAAAGAAAATACACAAACACAAAAAGAAAATTCCGGTGTGGTTGGAATGGCGTCCCTGTTATTTAACCTTCCTGAAGGTCACACAGTGTTTACAATAACACCCTGTGTGTTCATCTCGGTTGATGGCTCTGCTCTCCAGCAAGCATTGAGATATTATCCTAGATTAAACAATATCTTATCACACGTGTTGAAATCATCCGCTTTTATGGAAGCATCTCGTTTTTCTCTTGAATTATCTCCTTCCTCTAAAGATAAAACCGAAGAAAATAATTTATTCATCAAGTTAAAGAAGTTTATCACTCGAAGATCATTTATTAATGTTTTGAATTACTGCATGGTAAGAAAAGAAGCTTATGGTGATCCATTGAGAAGTGAAGAATTGGCTTCTATGCGATTCTGTATGATTCCCATCAGTGTTGATCCTCGAGGTGTTTTCTTTTACACTTGGGTTGTGTTAAGAGCTGCTGTTTCGTTTATTATCGGAATAACTACCCCGTTAATGTTGATATATTATACAAGTCACTTTGAGGGACATTTTATGTTGTATTTGAATGTATTTTGTGATGTTGTGATTATCTTAGATTGTTTTTTGTTGTGTTATTTGGCACATGAGAAAAAGAATGGGATTTTAGTCGTGCATCCGTATAAAACATTTCTGAATTACGGTGGACGTGGGATGTTGATTGATTGTATTCTTATGGTTCCTGTGGAATGGTTTTATTGGATGTCTTTTGATGATGCAAGGGGTTTTGCTTTGATTAGACTGTTGAAAATTGTGCAGGTTTATAAGTATTTTGTGATTTTATTGAAACCGAAACGATTGGAGATGAGACGTTTGACTAGGATTATTGAAGTTGTTAAATGTATTTCTTGGATGATTTTCTTGGTTAATACAGGGGCTTGTTTGTTGATTAGTTTGGAATGTGTTCCTGTACGTGAGAAAAACAGAGCGTTTTTATCTTGTGATGAAGATAGTTGGATTATGAGAAGTGGGATTTTTCAAAGTGAATATTTTCATGGTTTGCTTCTTCCTTTGAAAAAAGTTTATTTGTTGTCGTTTTTCTGGACGACTTGTCTAATGTTTGGTGTGGATTTTGGGCATTTGCAACCCCAAGGTGGATACAATTTGATTGTTATTATTTGTATACTTGTGGTTGGTTTGTTTCTGCGTGGGTATAATTTAAAGTCGATTATTTCACATTTTGTGGTGACTTTGAATGAGATAAATAATATTCTGAGGATGATTGAGTATCAGCAGATGATGCGACATCTTGAGAGGTTTTTGGAGAGTGAAGAACAGATTGATGCGAATATTAAGAAGAAGTTTAAAGATAATGCGATTTATTTTTGGCGGATTAATCGTGGAGTTGATGTGAGTTTAAATATTTTTTATATTAAATTTAGTTTATATTTTTATGACGTTTAATTGTATATAGACTACTGGTTTATTAGCAAGATTACATACGACGTTGTTGCAAGACACTTTGTGTTATTTATACGAAGATGTCCTGGAACAAGTGCCGTTGTTTAGGAATATTGAAAGGGCTTTTTTGAGAATTTTGGTTTTGATTGCTAAACCTGTACATTTTATGCCTCAACAAGTTATTATCAATCAAGAGGATATTTGTGAACATTTTTATATTGTTTTTGATGGAATGGTAATAGAAATAACTTGAAAAATATTAAAAACAGTTCAGTCAATAATATTTAAATATTTAAGGTGCATATTGAGTTGGCACGATCTTCTTATCAAGTAGATATATCAAGAGGAAGTATTTTTGGGCATTTTTCAAAGGACAGCACTCCTGTGATGTCTATTGTTGCTACTACCGTGAATTATGTTCATTTGTTATCATTTAAATCGATTGATTTCTTTAATATTCTAAAGGTAACACTTTTTTAATTTAAAAATAGTACGTAAAACAATATAGTAACAATGTAGCAATACAAAACTGGTATTTTTCAAAACGATATTTGTTATTTTGATTTAAAAAATACCATAAAATGCGATCTCACCGACGAAATTCCGGTATTGAATCAAAAGTAATTATAATTATGAATTTTGACATGAGATGGCGCAACGGTGCACTTCTTTACATTAAATATTTATTTGTTTACTCCGTGAGTGCACATCGTGTCGTCCTTGTGATAGATATCTCACGCTTAGATTGCAGTAAAACTATATTTGATATACGTGCGACACGATTTTTAAACAATAAACCAAATATTAATACTTTTAGAATTATGCGAAGTTTGATATTGAATTAAAAAGCGTCCTGAGTGAATATAAAGATTTCATGCCAAATCGCCAAGTAGAAGATGGTGAAGAAATTTATTTTACTGAAAATTGGAAAACCGAGACACCAGTTAAACAAAAATCTGGGCTGATATTCCAACGTGTTGGTTTTACAAAACATTCGGTAAACCCTTATAATTAAAAACTAATTCAACACATTTTCAAACTAAAATATAAAATTTTACGATTATAGATAAGATATTGTCAATGTTAGCATTCTTGAACGCGTTGATAATACCGTTGAATATTTTACTGCATCACCAGATAATTCTATGCATAATAATACTAATTGATGTTGTATTTACACTCGCCTTCGGTTTAGAATTCATTAAACCTTATTACAATGACGATGGACAATTGGTAACGTCACTTAAAGAAAGAAGAAAGCGAAATCTCAGTGGATATTGCAAATATTTACGACTTTTTGAACTTCTCTGCATAATTATCATCATTTTGTCGTACTTTATGTACTATTATCCTTTGATTCCATTGAAATTAAGCACTGATAGAAACAATTTTGCTTATTTACGAATTGTGGCATTGTATAGATGTCACTACATCAGTAAACAAACATTTGAAGACATAGAAAATGATTTATTCCTACCGAAATTAAGTTATATTATTATTTGCTTGGTAATTGTGCTTCATTGGACAGCTTCCGGTTGGGTTATAATAGAAGAATATGAAAATATAAATAAAAATGATGAAAAAGCAAGCAAAATAAGTGAAAATAGAAATATTATGGTTAAATATGCAGAGGCATTATTATTAATGGTGAATTTGTTAACCGGAAGTGTAACCATTCGAAAAATATTCCACAATCAATGGGAGCAAGCATTAATGGCGGTGTATATTTTCGCATTCATTTTATTCCGATGTTTTCTCATCGCCAAAATGATTGCTTGTTTATATATCAAGTTAAAATCTACTTTGGCGTTTAATTATAAACTGCATCAACTGATAGCGTATCTGCAAACAAGTAATATTAATTTTTATCAAGTGAAAATACTTACTACGTATTTAATTGAGATGGAAAAACGTGAAATGGGTAAAAATGTAAGTTTTACATTAAAATTTCTATAAAAATATTAATTAACCATAAAATAATTTTAGTTTCCGGTTTTGTTAACTCTATTCCCTTCTCCGTTGATTAACGAATTGAAATTTATTCTGTACCGGTCATTATTGGAGAAATCTTATGTGTTCTTCGGCACACAAACGAACTTTTTACGGAATGTCGCTGTGCAATTACGACGATCTGTTTATTTCCAAGGGGATGTGATAATTCATCATGGAGAAATAAATAAGTGTATGTATTTTATACGTAAAGGCACAGTGGAGATAGTTTCCTTGAATGTGGATCATAGTGAAACACGCCATGATGTTTTGCGGGCTGGGGAAATGTTTGGCCTGGTGCAGGGATTGTTTCGGCATAATGTCCCGCATCAATTTATGTTTAAAGCTTTGAGTGATGCGGAGATTTTGGCGTTGAGATTGGATCATTGGGAGCATTTATTAAGGCATTTCCGAGGAGTAAGGAGATTATTTATAATCGAATTCGAAATGCACAAGCAATATAAATATTAATATTAATTCATTGTGTTTTGTTTAAATTTTTTTGTGAGTTGTTGAGATATGCAACGTAAACTGCTTTGTTTTACTTTTGTTTGCAATCCAGTATGCACAGAACGTAACAATTGTTGCCTATACTTGAAAATTCATAACTTTAAACAGACAGATGCCGTTTTTATTCGTTGTTTGTTAACTTTTTGCGCAATTTTATGTAGATCAATATTAATTATTAATAACCGTATCAAAAATGCACCAGCATCATAAATATTACTTCATTGTTCATTGTTTACTGTGTAATCTTTACATTCTTTGTGTGGGTGGCTGAAAAACATACAAATATATCCTAAAATCATTAAAAGTGCACAAACAACAAAATTAATTTAATCTTTATTGTTTTTTGGTACATTCTTTCGGTGGATTATTAAGAAATGCACAAACATAACCCAAAAAGTTTTCTTTTGCTTTTGTCTGCAACCCAGCGCGCACCCAACCATTGTTGCCTATAGCTGGAAGTTGATAAATCGGCGGATAGATGGCTTTAGTTTTGTATCCGTTGTTTGCTAACTTATTACGACCCTCGGCGCCTTTTGCGCACTTTATTATAGCATCATACGGTAAACCATTACTATCAGCGCACTAAAAATAATAATTTATAGGTTATAATAGGTTATAACTGCTTTGCTATATAATAACCCTACTTTTTTAATATTTTCTTCCGTAATAACTCTGCTGTTCATCATACACGTTGCAAAATCAACGTGGATTTGTTCATCTGTAGTTTGATCGAATGCGCAGGTATGAATAACATTTGCGCGGTAACTATCACTTCCCGGAAGCATATCGCCCAAACACCATGGCACCAACTCCAGAATTATTCTACTGGCAATTGCTGGATACGATTTGAATAATTGTTGCGTGATAAAATCAGAACTTGCGTTGCCAGCAGCGTCGTAATACACGGATATTTTTACCGAGTCTAATTTCTATTTAAAAATAATAAATTAAATTAAACGAATTGAAACAAATTTGAATAAAATTAAACAAATATTTTACCTGTGCTGATGATTTCAACGCGTGAAATACTAATATTAGGAAAGAAATATTTATCGCGTTTATTGACTTCATTTTTGTTATTTTTAAAATACAATAATTTTCTCGCTTGTACACACAACTGTTTCTGTATAAAAATAAATTTCGCGGGTTGTATTTATAGTGTTAATTCTTATCGCGGAATACACGCTCACAGCTGTTATCGGCGCGTTATTAATGTCAATTATATCGATTTTATTTTGTTGCGAAAATGGGTTTCTTAACACGAGGTGAAAATGTAAATAAAAGTAACTTTCCGAGCTTTCCACTATGTCATACAATTTATATTCAACACATACGGAATATACATAACGGGGAGAATACATTCTAACCTAGAAATTTCACATGGTAAATGATAAAATTTCATAATTTTTACGTTAAAACCAAAATTTATAATGTTACAAGATGATGGTGAGTGTAAATAACTAAAAAATAATTGAAACCATAAATAATATTAATATTTACACTAGATAAAGACATAAATGACGCTTTTGATGATATCTTATTCACTGAAGAGCATATCATTGAAGAATCTTTTAAGGAAGGCTTCAAAGAAGGTGAAACACAAGGAAATCCAGAAGGTTATCACCTGGGATATCATCGTGGGGCAGAAATCGGAGCTGAATTAGGTTATTACTATTCTAAAATACAACAATTAGAATCACTACACCATAAAAACTGTACTGAAAAGGTGACAAAATTATTTCAAAGCTTAAACAGCCAAATATCTAATTTTCCTTCAGAAAATATTGAGATAGATATTCTAAAAGATTTAGATAGTATCAGGTTTAGTTATAAAAAGTTATGTGCACTACTAAATGTTAGTTCAAGCTGGCCAGAAGGTGATAAGTTAAGTTTTTAGAAACAATGAACAATAAACTTGAAATTGCCAAGTTGCATATTGATAAATTAGTGAAATTTCTCTCAGATCATGCAAAACTCTCACAAGGGCATATGGTAGACTATTTTATACACAATTTATATCAAAATTGTATTCCTCTGGAGTTACGAAGAGAAATATCTGATTTGGGTTATGATGAAGCTGTAAAATTAATACTATCAAATGAAACTAAGCATAAAAACACTGAAAATCTTTTAAACTTTATGAATCAAGAAAAAAGTTATTCATTATATAATTTAAAAGACATCTGCCTGTCAAAATCAGAGTTTTATGACTTGTATAACTTTGAAGATGTCGAAGGGTTAAAATTAGATGTGTTTATGAAAGAAAAGAAGAGTCATGAGGTGGCCACACTAAGTTTATTAGCAAAAAACATCGCTGGCAAAGCAAAAACATCACATTTAGTTGATATAGGCGATGGTAAAGGTTACCTCAGCTCAATGATTGCATTTCATCATAAATTACCAATTCTAGGTGTTGATGGTTCATTAATAAACACAGAAAGTTCTATAAAGAGAGCTAATAAATTAGAAAAACACTGGGAACATGTGACAAAAACAAAAACTATGAAACCAACACAGAATATAAGAATCGTATATTTTTATACAAACAAATCACACAGTTAGTCACGGAGAAAACAGATTTCAATGAATTAATTCAAAATGTTTTTCTTGAAGAACCTACAGGGATAGGTTTAGTCGGTTTACATACGTGTGGTAATCTTGGCCCTACGAGTCTAAGAATATTCAATGAAAATAACAATATTAAATCAATTGTTAATGTCTCATGTTGTTATCACTTGTTGAATGAGAATTACCTAGCTAATTCTGCAATGGGTTGCATAACAGAAGACAAACAAGGTTTCCCAATGAGTGCATACATGACAACTAAACATGATGAGTTTTTATTATTGAGAGCCACGAGGATGTTATCAGCACATTCGTTGGATAGAATATTGCACAATCAAGAGTTGCCGAGTAAGATTATTTTCTATCGGGCGTTGTTGGAGATTTTGTTGGAGAGAATTAAATTTAAGGGTAAACATGTTGGGAAGTTTAGGAAACAGCCGGATGATTTTGTTAAATATGCACGTGTGGCTTCGGAAAAGTTAGGGATTACTTTGGAGGAAAGTGATGGTGATTTACAGGCTTTGTCTGATGAGTATAAGGATAAAAGGAGGGAATTGGAAGTGTTTTATTTGATTAGGAGTATGTTGGCTCCTGCGATAGAAGCGCTGATTTTATTGGATAGGTTTTTGTTTTTATTGGAGCAGGGGCATGAAGATGTGTTTTTGGTGCATTTGTTTGATGCTGTTATTTCACCAAGGTGTTATGGACTTGTTGCTTTGAGATAAACATAAAATTTAGTTTTTTTTATATTTTAACAATAAATATTGTTTTTTTAGAAGTATTTGCCTGAAAATTCTTCAGAAAAGCTACAAATTAGTTTAAACGACAGAAAAGTTGATTACAAACTTGTTGTTTTAAGATAAAACCAGAATTTACTAAAAATAGAATTTATTTTAATATTTTCTTCATGTTTTAACAATAAATACACTACCAAACTGTTCCTGACATTATAAAAAATAACAATTTTTATTTTTAAGTAGTGTTTGCTTTGAAAAATGTTGAAATTCCCGCTATAAGTCTTCCTCTCGTCTCTAAATCTCGACAAAAAGCTTTTGAAAACCTATGAAAAGTACAAAAAATGTTCATACATGTTTAGTTTCTTTATAAATATGGCGCCTCGGATGTTTATATTGCACGTTATTTACAGTTGGAATTAAAAATAATCGCTTGTGGTGCTTTAAGCATTAAGTAGTGGTATGATACGCCATTAGCAATAAATTTAGGTTAGGAATATAGGTTAACTCTTTACTCGTGATGCCACTGCAGCTACCAGCGCCGCGCCGCGTCCACTTCCGTCTTCAGACAACATCAATTCAAACTAAAATCAAAAATATTCAATAAATTTCAATTTTTAAACGAAAAATTTTAAAGTAAACTTACATTAATATGCGGTTTGGTGTATTGCCTTATAAGCTCCATCATCCGGTTGTGGAAATGCGGATGGAAACGATACACAGATCCATCAACACCAATGGTAACGTCCATGTTGTTCATTTTGTTGAGTATCGTCGCCAAAGCGCACGAAACCAGCGTCGCCGCGCGTGTTGACACACATTCGCAGACATAGCGCACATTAACGCAATCCTGTTCGCTCGCGTGTTTTAATCCCAGCTCCTTCAACACCTCCATACATCCGGTATGGACGCCCAAAGGTTCCGCTTCAATTTCCGACACGTATTTCGTGTAGAACCGTCCACGAGTACTCAATAACTCGGAGCCTTTTCCTCCGAAGAGTAAACCCTCTTTGGTGTATTGTTCAAGCGCCAGACGAACTAATTCACCCATGTACATTCCGGAAACCATCTTTTCTTGAATCTGACCGCCCGGGTTGATTGAGTTCTCGTCTACGTCGCGATCGTATGCGGTGCGGATGAAGTCCAGGCAACCGTCGTTACCGAACGCGCCCCATTCGGTGTTGATCACCACGTGGTCGGAGCCATGGTTAGGCTCGTTGAAGAACTCGGCGTTCTTTTGTTCTTCGACGTAGCAAGCGTTACATCCGGTTCCTATTAGAAGAAATTTATTAGTAAAAGAATTTGGGTCAAATTTGTTTTGTTAGTGCATATGTGAGGTTATGTGAAGAGTTAATGTTTGGTTATGTTTACCAATGATGAGGCCAATCTTGCAGTTATGCTTTTTCCATGCGCAAGACATGAGCGTTCCGGTGGTGTCATTCAAAATAGCGCATACGTCGATTTCTATGTCCTGAAAGTAAAGATAGACATGCATCATGCTTCTTCTAATATTTGATTTTTACATTTGACGTTTGACATTCATTATTCGCGTAACCTATAAATGCGCATGCGCAATAGCCTATTCTATCACCTCTGAACCCCCCAATTTTGCATACACTTCCTAACTTTTTGATTATCTTACCGATGATGAGGCCAATTTTGCAGTTTTGTTTTTTCCACGCGCAGGACATTAACGTCCCGGCGGTATCATTCAAAATCCCCATAACTGATAATTCTAATTCCTAAAATTTATTTCAATTTTTTTCTCTTTTATTTTTCTCTCTGAACAATTTAATTTAAAAAAATCGGTTTTAGTTTTGGTATATTTTCTTACCCCTCGTCTTGCAATAGCATCCTTGAGCAACTGCACCACATCGTTCCCGATGACACCCGAACAATTAAACCCTTTCGTCCAGTTGATTAGAATGCCTTTAGTTAAACCAAGTTGTTTCAACGGAAAACTGAAGGTGAAGCCCAAGGGAAGATGCTCCTTAATGAGCTTTTCTTCTTTCATAAACTGTGCCATGCAATCGGCGATGTGGTCGAACAGTTGTTCGCCGGAGCCCAGCATAATGTGTTGTGGCACTGCGAAGATTTTACTCTTCATTTCGAAGTGGTTCACGCCCAGTTCGATAAGCAACACACGGAAATTTGTGCCGCCCAAATCAAGAGCAAGGAATTTTCCTTGTTCTAAAATATTTAAAAATACAAAGAAAATAATTTTAAGAGTTTTAAATTAATTTGAATCTTACCGGAGCCATTAGGGAAGTCTTGCACAAAAGTAACGTAACTTTTGACAGTGGAGGATTCTTGCGTGTCCTTTTTGAGGCCTCTTTCGATGTGGTCGAGGAGGCGCTGCATTACCTCTTGGACTGCTTCGCGATCCAAGATTAATTCTTTGCATTTTTCACGAATCTATTAAAAAATTAAATTTTTATTTATAATATTTATGTTTTTCGTCTTATTGGAATTTTAAACTGGATTATATTATAAATTTCAAGAGTATTTATATAATTTATATTTTTAGCGACGTGAAAATTGTTTAACATGTTGCAACGGGACTAAAAACAGTTAAATATTGCATCACTTAGCACTCGCATCATAAATAACAAAGTAACACAGCTTTAAACTTGGTGTTTAAACTTTAAACTCGGACAAATAAAATATTTTCAGGTAGAAAAATTCCTGTGCGTTGTCCCTTCCGTCAAAGATAAAATTTATTGATTTTTTTTCTCTGACTTAACTTAAGCTACGTGAGAATTTTTAATTTTAAAATAGATAGGTCAACTATATACGTCTACTTGACGTCAGAATGATTAATATTTATAGTCAATACTAGAATGCATGAATATCAATCAATTTAGGCGTTAAAATTGAATCCTTGACATTTCAAATGTTTCGAATGAGATTTTTGTTGTGCGCACGTGATTTCTGGCACGTTGTGCGCTTTTCAAGCAGTGGGTCAATATCGCACACCCCAAATTTCCACCAATCCGCAACGCACAACACGAAACACGCCGATGAAGAGAGCAAGACGACGAATATTGCGTATCGTAATCGTAAACACACTGCCACATGTTCTATACGTTCTATTTTTGGATAAAAATAAACGGAAGTACAAGTTATGCGATAGAAAACGCGAAATATTCGATTTTATTTCGGGAAAAAATGTAAATATTAACATACCGTATGATGTGGATTACTCGCTGCGCGTTTCAGACCCATTTTCTAATGTGGAATGTGTGAAAATCACCAAATACAATCGAATAAAATCGATACGAAATTCAAATGTCAGTAAATACGTAAATATAAATGCGTTGAACACGTTTGCAATGTGGATTGTTTTATAATTTTAACGCTGTGTGCGATGCGTATGCGCTTATCGTATTCCTTGTTACATGAACAAACAAAAAGTTTACTGTTCGCACCACAGCACAGCACGACACAAACTAAAACACAGACTAAAAACCGAATGAATGCATGGAGTTTGTTGAGGTTGAGTAGAAATACCGCGTTTCGCGTTTCACGAAACCAGAGCGTTGGAGGCACGTCTGCAACAGCTGCGCATGCGCAGGAAAAACGCGTCTGCGCGACTACTGTACAGGTAGAAGCAAAAACACTAAACACAAGCAGGAAAAGGATAAAACTAAGCATAAAATTATTAAGTGTGAGTAGGAGAGTTGAGAAGGAGAAGTGAAGAAAACCTTGGATGTGGTTGTGGTTGTGAGTGACGAGCCTCCTCGTTTCACGTTCCCATTGGGTTCGAAGAAGGTGTGTAAATGTGGGTGTAAACAGAAAGCTGCACATGCATACAGTATGTTTTAAACAGGTTACAGTTAAAATCTATGTTTTTATGCATTAAACTTTCACTTTTTAGTTTTTGAGTTTACTTTTTGTTTTTGAAATGCCAAATGTCAAACGTGTTATATAATATTAATGAAACGGTATAATTTTTGCGTGTTTTGTGTGGTTTCATGCGTGAACTGGCGCCGGATTGTCGATATTTAGTATTTGCATAATTCCAATTGGATTGTCATGTTGTACGTTTGTGCAAATAGTTGAAAACCAGTCGGTTTTTACGTCCCAAATTAAATGCTTCACATAACCACGGACAAAACTTGATAAAAACTGGTTTCTTGTTAATGTTACTAACATTTCACAGCGTTTGTACTTGTTTTTATTATTTTTTGTCTGTGAAATTATTGATTTACTTTAGTCTGGTCCCTTGTGCATTGTAATAATTGTAATAATTGTATAATCAATATGATTATCAAGCGTATCAGTTAATGCATGAGTAGATTAAGTAATGAAATATTGTATTTCTAGAATTTGTGATTACTGTTATGAATGTAGTATTAATTTAAAGATTAAATTTATGATTGTCATGCTTGTAAAAATTGAGTTTCATCTGGTTTTCAAGGTTAAGTGCATGATATCAAGTTTATATGATTTTATGATTTTACCGCTGATAACTGCATCAATTCTAAGATTTCCACAAATATTATTATCTTAGGGATTAATCAACTTCCTGTTTTTAATAGAAAATAAATAAACAAGCGGTTAATCAGTTGATATTGATGATTTGCTGGGACTTACGTTGACTTTCTCAATATCCGCCATTTTGTCACTGCGCAATTCATTCACCATTTCGTAGAAAACTTTATATTACACGGTTTTATTCGAAAATATAAACGCGGCTTAGTTTTTATTATGTGCTTGGAAAGCAAGGTCACTAACAGGTAACTAGTTACAAGGAACAGCGTAACCGTAACCTAATGCAAAATTATTGTAATTGTAAAAATATAATGTGCACTAACGTAACTTTACTCGCGAGGGTGCACGAATAAAACTTTTAACGTTTCGCAAAGAATGTTGGTTACTTAAGTATAATAAAAAATAAATAAAATAAAGTTTTAGTTGAAGTGCAAAAATAATCGGATGAGATTTTATATTATTTTAGTTAAGTAAAACTTGTTTGTTTAATGTGGATAGTTTAGTAATCGTTGGTGCAATTGCGTTGCGATACGCGTTTGCGAGTTTTGAGTTTCGCGATGTCGACGGACTCGTCGGACGTGACCGACGATCCTGAAGGGCACCTTGATCACATTTTCATTGCAATGCGCAGCCACACCTACTGCATAAACTTTTAATCATTTTCACATACTAATAATAATTCAGCGTAGCTCTTTATTACGAAATTCATGGAATTAGATAATTTTATCACGTTATTTCATCGAGGATCAAAACAATAATTTAATTTTAGGATTTTACACGTACTGACATTAGTCTAATCTTTTTTAAGCTGCTGTATAACTTGTACACATTTCGTCGTTAAAACAAGGCTATACTGTATTAAATTTTGCAGTCCAATGTTGGACTTGTGGGATACAAACCGAACATAGGACAGACAATGTAATTTTTAAAGTTTCAGATTAATTTCTTTTAACTTTTTAGTGTTTTTCTCTACTTTTTAACTCAAGTTAAACACCAAAATAATGTTTTTTTTTCATTTTCTTCTCAAAAAATGTTTGAAATTTATTTGCTGTAGTAATAAATACTGTGTGCAGTGAGAAAAAAATAGATATTAGACGGTGAAGATCCTACTAAACTAGACAAACTGGTTTTTGTCGGAAAAGAATGAGAATGAATAATAATTGAAAGTAATTAGGGATAAATTGGTGTAGTGTGATGTTTGGATGACGCAAACAATTAAGCGTGATTCGCATGTGAGCGTCATACATAAACAATACTCGTATTACGCGTTGTAATAACAAATTAAACTCGCAAGCCGAATAAAACCACAAAAATGTTGCTAAAAACATGTTAAACTAGTTTCTGATGAAATTTGCGAATTGATTAAAATAGCGCGCATTCCAATGTCACTAAACTTACGTTATATAAGTTAGTTGATAAATATTACAAATTGCGTATATTAAACTAAAATTTATCCTTGAATATGTGTCAAATACCCGAGGAAGTGTAATTGTTGCATTTCATTTTATTTCCGTGTGGTCTACACTAGAAATAAGCAATAACAAATCACTTCCTTTTATATTTCACGTTTATATAGCTGTGATTTATAATTATTACATTTCCGTTTTAATTTTACGATTTTATTTCTAACCTTGCATCTTTTCTCAATGGCAATGCGTGTTTATTTAAATTATAGCTCAATTCACGTGGTATTTTGCAATATTTACAATCACACAAAAAAATTTCAAGTTCAAATTGATTATTTCGCGAAATAATTTGAGGCTAAATAACAAAATGGCCGACGCACGTGCACGTAACATCAAATTACATACAATTACTCATCTTCTCTACCACGAGGAAAAAAAAAACATAAACAAACAAAAATCTACGGCGTAGTAAATACTTAATTAACGAAACTAGTTATGTACTTGCTTGATGACTCGGCATCAATTTGATGGTCTCGCTCTTCTTTGCAAAATTCGCCTGGCATGTTACTCGTGATACACGCAAAGTATTCCTAAATAGCGTTAAATTACGCGCGATTTGCGGCAATTTATACAGCATTTAAGCAGATTTTGATCATCACGGAATAAAAAGTCACATTGTATTGTCATATTTAATGACAATAATCAAATAAACATTTTATTTTGATTTTTTTACGGGAAAAAAATCAATTTTCTCAATTTTTCCTTTTAAAATTTATAAAATGTCTATAAATTAAATTATTTGAAATATTTACGCTTTCGGAGAACCCCACAGTCCACACGGATTTCGCGCATGTCGCCTTGCATTCTTTCCGGCAATGACCGACAGTTATTGGTACAGCACTACTCTTCGCCTCATTAACAACCACTTCTAATTTCTTCTCTTCCTGTTTTTCTTCCGGCACATCATTATGCACGTACATTTTACTCGTTTCACTTGAAATTTTGAATTCTACTCTGACATATAAATAATTTGACAAGTCACATACCTCGCTATTGACATAATTGCAGTTTTCTTCGTTTTCGTAGATTTCTTGTTTGATTTTCATCGTTTTTCAATTTTTTTTTCCGTTTAAATTACAACACAAAATGCAAAGTAAAGTAAAACACGCGCGTGAATGGTTTCGTCGCCAAAACTGAACTTGTAGCATTGATTTCGATCGTTATTATATGACTACTCGCCTTGTCGTTAATGACTCTTGACTCTCCCACCAATAACTTTTAATATTTACGAATGTACTCAAGTACAACGTGTTTATGTATTGCTATTTGCTCAAAATCGACGCCGAAGTGTGTGTGTGTTAGCCTAGAAAGGAATTTTTAGTGCACAATTTAGGCTAATCGCGCGCAACTTGAACGTATTTGTGCTTGAAATTACCGAAGCGCTGATAATTTTACTATTAGATAATCGTCAAGTGCTGAAAAGTTCCATTCACTTTGTTTTTGCACAATAAATACGGGAACTTTTCAAGTTTTACGCGCTTTTATCCACACAATTATAAATTATTAGGCGCCGTTTGACGCAGATTTTTAATTTAGAACGGCGCGTGATAATTTTGCGCTATCGATGACGCCATTGCTCAATAAATCGCGATCTGCGCACTAACTTTAATAAATATCAGATGAATGAACGATTATTAATTGACTATCGATAACAATACATACGAATGTTTAACAATGCGAATTCTTTACGACATACCTGCTTATCGACGGACATTTTTCACTGGGTTTTTTTTGTAGAAGTAAAACTTGTAAATTTTGTTGAATTATACAGTGAAAATTGTGAAAGGTCGAACGTTGTGGAGTCACCTCGCGACGTCTGCGATAAGCGGACGACTGAAAAGCCGCGATCTCAAGTCACAAACACTCGCTAGAACAAAATAACGATAAAACCCACATCGCTGATAAGACAATATTACGCGTCGCGAGATTAGGTTACAAAATGGTCGCGCCTGTCGCAATTGAAACCGGTTTATCATCGATAAGTACTTAATCATCGAATGCGATTTGGACGTTACACGTTAGACATGATACAATGGTGCAAACACAAACATAAACAAACACAGGAATGTTTCCGAGGAGGCATGATTGTTTGCAGTTATTAAAAAATATTTATATTAAAGTCCACAAGTGTGATCGCAAGTCATAGAGGAAATTTATTTACTGCTGATTACTCATCATTTCCAAGTGCGCCGCAGTGATGCTCTTCATGCCTTCCTGGACTGTGCTCAGGTTGCTCTTCCATGATGAGAGCAAGTCGCGTAGTTGCTGCCATTGCGCGTTTCCGAACGTCCTGTGCATCGTGCTGGTCACGAATACTTTCCGGGCGGATTGATCCATGCGTGCACGCACCAGTTTAGTTTTTAATACTAAAAATAATTAAATTTTACATTTATTTTTGGATTTTGAGAGAAAATTACCTTCAATAATGAAATTTTCGACTTGATCGGCCTCAATCTGCAATTCTTTTGGATAGTCTCAAAGGGTATCTCGTTATTACTCTCAGCAAGCTGCATGAATGACAATAAACGCATCTTTTGCATGTTTTGCTCGTGGTTTAACCCTTGGGAGGTGACGAATTCCTTGTGACTCTTGTAAAAAGTCAAATAGGCGTTCAGATTCTCACTGACGAAGATCGAGAGTAGGTCGTGGATTAATTCACCCTCTAGGAAGCGCACTGGTTTGAGAGATAGTAGCGGATCAAGCAGGAAGGTGTTTGGGTCGCCTAGAGCTGTAGCAATGCAGCGGATTGCGTCGTCACGAGCTTGCGCGGCGTTTTCGGCGGTATAAGTTCCTAACAACTCGATCATAATCTTTGCGGCGTGTTCGCTCTGATTGTTGGTGATGAGCACATCATGCAACAAACGGTATAACTTCTGTAGTTGGTCGCTAGATGGTGGGCAGAGTGCGAATTGTGCTTTGAGGAATTCGGTACTCTTGAAGACAAGTTGTACTTGTCCGCTTTGTTTTGCCAACACTACCAGGTTGAAATACACGTGGTATCTAATCGGCGAGCGTTCATCCAAAGATTGGAACAGGAGCCATAATCTATTATTAATAATATTTGTTTAGTTTTTTTTTTTTAATTTGAGAGGTTTTGAGTGATTCTTACACTTTAAGGCATACAAGTGCCAGTTTTGGCCCTTGGGCCTTGGTGAGCTTCTCACAGAAAGCCATAATGATGTTTTCTGACTTCTCGAGTGGAATGAAAACCATTATGGAGACAATATCATTGAGGACAGCCTCGACTTCGGGCTCCTGACCCTCGCGGAAACACGCGTCGCATACGCCGATGATTTTATGCAAGTCATCTTCGATACCTCTCGGTGACTTCTCCGTAGAAATCTCGGCACCTAGGCCTTTTAGATAAACTCGTAGTTCCTGTGCCTGCAAGTTATAACCTTAAATTATAGCGGCGAGTAACAAACTTTGTTTTTGTGCGTTTCGGGGCAAGTTTAAAAGTTAGAATGAATGTAATATTATAATACCTGGTCTTCCGGCGTGTTGTCAATGAAAATCGGCGGTCCCTGCATCTCGTACACTTGTTTCGCGTTGTTTTATTGAGTTTTACAGCGCGTTTCTAGCACGAAATGTGTGCGAAGAGAAAACGCAGCAATCTGCGGTGACAGTTTAGTAACTTTTAGGGAGTTTTTAGTGTAGTATCTGTAGCAGTTGGTAGAACTGATGCGAATGTGGTTGCCTAGGTTAGATATGAAAAAAAATTTGTATTCAAAATTAAATAAATTTTGTTTTGCGCGTTTTAAGCTTAAATTTAAAAGTTACAGTAAACAGTTTACTAATTCTTTGTTTCCATGCGTGTTGTTAATGAAGATTGGCGGTTTCTACATATAGAATACTTTCGCGATGTTTTATTAAGTTTTACAGCCCACTTTGACCTGCAAAGATGAGCTTAGTAACTTTTAGGGATTTTGTTAGTGTAGTATTTGTAGAAGTTGGTGGAACTGCTGCGAATGTGGTTGCCTATGTCATATCTGTGAAATGGATATAAATTCAAAAAAGACAGCCATGACAAAATATTTAAATTAAAAACACGTCATTTAATTTTTAGCAAAATTCCAGTAATCACAATAATTTACTCTCCTCCTCAAAATTAATCATATAACTTAAATTGAACAAATTGAAACGTATTTTGGTAATCATTTTATGAATATCTAAACTTGAAATAAGACTTGCCTTGAAATGAGTAGCACTGGATCTATCCTGCTACGAAAACTGTTGTTTAACGTCGCAAACAACACCCGACGTTGGATGTCCGTGAAACTAGGCGCAAGCTCAAAGTTGGACAAAACTGTACTTCAAAAGTACTTAAACTTACCCGTACCGGAGTGTACGACATTAGCAGATTATTTCTGGGTAGATGGCACAGGTACTCACTTCCGGTCACGTACAAGAACCTTAGACAAGCAACCAAAATGCGTGGAAGATTTACCCGCATGGCATGTAGATGGCAGTAAAACAAACGAAAGCGATTGCGATGCGGAACAACAAGATGTACGCCTTCTTCCGGTAGCGATGTACAACGACCCCATGCGTCGGGGCGGAGCTAAATTAGTACTTTGTGAATCATACACCATGGATTACAAACCTACTAAGAGTAATACACGATCGAAGTGTTGTGATATGTATACGAAAACTATGAATCATCAACCATTGTTTGGTTTTTGTCAGCAATATATGCTCATGCAAATTGATGGTAAACCCCTGGGATGGCCAGGAGGTGGAGCGCAACTGCCATCTACCGGTGCGTATTACTGCGGAGTCGGTGCGCGTAATTCCATAGGGCGGGAAATTGTCGAGGCGCATGCGCGTGCGTGTTTATACGCTGGCGTAGGTTTATCTGGTTTTAACTCAGAACAAATCGCTTCAAAATGGAAATTTGAAACCAAACCAACCAAAGGAATCAAAGCTCCTGATGATATTATCGTCGGGCGATATCTACTCCAAAGAATCGCTGCGGAGTTTGGTGTAGACGCTTCATTTAACCCTAAAGGCGTGAAAAAGGGTGGGAGTGACTTACACGTCAAGTTTAGCACTTCATTCATGGCGGAGCAGAATGGCATAGAGCAAATTCTCGCCGCTGCGGAAGCCTTGGCGAAGAAACACAAAGCGCACATGAGTATTTATAACTCGCGGAAAACGAAACACAGAGGAAAGTTTAAGAAATTCACATGGGGCATGGGCGATCGTGGTTATAGTGTACGCATTCCTTTTGATGTACAAAGCGCTGGGTGTGGGTATCTGGAAGATAGACGTCCAGCAGCCAATAGTGACCCATATGCTGTTTGTACCGCCATTATGAAAACCACACTCTGCTCCCAATAAACATTAACAATATTTTTTGGATTAAGTTTAATAGCATTTTATTAAAAGTATATTATTGGCAAGTACAATTTAGATGTGAAAATACAGTACAGTACAAGAGTATAAAGAGTTTTTAAGCTAAACTTTTTTTACTTTTTTTTCTTTTCACTTTAATATTAGATATTATATTTTCGCGTAATATATTATCAACACAACACAATGTAAATTTTCAGTTTTCAAATTTCTTTTTCACCCATCTGTCAATGATACAATAATATTCGTTTTTGTGGGTTTACATTTGAGGTTAAGTAAAGTGCCGCCATCTCATAAGCAGAGTCAAAGCATAAGTTTTTTTGGTTTATAATTACGCTTACAAGTTGTGTGTGTGTGTGTTTTCTTTTTTGATTCTCTTCCATATTTTATTTTATCTATATAAGTGACACACACGCCAGTCACGTGATATTTTTAGGTTAAGAGTGAAGATAAAAGCAAAAAAACACAATTCTTTGAATTTTCTGAGCAAAAATGTTTCACAAGAGTTTATTACATAGAACCACGCCTGAATGGTTACGCCCCTTCGAAGGGGGCGTGTCTAATTTAAACCACGCCTATATTATATCAGTAAATGTATGTTTTAATGTTTTTTGTGGTTTATTTGTGGATGTGTGTGTAATTACTCGTCGACGCGCCACGCATCAAACAGGTGTGACGAGGTGACGTTATCAATTATCAATTTAACTACATCTAACAAACATTTTAAATATACTTAATATACTTGATTAGTTAGCGTGTATAATAGAGTAATTATGCGTTGGGCGTGGCACGTTGACGTGTTTTAAATGCATAAAATGCGTTTTTTTGTTGTGTAAAGAGTTTGATAGTGTTGATATAACAAGGCGTAGTAGATTTAAACCACGCCCCATTTAAAGGACCGCCCCTCAAGCGTGATTCGTCCGTCTGGCACCCCGGAAGTTAGAAAGTTTTCCCACTACTTTCTAAATTTCGATGGGAGACAGTAGACACAATATGACATGAACCGAAAATTAATATAGTGTTGCTTTGTTATTTTTTGAGTAATTAATTAATTAATTATCTTATTTTTACATTTCACATTACGTCATCATCTTGTGTGTGTTGTTTATAATTTTATATTTAATTTATATTTATGCGCTTTTAAATACTTTCAAATACATATTTGGTAGTATCACAAAATATTCCCAGTATTTTTTGAACCACCAAACCGACAATCAATCAGAAATCAATATTTTTTAAAATTTAATTAATAACTATGCAGAAAAGTGAAATCAGAGTTAGATTAGAGGTTAGATTTGTGCTGGCTGTAGTATTATTTATATTTTTTTGTCGTTTTATCGGTGTTTGTAGATTTTTTTGCGTTTTTCTGTGTTTTAATCGTGTCAATCGTGTATAGGTGGCGTTAGTGTAGATGTAGACAACCCAAAATACACAAAATTATACTTACTGTGTGTGTTTTATAAGTATGGTGATGTTTGTGTGGTTGGTGACTGATTAAACTCGGAATATTTTAAACGTTTTTTCTTGTTTTTAAATTTAAATCATCTAGGAATTAAATGTTTAATTGTTTAACTAACTTCGAACGCTATTCTTTGTTTGACTAGGTTTTCTTTAAATATACTTAACTTTTTACTCGCTACGGAAAGCTATGTTTCGTTAAGATTCGTTTAAGTTGATTATCTCTTGAAATTCTACGGAAAAAAACGCTTTTCAACTAATTTTAACAATAAATTATGAATTACTAAACTAAATTTTTAAATTACATAGAGAGGCAAAGTGATTGTATTCGTGTTTTGAATCGTTTGTTTTTTTCATATCACTTTTTTCAGTAATTTTGAAACAAAAAATCGAAAAAATGTGGAAAAAATTGATTTTTTGAAAAAATTTAAATTTTAAGTCGTTAGGCATCGATTATTACAGTTAAGTACCGTGATGGTGGACAAATGGTAAATCCTGGTCCCTGTCATCACTAAGATTAAGTCGGATTAACTTGTGTTTTAAACGTTTCCCTAAATTTTTTCATCTGCATGCCAAAGTTAATCCGCCGTTAGTTTTTTGTATCTATAATTTATTTGACGATAGCAACTTGCAAATAGTCGGCCATTATTTAGATTAGATTACATATTTTTAGATATTACCTACTTACAGGTTAGAATTCATGACTTACACGATACTTTTCAAAGTTTTTCCTTTACTTAATAAGTGGCGCTCGGTAGTAGTTTAGTAAATATTCTAAGCCATTGAAAGATAGATGGCGCTAGTTTTTATCTATATATGTCTGTTGGTATTTACTTTTGAATCTCGACGGTGACGCTCTCGAGCATGGGCGTGGTCACGGACGAGTCACGTCCGTGGGCGTCGGCGTGGGCATGATGGCGGCCGGGGGGCGGGCTCTTGTTGGACGTGGTGCCCGAGGCGTTGCTGCTGCCGTGCGAGCCGCGTCGTGAGCCTAGAAACAGACGCCCGGCTGCAGACACAGCATACGCACACACACGGCATGGAAGAGCGGTTTTGGGGTTAAGTCAGGCGGAGCGAGAGGCGTGGCATAGTTTTGCGGGTTTTGCGGATGATGGTTTATGTGTGCGATTCGTGCGCGCGTGCGTGATTTGTTTCTTTTATTCAACGTGCAATTATTTATAGCATTTATAGCGGATATTGTGCATTTGCAGGGTTAATGTGAATAATTTTAATGGTTATTTTGGTAAATACATACCTGGTGAATTGGGCGAATGCGGACGTAGTGACGCCATGCTTGGCTGACGGCTCGGACCTCGGACGCTACCCCTCGAACCGCGGCGCTCGTGTAGCAGCTTGCTGTCGCGCAGCAGTGACACGTTCATCAGGCGCGGGTTCGGCGTGTTGAATATAGTACGATTCTCACGCCATCTTGCCCTAAAAAACACAAATATTCGCGATTAAAATTGAGTTAGATGTTGAAATGTAACGATTAAATGGCAATTAATGGGTGATTACCACCGGATATTCATGAATATGCAATAATTTGTCAGGTTTTCAGCATTCGATTTGCATTTACTGGAGTATGCAATATGGCGGAAATGTAATGTAATGTGCGGGAATGTAATTAAACGCGTTTTAATCAAATTTGATTTGATTTAATGCGCATTTTGTGTTGTGCGCGTTTAATCAACGTGATCAAATGATGAAGTACGCTTTTATTGGGCAAATAACAAGATGGCGCCTATTATCACTTATTGCCTTATCCTTTCATTGCGTCGGCGGGTAAATAAACGAAAGAAACGAGAGGAAATTGGATTAGCGTTGGTAGCAACGAGGAAATTAATTAACGTAAGAGAAGCGAAAGCGATATTATCGTATGAGTGTGTTTGGTGGATGCGCGGAGCGTCCCCGATGATTAATTCATTGATTAATTAATTAATTAATTATTTAATTAATTTTGCTCTTGCACGTAATACAATGTAAATGCATTCAGAAATATGAGAGTACATTATTTAAAAATTGTGTTGGGTATAGCGTAAAGTCATATGTGCAAAATACCGGTCTAAAATCGAATAAAACTTGTTTTGTTTGGTATTTTTATCAGCAACTCCGGAAAGCGTTGAGATAGAGATATCATCTTTTTATACATCTATTCTGAATTAAATTCTTTAGTTTACTTTGATATTTGGATATAAAATTTATGCGTAGTTTATTAGTTATAAACAAATTACTTTGTATTTTAATTTTTTTAATTTGTCTTTTCTATTTTCGTGATTACTCTGTAGATTTTTATTTGTTTTAGAAAGTTTTTATATAAAGAGTTGCAGAATTTAATGGGGAATAAATTTGCTTTCGAATTTATTTTCTAGGTTAATTTTTCTTAGAGATATTAAATAAAAATATAACAAAAACATAATTTTGTATGTTTTAGACCGTTGTTCTACATATATAGTTTATATATGGGCAATTAATTAGCTCAAAGCTTGAATCGATTGGAAAGCTCGAAAGCACACAATCTTGCTGGTTGCTGGGTTTCTGTTTAGTGCTATATTTAAATATACAGGGTGTTCATACATAAATTATTAAAATTACACCCAAAACACCAAATTCACGTTGTATTTTAATAAACAAATTAAAAATTTCTCATTTTGCTGCAGAAATGAACTAAAACTATAAATATTTAAACACTCTGTATGCTTGGGAGTCATTTAGATAAAGGCTTAATGCGAATGTGGAACCAGCATGCAGGCGGGGAAAATGCCCACGCCCTGGGAAAACCGGAAGTAATGCTCGCACATCCTGATGATAGCGCGCATCGGGTGTCACGTAGGCATAAAATTCAAAGAATGCGCTCAATAACAGTTCTGTTCGACGATTCAACATCGCGATCAGGTACACGATCGGAACGATCAGGACAATCACGAATTCTAAAGTGTTAATTTCGCCTCGACAATCGAAATGGGTCGGCACGTGGTGGTGAATAGCACAGAGAAACGACAACGAAGAACAGGAAAAGGAAACGGAAGTGGTGGAAGCCATTGCCGTAATGAAAATGCAAATTAGTTTTTCGGTCCATGGTTGTAGCGCGGTGGCGTGAATATTAAGTGCTAATTAATAATAATAATTAAAATGTCAGTATGATGTAGGTACCTGCGTTAATATTAACAATAATAATATTTATGTTGTAGAAATATTTTTAAAGCTTAGAAAATCGTTAAAATTGTTAAAATCATTAAAAATATTAAACTGGGAGAATATTTGAATATTTTTACATATTTTTAACATATAAAACTCATTTCCCCGAGTTTTTCAACATAATTTTCCATTTTTCACACAAAACTTTTTAATTTTAATACTTTTTGCATATGGACACAACATATAAATATTAATATTGAAAATATTATATTTTTATTTTTAAATTATAAAAATAAAAATAATCCGCGAGTTTTCCGGCAGTTTTTACGTCGATACTCTTCACGTTATAAATGTAATAACGTAATAAAACATTTGCGTGACTCTGATTCCTATAATAAACTCGCGAACGACGTTTGAGTACTGAAATTCATATAAAATTAAAGTAATAATATTAAAATTTGTGAAAACTTGTCAAAAATATCTAAAAACGAATTACGTACAACGCTACAACACAATAGTAATACCCGAGGAAAAAATTAAACACTTCTTTGCACAATAGAGAGTAAAATTAAAATGTGGCGCGCTTTGTTCGCTCTCATTGTGCGATATTTTTTGTTTTGCGTGCGTGAATTCGCCAGGAGTCGCAGACAGGTTAATGGTTAACTCATTAGCTACCCTTCGGTGACCCGCCGAGCGGTCTTAGGCCCCCAACAAGTCATTACAACCCGTACAACCCTTATGAAACTAGATTAACTTTTTTTTGGTCTTGTGAATGCAAATTTAGTTCTTGAAGTGAAACTTTTGTTTCAAGACTATGAATACTTACGCCATCTCTAGCGAAATGTAATAAAAGTGTCCATCACTATTTGATTGTATTATTATGTTGTTCTTATACTTTTACGTCAATTTGATTGACGATAAAAGACGGCATAAAAAAGGAAAACGTATAAAATCCATCGTGATTTATTTATGATACGACGCAGGCTTATAAAATGCGATTTATTGCGTGAATAATGTAATAAATGATGAATATAGTAAGGTTATGTTGTTGAGGGCAATTGATTAGGTTAAGTGGTTGTAAAAATTACATATAGGTGGCGTTAGATGAGTGTTTTATTTCTATACTTACTTGCTGAAGAGTCGCAATACAACACAGATGGTGATGAACATGAGAAACATGGCGACCAGTATGCCGATCATCGCCGGATCGATGTATTTCTCCGGATGGGTTTCGTTTTTCACCGCTGTGGGCAAACGAAAGTATCGATTTTATTCGCCACACATGTAATGTAACATATAATTAGTGTGGAGTTACAAATGAAGTTGAGAACATCATTAATCTTGTACAACTATTTGTAAGGAGCATTCACGGCGTAAGTAGAGCAGATTAGGGGTTATGTAACTTACCGACGCACTCGTGAGTGCCATCCGGTTTTGTGCTCGCCTGCATTTCGAACATGCACACGCAGACGTGGTCCCGGCATTCGGTCTTTTCGGTTTCGGCTTCGCATTGCTCCGAAAATATGCATGACTCGTTCACTTTCACTACTGCAATAGACAAATGAAACATATTTTGTAATTTAATGTGTATATGTGTAGAATGCCGGTCTAACATTGAGAGAAACTTGTTTTGTTTGGTATTTTTATCGATAACTCCGGAACGCCTTGAGTAAGAGTTATCATCTTTTCATACATCTATTCTATACTAAATTGTTTAGTTTATGTTGGTTGTTGTGCATAAAATTTACATGCATTTTAATAGTTATAAACAAATTAGTATAAATTTTAAATCTTTTTATTTGTCTTTTTTATTTTTGCGATTACTCTGTAGATTACTACTTGTTTTTAAAAGTTGTTACATGTGGAGTTGTAAAATTTAATTCTGAATTAATTTCTTAAAAAGTTTGTGTTCTAATATAATTTTTGTCAGAGTTATTAAAAAAAATTATGAGAAAAACATATTTTTTTATGTTTTTGGACCGTATTTAAAAAAATATTATAATTTTAATACTGCAGCAATTTTTCGTACGTAAAACACTCAAAAAACATCAGTTCTACATAAATTTTAAACATTAATCGCCCAGATAAGGGTATTTATGTATTTTTATTTTTATAACTTGTTCGAATTGCTTTGTGAGTATTAATTTAAAAAGCAAATTATTGACATTTGCCGGCGAAACGTAGAAATATTGTGTCCGCATTGTGCATATTTGGCGTGCGTGTTTAGGGCGCGCTTTCATGTCCCATGGAACATGGCGACTGCTTCACGTGGCGCCACGTGGCTGCACGCAAATTGAAATTGCTCGGCGGGCGCAATTTTCATATTTTCGTGCGGCGGCGATAAATACTCGTGACTTGAGCCGCCATGCACCAAAAACACTTCAAATTCTTTCATAATAACACTGATAATAAGCATAATATGAATATTTTACCTTTTCCACACTTGTCTAAATGATTCGTCACGGGGAACTCGTCGACGCACTGACATCCTTTGATCTTTTGGCAGACGGCGTTCGGAAAGTCGCATTCTTTCGTCTCGTTGCATTTGTCGCCGAAAAGTGTGCGCTTGCTCTGCACTGTAACAAAAATTAAACATTAAAACATTAAAAATGTGGAAAATGGCTATAAAATTGTAAACGCAAAAAAGAAGGTGTTAAATAAATCTACAAGAAGAAGATTGTGCAGTTTTGGCAGTTTGCCAACGATCAATTTTCTAGGGAGTTGCCGCTAGATGCGCAAAGAAGTAAAACTGCGACTTTAACCCCGTTTCTCGTTGAAAATGGCCGGGATAAATAAAGACGTTGCCAATAAAAGCGGTGCGCGCCAAGAATAAGGACAGAAAAAACGTTACTCAAGTCGTAAATTATTAAAATGTTGAAGTTGAGCAAAGTTGAGACAAACCAGACGCATATTAAGTATTTTATGCTTTATTCCGACCGCAACTAGTGAATTAATTAACATTTATATCGCCTCTGATAAATAATTAAAACTTGATGAATTTATTACAAGCGTAGGTTAATCACAGTATTAAAACTTGTTTTATTTGTTACATTAGGCATGTAATGTGATACTTATTTGTCTAGGCAAAGTGCTGCGTAACTGAACAAACATTGGTAGGACTTACCCGAAGGGGAGTTAATTAATTAGTCCCTTTTTTGTTTGTTTTGTGGGCTTTTAATAATACACGTAGCAAAAAAAGGGTTACATATTAAATTTTTTACATTTTAGCGTTTTAGCGTAAAAATTTAAAGAAAATAATTTATTTCGGATTAGTTTTAAGTTGATTTATTGTTTGTTGTTTGTTTTATTTTGTTTTGTTATCATTCGGTGTGATTAACTACTTTGCGCTGCGGTAAAAATCCGACTTTTCCTCGGATTCTCGCATTCTCGGCCTGTGACGCACTTTGTTATTCAATCAAGCGGAAAACTCTTCACGTTCTCCACCCCCATCTACCCTTAACGGTCTTATCCAGCACTTCTGTTAATTCTCTAGACTCTTCAACTTTTCACAAGCGAAGACTTTTCTAATTGTTTGCTTTACGCTTGCCTCTTTTTTCTTATTCTTATCTCGGTTATATGTTTAACGTCGAATAAATCTTTATCAAACACATTAAATTTAATTGATGAATGCGTGAAATTAAATATTTTTCGGAGAATTTAATAAGTGAAAAGTCAAGTTCAAGTCGGCAGATGTTAAGGAAAGAAAAAATGAGAAAATTCCGGCGTGATATAATATAATTAAATGTGTTCCAAGCTGTTGCCTTGCATCAACAAAAAAAGTTTACAAATAAGCGGAAAAAAGTCCAGAAAATTCAATTAACAAGAAAAAATTTGTACTTAATACAAAATTCTTTTCTTTATAAACTTAAGACTATGGGTTTTGTTCTTGTTCGTGTCTTGAATAGAAGCTTTCGTAAGCTCGTTAGTAATAATAGTACTAGTCATACGCAGGAGCTTATTATGTTTGGACCATTGTTTGAAATCTTCAGTGATGCAAACACGTTGAAAGCGCCGAAAACGAGCAAGTCACAGTCTATAGTGAGCACGAATAACGCTCGTTACAGTCGAAGTTGCGCTTGAGGTTATGTTTATTATGATTATGCAACTAAATTAGCATCTAAGCATTCAGAGACACTTGCTACCAGCTCTCAAGTTGGGTTAAACTTCCGAACTTTAAATTTTACACATGTGGGAGTTATTTTTGGAAGTACATGGTGGTTGATATACTGAAGGTATTTTGGGATTTATGTACGGTGAAAAGCGAAATACCGGAAAACCGGAAGTTTTCCCATTTTCCAACATGGAAAGCATTCAATTTTTATCGTATCAATCTTCTACACTGTGTAGACACACACAGAAATATACCGGATGTTTGAATTTTTAAGTCTTTGAATTAATTTAACTTTGAACACATTGTATAAATATATAAATATTTATACCGCTGAAATGTAAAATATTTTGTGTGCATATTTTCGTTTTGCGGTCCGGTTTTTGGTTTAGCACATTTTGTTTGCGGGGCGGTTTGGCGCACCAAACCTAAAGTTAGTAATATCGAACCGCAGAACACGAATGCCAACCCCCGGAGTCGTCGGGGTTCATGCCCAGCTGTGTCCTCGGCCGGAGCGCAAGGACGACAAAAGGATAAAAATAAAGTTTGTTACGGCTCATGCCCACGTTAAGCACTAAAAATATTTTTAGGTTAGTTTTCATATATGTGCGTACAAATTTTCATCCCTCGCTTGCATGCGGGGATTAACGGCGTGAAATATAGATGTTGATGTCGACGCTAAGCACACTCGGAAGTCCGCCGCGATTATGGATTATCACGAAACTAATTAAGTCAACATTTGATAAAGAATGCCAGGTAGCTAGGTAGCTAGGGTAGGATATACAGAGTGTAACAGAAAACACTTTGTATAAAAAGTGCGAGGTAATAAAGTAGGGTGATTTAAAGTGAGTTTTCTTTCCACGAAGGATAACAGGATAACGTTATTAGAATAGAGAGTGGAGTAGAGAGAAAGTTGCAAGCCTCAGAGGGGAGATATACACCGTCGACCCAATTTGATCTGCATATACCGCAGCAGTCGTAGATCCTGGCGTTCACCGCACTTGGGATTCTTGGGAAACTACTTTAGTTCCTTTGGACTCCTTTAATCTCTCATCCCTCATGTTTTCCGGTCTTTGGGATTAACAAAAACTTGTAAATTTGTTATAAAAAATTATTTAAATGTTTTTTTAGGGTTGAAGGACTCTTAAGGTCCTGTTTTTCAAATGTCCACTTTCTGCTTCTATTATTGATAACTTTGTACACATGAATATTAAAACGGGTTTCGCTTTTCGTAAACTTGTGGATCATCCTGGTTTCCAGGATGTGTACGCATTAATTATCCAAGTATCCTTGCATGCCGAAAACAAGTGATGAACGACCTGCATTAGGACTCCACAGGATCCTACCTACTTACACTTAGAGACACGGATATTAAGGATTAGTATTAATACTCGTGAAATTATACAGTGTGTTTATAGATCATTCAATTTGTAATTTTCTTTGTTTTTTTACGCGGGGAAATAATCAATTAATTGATTATTTTAGTAATTTCTAGTAATGTCCTTTTAATTCTATACTTTATTTGAGTTTTTCTTTCATTATCCTTAGTAGTTTCCCAAGTCGAACAATAAAAAATTGTTTGATATGCGCGTTGAATAGTAATCATTATCGGAAAAAGGTTTTGGTTGAGGTACTTGTAGACAATATGAAGAATATAGCGCGAAGGACGAAAATTAATCCCAGTCACGTTCCGTGTCATTTATCATCGCTTATCGCCAGTCGAAGCTTACCGATTGCGATTAAATCTGATTATTTATGATGTGTTTTCCTCCCTTGCTTGCTTCCTGTCTGCAAAACGGTTAAAAAGTGTGGAGAGATCGATTTAAAACAGGAAGTGATTCAAAAAAGATAATAAAAATTAATGGAGCTAAAAATTTTGTTTTTTTGGTGATATTTTTTGCTTTTTTGTTTAAAATATGATAAATGACATTCTAATGTTACTTTTGAACCTTTGGACGACTTTTCCTGTTTGCTTTTTACTTTTTCCACTCTCTCATTATCTCTTTTTTGTCCTGAATTTCTTTATTATGTCCTAAGTCCACATTTGTTTATTTCTGATAGCATCACCAATTAGTACGTCTTTTCTTTGGTTCTATTCCGAAGCACTTAAATAAATAACGTATTGCATCCTTTGTTTGCCCGCACAAAAACACGTCCTGCAAATGGAAACGAGTCGAAAATTAGAAACGTAAACGTAACTAAGGACTAAACTAACAAGAAACGCGTCCGAAACACAATAAAACGCTGGAATACGATAAATTTAGTTTCTTTTTCTTTCTCTCAAGTGGTGCAAAAATAAATAAGATCTCTAGATAAGGAAACTAAAGAATGGCGTTGTTTTAAGTCCCCTTTAAGACGCCACGACGGGAATCCTTATACGCGACGAGGGTTGAAACGTGATGAACGATACAAAACGACGATTTTCCTTACGGAAATTGCTATTTTTTAACCTTTTTAACATTTTTGTTATCTTGATAAATTTATTCATTAATATTCATTTAATGTCTAGTTACTGGTATTTTCTCCTAAACTTGATATTGTTATAAGTTGTAATAAGTTGCTTTTGTAATTTGTTCTCGGCGCGCTAATCAAAAGTTTATTTACCAAAAGACCGTCGACACTCGCGCATTAAACTGGTTAATAAACAAATTTACTCGTAGCGAACCTTCCTCATTTGTTAGCCTTGCGTATGGCACGAAGCATGGCCATTCACGTGGTACATGAATTAACTTTCATAGAGCCGTCCGATTCAATTAAAACTTTGCGTAAACTTTCAGCCGGTTTCGAAATCCAGACGACAACAAGCGACAATCTCAACTAAATATCTATTACGTATTTAATAAAATACAAATTGTTACAAATTCATGTAGATTCTCGCTTAAAAACATAAATTTCCAATGGAATTGTTGTGTAAAAAGTGTTAAAACCACACGAAGGGATTAAAAAAAGTTGGATTTATCAACTCGTTGAAAGTTTGTTCCTGACAGGGTATCAAAACTCCTAAAAATGTTTTAGGAGTGTTTATTGTTTAACATTTGACATTTAAACACTTGAAAGTAACTAATTGTATTGCCCAGTTATTTATAGTCAAATATTGCGCTTGTTACGCTGTCAGAAAGATATATTACGACAATAATCCATCGGTTTTCACACAATTGCCGCCCTCGAACATGGTCGAAGCGTATAATTAAACTAAATCGCTTCGTGCGATGCGCAGACGATAATATTAGATTCGTGTCGGACGTCAGAGATTACTGACGCATCAATCGACAATCGATGGAATGACGATTATATGACGTTTTCATGACGATTCTGAGGGCCTAACACGATGAATTTGAGTAGGAACATGGCGACCCTAAAATCCCCGGATATCCGGTCTTGTCCGAGCTGTTTGTTGATATTTACACTCGTGTATTGGATATATTGTGCGTTGTGATCCTTGGTTTATGCAGCAGGACCACTAGACGTGGTTTAGTACGGGTAGATTTGTACGATATCCGATGGGCGATTAACCGTTTGAGATATATTATTACATTGTTTCGAGTAGTTTCAGTTGACAGGCGATTATCTAAAGATATTACCCGTGTTGTAACTTGAATTTTGCATTAGAAGGGACGAAAACTTTTTAATCTTTCTAAAATAAAATTAGTTTTTTAAATGTAAATAAATCAAAATTAAAACCTGAAAAAATTTAAATCAGTAGATTACACTTATTTATTCCGCGTTTCTCGAATTTCTTTTTCTTCTGCCCCGTACTTTTTTGAAATTCACATATTTCCCCAGAGGTATTAAAAATAAATGAAGAATTGTACCTCGGCGCCGTCGTAAAAGCGCCACATTAAACTCTACCTCAAACTGGCGTTGAACTCGAATCGCACAAATAACACACACATATATAAGAAGAAAAAAAGTCGACGTCGTGTCGCGAGTCGATGAATACGACGGAAATTATAAGCGCGGCGCCGCGGAGCAGGTTAGCAAAGCGACGGTAAAGGATAAAAAGGGAGCAGTCGAGGAGCAAGAAGCAGGAAAACGGAAATTAACGCATCTGAGCCGCTGAAAATCCAGGCTTTGACTTTATGACCTGATTATTATTAAACGCAAGAAATATTTTTTATGCGCGCATTTTATTCGATTGCTGTGCACAGAGGTTTAACTCATCATAAACGTTTGCTGGTTTTACGCTGGGGATTTAACTGTGCACGGAAAGCCGATCGCATTTTCCAATCAGTCATGCTCAGGTACAGATACTGCGTCGTTGTTTCGAATTGGTTGGAATTTGTGGCCGCTCGCACGGAAATCTCATTAAACACGCCGTAAACTAATTACGAATGTGCCACTGCAAAGCGCACAAAAATGCTCACAAATTTAAAGCCAACAATGTGAAACACTCCGCGATTCAAGCTTCATAAAACTTGAAACAATGCATAAACGACAACGCGGAAATTACATTTATGCAAACAAATAATGAAACGCTGTTTATCAGCGTTTTCAAGTAGCGTCATCTATATTCAAGTAGCTATGAAGTGTGGCAATGCGCAAATTGTATTAGGCAATTTCAAAATTCATTTGCTTTTTTATCTACGCGCGCATAAAATGAAATAAAATGAAGATGAAGGGTGTTTATGACACCTTGTATATTAGTGCGCTTTCAATTGGCACACGGGCAGGTAGCACAAAGGCAGAAAATCGATTTTTCGCATTCATGACGAGCGCCACTCTTCAAGCAAGTCTCATAGAAGTTCATTCACAACAAAACTGACAGAAAACTTTGATTAAAACTAAATGTATACACAAATTCATCGGTATTATAAACTTATTAATATTATGTATGGATTTTAATGCATGATTGTGTAGATTTATTTTTAAAAGGGTTAATATTTAATAAATTGTGTTGTCCACACTCGGTGAAATCTAAAAATCGATCGCAACGCGCACGGAACGCAATAAGCAACAGCCACCAGCCGAGTTCGGGCGTAATAAACGCGGAAAACGTGGAAACGCAATAAAACCGTCGAAAGTGGAGCGGCATGCCTAACCACCCCCTAGTAAAGTTAACCCCCACGTACGCTACGCAACTACGCGTTCCTATTCGTTAATATTCCAATTCCGCAAGCGATAATAATAAATACAATCGCACTAATAACTTCAACTATAAAATTTCCTGCATTGTGTGTTGTGGGTTGCCTAGGTGCAGGCGTAGAAGTAATACTTAACCGTGTGTGGTGACTATTAGAAAAGTAAATTTTGTAGGTTTTCGTTCAGAAATGCGAAGACGACTTGAATCTAAATATCTTATTAACTTTTCCTTAAATCTACAAAGTTTTTGTGTGGGTTACATCCGCAAATAATATACAGAGTGTTTTTATTACTGAGGAATTAAATTTTAAAAAAAGTAATATTTGAAGCAAAGTTATTATTGAGTGCGACAATCTGTCATTTTATTACTTCTTTTTTGCGCGAATAAATTCGAGCTTTTTTCGGTCTGGGAATGTTCAGCTGTCATTGAATATCAGAAAACGAGTCCTGTTGGCAGGACAATCGCGTCTCGCCTCCGCCTTCGCCTGTAACTCAACTCTACTCTCGCCGAAATATATTTTTCATTTTATCAATGCGTTTCTTTTTCCTTTCATTTTTTGCAATTTTTATCATAACACATATTATTTTATTTCACATAATATAAAAAATATAAGTATGCAGATTTTAATATCCAAGGAAAAGTTAAGTTGAGAAAATTTAAGACAAGCTCAAAGCTTTGATGTAAAAGCACTTTTTCTCCGTTTTTGTGTGCTACTTTCACGCCAACTTTCTGAGAACTTAAAAGTTACAGGTTTTTATCACGGGTAAATAATTCAGTTTAAAATTGTGCACGCCGTGCATAAATGAACAAAGAACAAATGAAAATGAAAATGTAAAGCGTCGAAGTTGGAATACATTGTTGAGAGAAGGTGACGGAAGGACGAATTCGTTCGATTAATCGATTTTCAAAAGTGACGATACCGAAACGCACTGCAAAACGACAGAATTTACTTTTAAAAATATTTAAAAATTATAATGTTTACATTTTTAATATTGCACTTGATGTCGCAAGTTTTAAAAACTAAAAGGTTTGTAAATATTAACCGAAAAAATATTGTTAAATTACTTTGAAACTTGTTGTTTGTTGTTTGCTGACGCTCGACCTGACGCGCGGCCGAAAGCTTAGTCAAAGCTTCATGAAAAATTCAATAAAACGCACCCGACAACCACTCTTTGCGCCCCGCTCACCACTAACCTATCGATTAATTCCTCCAAGCGACGTTTTACTTACTGACACAATTTTATTCACTTCCAACAACAATTGTTGTTGATCCTCGACGGCATTCAACTTGCAATCGAATCATCCGAAATGATTGATTTGATGGGATAATAAAATAAAATTTAAAGAATTTTCTTAGTTCGCGCGGATTTCGTCGAAAAGTCTCAAGGGTCGTCAAATCCCCGGAAGCGTGAATGTGGTGGAAATAAACGGAATCCGCCAGCGCCAATCCGGGAATATATCAAATGAAATTTTTTACATTTTACGCTCACATTTTATTACGATGAACATTAACGTTTTTCCGGGAAAGCTTTGCGAAAACCTGCAAACCGAAAAATGTTTCCGCACCATTAGATGTGCGGTGAGTTCCTGAGTTTCCTAACAACTTCCACGAAAAACCACGGGAAACAATTTCTTAGTAAAGGTTTCAATAAAAAAAAGTTAATACAAGAAATATCTTTGGGAAATCTTTTGAGATGCGTGTAGAACGATTGTAAAGCGTTGTAGCAATGGATAAATCGGCTTAAATATTGGCCAGCATTACCTATTCATTTCGGAGCAAAGAAAACGAGCGTGGAAAGCAAATGGACTGAAATCGACTAGGAAATCGTTTGCGATAACATCGTCGAAAGCCAAAATAACTATCGAAGAATGCTGCATAAAATATACTTGAGTAAAGTATCAAGAACATTATCAACATTACCAACTAAATTAAATATTTATTTATTCCTGGTTTTTATCGTAAAAGTCATAGCAAATTAATCAAAATATATGTTGTGCAATAAATATCAAAGTTTACGTTTATATAAACTAAGATTGACGTGACTTAACCAACCGTTATGAATTTTACAATAAAGACATTTCACGTCTCTTGAGAAAAAGGACTTGTCGTTGCGTCTTGTGATTCGTGTAACTCTTGTGTCGTTTGTAAATGTTGAAAATGCAAACAAAAAAAAACGCAAGTATTTTGTATTTCGTAGGCGAAAGTCAGCTTGGAGCTTAGCTTTTCTACTCGTATTTTTCTTTCTCGTGCATTTCTTATATGTTTATGTCTTTCTTACTCGCAAGACAAGACTGTAGTATTTTGGCAAATGTTCATTCTCGTCGGCGCTGTATAAATTTACAATGAATTCGTGTTTTTCGAGGTTTTCTTTGCGTGTACAATACAGAATACATTGTCTATTGTACACAGAATAAAATAATATCATTGTTGTTAAAATAAACGCGAAGCGTAATGTATATTCGCTGTAAAATTCGAAACGTTTAGAGTGGATTTGTGAACAAAGCAGTAAAGTTGCAACTTGACGAAACAAAGTGAATCCATAAACCACCCCCGCTTACCGCTGAGCGCACTTATTGTTTGCCCCACAAATCCATAAACATTCATAAATAATAAATGACGCGTTTAAAAATAATAACAAATTATTTCTATTGTACTGACCTGATTGTTTGTCCTGTGCGTGCGCGAATTGCGGCGCGACGAGGAGGAGCAGCAGCAGCGGCGGCAGCAAGCCAACCAGCGACCCCATCCAGCCCCATGTTCCCATGGTGGTCGCACCGGATATTCTCACTCGTCACATATCTCCATATTGCACCGCGTCATCGCCGGCACTGCGGGCACACTGCGCGGCGGCAGCGCCGGCCGCCGCCGCCGCACCGTGCCACCCCCACCATCGACAGCTTTCGCCGCATGCACGCACTACGCCCGAGTCGCGTCGGCGAGGCGGCCAGGCACCGAACGTCGCCGCCACCACACCACTACACTTACGCAAATCAGCCAATATTCTCAGCTTTGTTCTCGTCTGTTGTGATTGTTGCAAAAATGAATCATCACGTACGAGTATGATTACTCAATTGAATCGCATTCATTTTTTGCTTATTTTCACAATGAATTCATATCTAATAACGCGCAAAATGTAGTTTTTATAGTTTGTGTTCAAAAAACATATTTTTAGACAAATGTCTCCCCTGACGACGATCACGCAATAATTCCTTTTTCTCTTGTCCCTGGTTGCACCTTTAGTTTGAGCGGGTGAGAAACCACCCTCGCGCTTGTGATACATTAGGAAACAGACACACGCCGTGTGCGTTTAAACTTGACCCAATAACCTTTTGTGAAATACGATGACAAACACACTCGTCGGCATTTTCGTCATTCGCGCCATCGACGTATTCACTAATTCTAATCATCAAATCAAAACACGCACTACAATTACCAACAAAAAATAACACAAAACAAATGTTGGAGATGAAAAAAACTAGAAAAAAATACGTGTATGAGGTCAGAATATAACCATGTTAGTTAGTTATTTAATTTAATGTGGTAAAAGGTCTAAAAACGCGACTAAAAGCGCGAATATCTCGTAAACTAAAAGAGATAATTAAGATCTGATCGCAGCGTCTTAATCTACGGATTATTCTCTATAAGATAGGCTACTTAAAGCGGAAATCTGAGAGATGAAATTTTCATTCTTAAGAAAAAATTGCCAAGGGTGGGTGCTTGATACTTTTTTTCGACGATTTTTGATAATTAATATCTCTTAAACTAAAAGCGATAGCAACCAACAAATTGTTGATTATGATAGATTGGAAGATTCTCTTTCAGATAAAAATATAAAATAATTATATTTCCTACAATAAAAGGTCGAAAATCGCTAGTAAAAGTGCTAAAAAGTGACATTTTTCAATTTTTGCCCATTTTTTTCAAATGCGAATATCTCGTAAACTAAAAGAGATAATTAAGATCTGATCGCAGCGTCTTAATCTACGGATTATTCTCTATAAGATAGGCTACTTAAAGCGGAAATCTGAGAGATGAAATTTTCATTCTTAAGAAAAAATTGCCAAGGGGGGGTGCTTGATACTTTTTTTCGACGATTTTTGATAATTAATATCTCTTAAACTAAAAGCGATAGCAACCAACAAATTGTTGATTATGATAGATTGGAAGATTCTCTTTCAGATACAAATATAAAATAATTATATTTCCTACAAGAAAAGGTCGAAAATTGCTAGTAAAAGTGCTAAAAAGTGACATTTTTCAATTTTTGCCCATTTTTTTCAAATGCGAATATCTCGTAAACTAAAAGAGATAATTAAGATCTGATCGCAGCGTCTTAATCTACGGATTATTCTCTATAAGATAGGCTACTTAAAGCGGAAATCTGAGAGATGAAATTTTCATTCTTAAGAAAGAATTGCCAAGGGGTTGCTTGATACTTTTTTTCGACGATTTTTGATAATCAATATCTCTTAAACTAAAAGCGATAGCAACCAACAAATTGTTGATTATGATAGATTGGAAGATTCTCTTTCAGATACAAATATAAAATAATTATATTTCCTACAGTAAAAGGTCGAAAATCGCTAGTAAAAGTGCTAAAAAGTGACATTTTTCAATTTTTGCCCATTTTTTTCAAATGCGAATATCTCGTAAACTAAAAGAGATAATTAAGATCTGATCGCAGCGTCTTAATCTACGGATTATTCTCTATAAGATAGGCTACTTAAAGCGGAAATCTGAGAGATGAAATTTTCATTCTTAAGAAAAAATTGCCAAGGGGGGGTGCTTGATACTTTTTTTCGACGATTTTTGATAATTAATATCTCTTAAACTAAAAGCGATAGCAACCAACAAATTGTTGATTATGATAGATTGGAAGAGTCTCTTTCAGATACAAATATAAAATAATTCTATTTCCTACAGTAAAAGGTCGAAAATTGCTAGTAAAAGTGCTAAAATGTGACATTTTTCAATTTTTGCCCATTTTTTTCAAATGCGAATATCTCGTAAACTATAGGAGATAAATAGTTAAAACGGAGATCGGAGAGATGAAATTTTAATTCATAAGAAAAAAATGGGCAGATATGAGGTAATATATTTATATCGGTGCCTTGAACGCGAGTCGCATCCATTGCTGCCCTCGTACGGTGCCCTGAATGGGAGTCATTTTTACAGCTTGTTTCGAGTCACTTCTACCACTACTTTCATACGGTGTCCTGAACACGAGTCACTTTTCCCGTCACTCTTGTAACGTAATTGATGATTATAAAACTTCTGAAAATTCTTTATAGAACATGATTTTAAAATATAATAACTACGTGAAGTAAAATTTCAAAAATAGTAGCTAAAAGAATTTTCGATTGCGATCATCTCTGGACTGACTTTTCTTATAGAATGCATTCAATTCGAGATTTTAGGATACATTGTTCAAACGAACAACAAAGTAGGTAATATCAAATATTTTCATTACATTTGACTCTATCCGCAACATGCATTATTCATAGTTCTCACTTTTGACTCTTATCGGTGTTTGTGTACAAACAACTTGTTTTTATAGCGTTGCAGTAGAGTTTGTGCCATTTCTTACTTAGTCTATCGTGCGCGGTAGTGTGTTGTTCACGCGTTTAATTTTGGCGGTTTTCGTCGCGACTTATCGCGTTTTTTAAGATTTTAAGTCAGCAAATGAATTAGAATTAACGGACCAGTGCAGAGTATAGTTGATGAATTATTGCGCGTTGAACTAAGAATTGTGTGATTTTACAATGTACGCACGTGTTTGCAGTCGACCGTGAGATATCTTCCGTCGGCTAAGAATTCCTAGTGGTTTTGTTGTGTGCATTAATTTAATTACTAATTTGAATAAACATTATTTGTGCTCCGTGTGGAATATTTCACTTGTGAAAGCGTAAGAAAGTTTGTATATAAATACTCTGTTCTGTTAACATTTGACGAATTAAAGAGTCAAATGTGGAATCGCGATAAGAAAAGATGATCAATCAAATTAGTAAACACTCTAAAAATAAGTAGTAATAGTCGTCACATGGTCGTGTAAAATTACCGTATTAAAACAAGTATTGCCATACTGTCGCGTTCAGTCGGCTGCATATTTGCTCCCATTAGGTCTTGTTTTTCGTGCCTGCTTTTTGCTTTTGTATCTTAATTCTGTTTGTAATCGGCTTCACGCGTTGACTAGCTTCTGGGTTTAAAAGATCTTAATTTAGTTTTTATTTAAAAGTTGTTTAATAAATTAATAATTATTTGTAATTACATTATTTATTATGTTTCTACTCACCTCACCTATCACCTCTCCAAGATACACAGTGGGAAACAGTGAAAAAATATAGAAAAAAATGTATATGAGGTCAGAATATGAGGACAAATAGAAACATGTTTCAAGGGTGGTGCTGCTGGTGGTGGACGTATTTTTGGGGTAGTAAAAACCTATTCTGTTTTTGTTTGATGTGGTCGTAATAGCAGTATTAACGGTTTTAACAGTGAAATATGCGTTTCAGTCTCAAACGCGTCTAGAATTCCCAATCCGTCGTTATTTACGAGAATTATCCCCCAAAATAGTGGTTGTAGGCTACCACACAATACCCACGGGATCATTAATTCTAAAATTAAGCCCACAACAACTATTTTTTGTAATTAAAATTTAAAACAAGGTTAATAGGCTACTACAAAATTGAAATATGTATTATTTGTTTATATTTATTTTTGAAATAAACATTTTTATATTATTTCAGATGTTTCTGTTTCTGTTATCTGCAAGGAACAATTTCTTCAATGGGCCGTGAACATAAGGTAATGATATTTAAATTATGTATTATTTGCTCTTTTAAAATTTGATGCACTGAATTAGAGTCACCCATGCGTTAGGTATTGTAGTTTCATTGTTATAACACGCGAACGCGGTGTCACAATTAGTTTGAAATAATTTTCCTAGATGCAGAATTTAATTTTGCATCTCGCTGTATTTAAATATATTACTAGAAAATTCCGTAACGCGAGTTATATTGAAAGTTGTGTGTATACGCACTAGTACTCGTTGCGCTAGTACTCGTTGCGTTAGGTATTGTAGTTTTATTGTTATAACACGCGAACGCGGTGTCAAAATTAGATTGAAATCATTTTCCCAGATGCAGAATTTAATTCTGCATTTTCCTGTATTTAAATATATTACGAGAAAATTCCGTAACGCTAGTTATAATGAAAGTTGTGTTTGCGCCGTAGTACTCGTTGCGCTAGGAATTGAAGTTTTATTGTTATAACACGCGAACGCGGTGTTACAGTTAGTTTGAAATAATTTTCTCAGATGCAGAATTTAATTCTGCATCTCCCTGTATTTAAATATGTTACGAGAAAATTCCGTAACGCGAGTTATATGGAAAGTTGTGTGTATACGCACTAGTACTCGTTGCGCTAGGAATTGTAGTTTAGTCACTTTTATCGCTAGCCTCGTAAGGTACCCTTTATCGAGTCACTGCTACCGCTAGCCTCGTACGGTGCCCTGAACACGAGTCACTTCTACCGCTACCCTCGTACGATGCCCCGAATGGGAGTCACTTTTACCGTCACCCTCGTCTCGTGATTGAAGATTATAAAACTTCCAAAAATTCTATATAGAACAGAATAATGAAATATATTAATTACGTGAAGTAAAAGTTCAATAATAGTTGTTATAGGAGCTAATATAAGAGATTTGCCTTGTTGCCTTGTTGATTATCTTTAAACTGCCTTTTCATATAGACTGCATTCAATTCCGGATTGTAGGATACATTGTTTATGTGAATAAGAGGGTACGTTCAGAATATAAAATCTTTCCATTGTATTGAACTGTATCCACAACATGAATTGTTTATACTCATAGTTCGCACTCTTGGCTCTTATCGGTGTTTGTGCACAAACAACTTGTTTTTATTGCGTTGCAGCGCATCCGATGCGCTCAGCAGTGTTTGTGCCATTTCTTACTTAGTCGATCGTGCGCTGCGGCGTAGTGTGCACTCGTTTACTTGCGCGGCGGTCTTCATGGCGACTTATCGCGTTTCTTGTGATTTTAAGTCGTTACTTGAATTATAATCGGTCACCAAAGATAAAATTTAAAATTAACAGACAAGTGCGGCCTATAGTTAATGAGTTATCGCGCGTGGAACCAAGAATTTCGTGGTTTTATAACGTACGCACCACGTGTTTTCCGTCGGCCGTCGTATATCTTCCGTCGGCTAAGAAATACTCAGGCTTGTTTCGTGTATCCATTTAATTATTAATTTGAATAAACATCATTTGTGCATCGTATGAAATATTTCATCTGCGAAAACGTAAAAAAGTATGTAACATAAAAACTATATTCTATTACAATTACCAACCTTATAAGGAAAAACGATCAGAAAAATTAGTTAACACAATACATAGCATAGTCGTCACATGGTTGCATATAATAACCTTTGTAATACAAGTTTTGGAATATTGTCGCGATCCGTCGGCTGCGCATTCGCTCTCATTCGGGACTTTTTGTATTCATAATTCTGTCTGTGCTAATTTGTGTGTTTAAGAGATCTTAATTTAGTATTTCTTTAAAATGTGTTTAATAAATTTATAACTATTAGTAATTGTATTATTTATTATGTTTCTATTCACGTACTTATCACTTCCCCTAGATAAACAGTAGAAAACAGGTAATGAAACATTTACTTTTGATTTTGATTTTGTATCACCCTGTATATAAATTTTTCTTAATGCTCGGCGAAAATGAGCATAATTATATTGTTTTGGGGCGCTTTTTTTTCAAGTGAAGATTTTCTTTAGGCAACACCCTGTATGTAAATTTTCCTTTATGCTCAGTGAAAAATGAGAAATCTTTATTGTTTTGGGGTGATTTTCTTTTTTAATTTAAAATTTTCTTTTGATAACACCCTGTATATAATTTTCCACTGATGTCACGCGAAAACAAGGCGCAATTTGCTATTTTCCAGTGTTATCTTTTGTAATTTCGCAGCCGTTACCATAGCGCGGCTATGCAGGTCATAAACATGTTTTAAAATGACGTCATATATCTTGTAACTATTGAACATTCAAGTTATGAACTTATATTGTATTTAGTTTGTTAATAAAGAAATGTTAAAGGCAATGGCTGTGTCTTATGACTTGAGCACCCCATCCTTCTATCATTTCAGGTACAGGTCACAACTTGTAAAGTATTTCTCAATGTTGTGGTCGGCTCTGAGAGCGGCGACATTTAGAAATATCTCTACAAGTCCTTATAAGAAGATCTCCCACTCGGGGGATGATCCCCACTATAAAAATTGTTAAGGTATCCTGTATGATTTGTGTACTCCATCTTTCATTTCAGCTAGAGGTCAGAACCCGTAAGAATATTTTTAAGTGTCCCCTCTCTTGAGGCGACTTAAAAATTAGAAATATTTTTACAAGTCCTCAAAAGGATGTCCTTATAAGGAGTTCCCTCTCTCTGGGGATGATCCCCCACCATAAAAATTGTTGATATGCCTGATAATTTCGGGGATGAAGCGCAGAGACATCGTAGCTGTAGGATGGGCCGGGAGCAATGGACGGACTGAAGCAGTGGGCGATCGACCAGAGCGCCGGAGGCGCTCTGGGAGATCGACCGTAGACTGTCTTATAACGACACGTGCCAAAAAATTTAAAAATTCTGTCACCCCTATTCTCTTTTCTTCCTATACTCTCTCTTCTTCTTCTCTTCTTACTTCTCCTATACTCTCTCTCCTGCTGCTGCTGCTCTCTATTTGCTCCTCCACCATCTTCTATTTATTCTTACTGTTGGTTGCTTCGTCGTACCCTGCTTTTCAAGTTATTTCTAACATTTGAATCTTGAATTTTTGTGGTATGCAACCCACATTTCGTATATTTCTTATTATTTAATAAAATTGCCTTCTACAATTGAGATTCGATCCATGAACCTCTAGCATGCTAGCATATGCACATGCCACCTGAGCCACACGGCTCCTTTATCGAATCATATTCGTTTCAGGTATAAATGTTGTTGTTTTTCTCACCTTTTTAAAAATAACAACACTTATATACTTGTTACGCGCATTTCGAACACGTGCAATCAAATGTGATCATTAAAACTAACTCTGTAAACAACAAGGTGGAAACAAAGACAAAAATGCTAGTAAATATAATAATAAAAGTATAATTTATTGCAACTCATTCAATTACAAAAGTACATGTTGAATTTTAATATTATTTGTTGATATTTAAGTAGTTTCAAAGTATTTACTCATTTCATTGTTTCCCCGCTTTTCTTTAACGTCTGATGAATTCTTTTCGTCCATGATACATTGTCACTAACTGTTTAATTCGTCAAATATTAATGTTACACCCTGACGTGCACTTTCGTGGTTGAAATATTTCACAAATTAATAACACTGCACAAATAAAGCCACTGCGACTTCTTAGCCGATGTGAGATATCCGTCGGCCGACGGCAAACATGTGCGCACATTGTAAAACCACGCAATTTTGGGATCCACGCGCGATAATTCATTAACTACACGTTGCACTCGTCTGTTAAGTCAAAATGCTATCCTTATTGACCGATTCGAATTCAACTACCGATTTAAAATCTCAAGAAACGTGATGAGTCGCCACGAAAACCGCCGCGCAAAGAAACGCGTGCACACCACGCGGCAGCGCACGATCTACTAAGTAAGAAATGGAACATGCACTGCTGCGCCCGCATCGGACGCGCTGCAACGCGATAAAAAGAGGTGTTTGTACACAAACAGTGATAAACTAAAACTTCCTAACTTATACCTGAAATTTCAATTTATTTGATTAATACGCAGAAATCTCACTATTATACTTTATATATTTCACCTGGTTGCATAAATCTACAAAACATGGAATATATTTTATATCATCATATTCATTTATCGTCTCCCGCTGCGCATCATCGTGTTCATATAAACTCTTGTACGGTATTAAAATATTAATAATAACAATTTCAATTGCCTAAGTACACGCAAAGAATACAAATACAGATATTTGTTCATCAAGACATTATTACTTTGTTTTGTTCTCGTATGGAAATGGAAATCGAAGTCGTGGAAATTGTCAAAATACTGATTGAAAACGAAACAAAAAATACACAAGAAAATAATAACGAACGTTCAACATGTGTGTGCTCAATGGAATGTGAAATTACTGGCCAATTATATCAATTAAACTAGAAACAATTAAATTAAAGTATAATTTGATTGATGCAATTGTTTCGTTATTTGTTTGACGTTCGTCCGCTACGCTTTTAAATATTTGCTTAGATTATCTCAGATCTATATAATATTATTGGTATAATATGATTATTATACTAAGTATGTACATGTGTTTTGTTTCTCAATTATTTTCGCTTGGAGTTACGGGTCTTGCCTAACGTTTGTTCACAATTTGATTACTTCCTTAGATTAGATTAATGTGTGTGGGTGTGGTGTTGTATATTTGCGCTAAATGTAAAAATTATTGAGATTTCTGATCCGTTTTGTTCGATTCCTAACTTACATCATGAATAGGTCCCTAGTGTATTTTTGTATTGTAACAATCGATATTTTCAAATGCTGCAACCAATTTCGGAATTATTGCGACAAATATGTGTCTTCTGATATGAATCGAATGAATATTATAATTAATCACAATCGCAATCGCCATTTTGTCCATGCCGCATAATAAAACGGTAAACAAAATGGCGATTGCGGTGTTGTTGCAATATTTACGTACTGGCAGTGATTACGTACACAAAATAATATATCCATGTTTCATACTCTTCCTTCATCCATCATTCCTCCTCATCATCCTCAACATCTTCATCATAGTACAGTACTTATCAATAGATTTAAATATTTATATGTTGTATAAATAAAATTATGTGTGTTTGTATAGAGTGAAACAAAACAACTCGGATTCGAATCTGTTGTCGATGGAAAATCAAAAATTACAAACGATATGTACAAAAAATACAAATATAACTCTTTACCGCGCTCAAATATACTTAGATATAATTACTTTAATTATGGAATTACGCTTTGTTTTCATTTTGGAGTGCACTGGTTTCAGTTACTTCACTGTCACACTTTAGTCTCGCTCACTTTCATATATAACAATTAAATGTTAATGTCATTGAAATTAAAACCAGCCTCATTGGCAAACTTCAGCAACTCTTGATCGGATAGTGTGCTATCCGGTTGGAAGGCTAAAAGGTCCAGAAAGTCGTTGTTTTGATTGTTTGCCGTCGATGACAGCTGGTTGTTCTGCTGCGGCTGTTGCTGCTGTTGATTCTGTTGTTGCTGTTGTTGGTGGTGGCTTTGACTGTTGATCGACAACGACTGCGTTTGTTGCATGTGGATATTTGTCATAGACATCTAAAAAGACACAAAATTATAGTTTTAAAGATAATTTAAGTTAAAAGTATACAACATACTTGATTATTGCCCTGTACAACATTTTGCTGTTGCTGCATCATCATCTGTTGATTCATCGAGGTCATCTGGGCCATTGGCCCACCCCCTTGCGATGGTGCCCCACCTCCGGGACCCTGTTGGCCCATCATGGGTTGGTTCATACCACGCATCTGCGGCTGCGCCATTTGCATCTGCATGGGATTCGCTGCGTTCATATTAAAACCAGCTATGGAATATAAAAATGTTATTTTTGTTTATATCAATAATAATTAATCATTGCTTACGTTTATTAGCACCTTGATGTTGCGCAAAATTAGGCCGCATCTGATTGCCAAAGTTATTGCCCTGCTGCATCATCATATGCCGCCATTCAGCACTCCCATGTTGCGGCCCACCTGGCCCACCATCCATACCACCATTACCCGCACCAGGATTCCCTCCCATAGGTCCCTGTTGTCGCGGCGGGTACATCCCTCGAGCTGCCATTTGTTGTTGTTGCTGTTGTTGCATCATATACATACTATGCGGACGCATCATCGGCCCGGAAGGAGGCATAGACTGATGTGGCATTCTCCTCATTCCACCCGGAGGCATATTACCTGGCCCTGCACCTGGTACAGGCCCAGGTCCCGGTCCATACCTAGGTCCACCCATGCCCTGCATCAACCCCGCGCTTGCTTTGTACTCAGGTGGCGGGGGCCGTACCATATGTTGTTGTTGCTGCTGCTGTTGTTGCATCGCAGCCTGTTGCTGCGCTCTTATAATCTGCTGTTGTTGCATCAATTTCTGCTGCTCCATAGGAGTCATATGCCGCATACCATTGGGTGCCATGGGTCCACCAGGTCCACCAGCACCCATCTGTGTAGGCATACCCATCCCAGGCGGGATACCACTCCCTCTTTGACGCAGAGTTTGTTGTGTAAAGTTAATAGTCTGACTCTGCGTCATCGAGTACGAATCATTCATCTGCCCAGGTCCTCCTGGTCCACCAGGACCATGCCCGGCGTTCATCATCACATTGTTACCCATATTGCCCATATTCGGGTTCATCGCGTTCATATTCATATTGTTCATGTTATTCATCCCGGACATATTATTCATATTCATATTATTCATTGACATACCACCATTACCGCCATGCATACCTTGGTTAGGTCCCGAGCCAGGACCTTGGTTAGGTCCACTTCCGGGACCATTCTGTGCGTGCATCGACTCATTCACGTTCATCATATTAGGATTATTCGCGTTAGGACCACCGGAAGTAGGTCCCTGTTGTGGAACACCTGAAGAATCATTCTGATGTGAATTATGCGAGGTGTGGTTATTGGGTTGCGTTTGTGCATTCGGAGCGTTCGGATGGGGCGTGGCTTGTTGTTGTTGCTGTTGTTGTTGAAAGTGCACCCCTTGTTGCGTAGCAATTGAAACATTGCCTTTGAGATCACCGGACAAGTGTAAATGTTGTCCGGCAGAAACCTAATGAAGAAACAAAATAAAAATAAGATTAGATTAGAATAATGACACATTGTATATTAGAGAAATATATACTATAGAATGCGTGTAAAGCTAAAAGTTGAAGCAAGGCTAAGCTAAACACACGCGCGCCGGCTGCGCGCGACGACGTACGACGTTCGACGACTTCCTGTCCGATGAGTTCATTTCGAATTTTACAGTTTACAGTAAGTACTCGCCAACACACACACACACAGCCGCAAATAAGGCACGCACGCACGCGCGGTGTGCGCGCTCGCTCGCTGAGTAGTAATTTCATCGACAAACAACAGATTAATATCTGAAATGTGTTAATTTCTTCGTAATTTGCCGAACGCTTACATCAACACAATTATTTCTTCATTTTTTACAGATTTAAGCGCTTAAAATGTATTTATGCTTAAATTAAAACAAAATAACAACAAAAATCTAAAAATTTCATATTTTTCTCTTAAAATTCCTCCGAAAAAAAGAAATGAAATGAGAACGTGTTGAAACAATCCGATTGTCATGTAATTCAACAGTAGTTTCTCTCTGTGTCTCCACGCTCACAACGTGTGTGAATGTGAAGTTAAAGTCGCAACACAGTCTTTACCTCTTCGTCGTTCGCCGTGTTGCTCGTGGAATTAATCATAAACACACTACAATACTTAAGTCCGTGTGTGTCTAGTGGGAGTGAAACAAACACACACACACACACGCGCATGAAAGAAAGAAAAGAATCAAGTTAGAAGTTGGGCCGCGGCGCGCACGAGTAGTGAGGCTGCGAGTAGAAAAGTAAAGCAAACGTAACGCAGCGCGCAGCAATGCAAAGTAGGAATTCGTCCGGCGAGAAGAAAGGAAACACCAAAGCGAGAAAGACGCCGGCAACGCGCCCGAAGGCGATCGTCATCGAGCTGTTACTGCATTACGTTTTGCTTCAACTTTAACTGCGACGGCGCACGACGACGACGGCTAGATATGTGTGTTACTCATAAACTTGTGTGCTCTGCTTAAAACTTTACACACAATCAGAGACGACATTTTGCTAAACATTCCAAAGTATTTATTTTTTCATACATCGCGCTATCACCAATATTGCGCACACATGTGGCGTGATGTATGTTATGATTATGACCGGCGATGAATAATGCGTGTGTATACTACGAAAATCACGATCGATCGCGGACGCCTCAACCGGAAATTCCAAAACATTCTTCAATACTACACCATCGAAAGATGTGAAATATTAGTTGAATTTGTCCGAGGGCACCGGAAATGCCCAGCCATGTTGTTTGGAAATTAATTTTTGCGCTAGGGATGATTCCGTGGGACGCGCATGCGCAGCGCGACGGTCACGTACGCGAGCGAGATCATTGCTCTTGCATTATTAAACCAGAACTTGCGACGCGACCGCAGCGCGACAAGAGAACACAAGAAGCAGCAGACACACGAAGAAGATACCTGAACATGACGCGCGCGCATGCGCAGACAGGAAAGCCGAGGAAAAACTCGAGAAAGCAATGACTTCAACCAACACTACACAACAAATTTTATTTTATAATTACACGCGAGCGCGGAAAAACGTGCGAATGGAAACATTATCTACTTTAAATTCAAAAATTTCAACGCGCAAAAAAGCAGCGAACAGGTTAATCAACTCGCAGATTAAACGTAATCCGAAATCACACTGATTTAAAACAGTCGCCAATTTGAAAATTTCGATAAACTTAAGTTGAGTCAAGTTCACGCTGGAGTTACAACACAACTTTTATGTACAAAAGTTATGTTTTATGTCCGGCGAGTTTATTATGAGTAAAATTCGTTGAAATTTTTGCCTCAAGTTGAAGTTTTACGATCAAAAGTTCAAGATGTCGTGTTCGAAGCTTTAAAAGAAAGCTATCATTCGCGTTAATTACTTAATTACGTATTCTGATCATCAAATAAACAAATAATCAACGTGTTAAATCTCTGAAGAGAGTAAAAACACGCTTTTATGCGATTTTAATATCTTCATTAGATAAAATTTTATATCCGATCAAAATTTGTGACTTTTAAGTGGCGCCCTCTATGAATAAATCACTCCAAACTGAAAATTTCGTAAAAATAATCAGAAAAACCCCTGAAAAACTAAAAATTACATTTTTTAAATGTATTTTGAGGTTTTAGGTGGCGCCACCTATCAATAAATCCCCAATTAATTTAAAAATTTCCCGAAAATAACCACAAAATGGCTGAAAACGGAAAATTACAGTTTTCTTTTAACAACTAAGAGATTTTATGTGGCGCCATCTATGAACAAATGCTCATAAATGTTGAATTTTCTCAAAAATAACCAAAAAAACGCCAAAGTACAGTTTTTATTAACCTGCACTGGAAACAACTGGGTGTTCTCTCGCGAATAGTGGTACTAGACGTAATAGTACGGTTCATGTACGCCTGCCTAGCTTATTACCTCGGCGCACTTCCTCATTCTTCGACTGTGGTTTGCGCGCGCGCGCGACTTTTCTTCCATTTTCATTCTGCGCGCGCCCGGTGAGGCAGATAGGCAAGTACAAACAAGTACCTATTGTGTATTGCCGCATCAATCATCGTAAATTTTACGATTTTACGACTCTCGCGCGCCGCAAAAATGATTTATTTATGAAAATATATCAAAAATAATCAAATCTGCCCACGAAACAAAAGCAAATTTTAAATTTCACGCGAAATATATCATAGAATAAGTAATAATCTTCACTGACAGCTAATTTTCTACACATACAAGTGCTGCCATCTATGATCAACAAGTTCAAAACAAAAATATCGTTGAAAATAAATCTAAATGTTACTTTTTTATAAGTTTTAAAACATAAAAACACGTATAAAACAAATAAAAACCATAAAAAAATAAAATTCCCGCAGCACCCTGTATATTTTTCAAATAAAACCCCGTTATGATGATGTTTCCAGCGTGAAAATATTCGCGTGACGCTTTGCGCTTGTTGCCGAGGGTGGAAAATGGATACGGGGATATATATCAGCATCCACGCGTCCCTCGGGAGGACGCCGGCCGGCGGGCAGCGCACGGGAGGGGTGGTGCCGGTGCCGGTTGGTGGTGGTGGCGGCGGCAGGAACGTCCGGCAAGGCCTTCGCGCCCTTTCGCCCGGCGCCCGCCACGCGCTCGCCTGTATCGATTCACACCGCGCCGCCGCCGTGCCGCATCGCATCGCACCAGAGGGGTAAGAGAGAGGTGTGCCCCGCGATGGCGATGTCGCCGCCGACATCACACCACCCACCCCCCAAACATCTACCTACATCCCCATTACTGCTACTATTCTACACATTCCAGCACTCGAAAATCATATTCATAACAATCGTAGTATACGTGCAATTAGTATTATTGCAATGATCACCACGTGTAATATGCTTATTAATATAATAAATAGGAAAATGCTATTGTTTGTTACGCTTTCACGCGAAAACCTTTCATCCGATTTTGATACAATTTGGTATAGAGATAGTTTTGACAAAGGAAAATAATATAAGCTACTTTTTGTCCCCAAAATATAATTTTAAGGGTGAGAAATAAGGGATGAATGATGATATGGGCTTAAAATCATAATTATAGTCTAAAAATTCATATCTAGATGGCGCTAAAGTGAATATTAATATTTTTTCTTCTCTAGAAATTAAAATTACGAATCATCCTGACGAAAAATTTGAAAATCTACCCCTAAATATTTTACAAAAATTAAAAATCATGAAATTTACATCTAAAAATCTATTTTTTTCATTTTCTGAGATAAATGCAACGCGTTTCTAGATGTTTGGCGCCGAAGGGTGACTGCGCGAGCCCTCTCAGCGGAAGAGGGTGTCTGTGTGCCTGTGCCACGAAGGGTGAGCGCGCATTCTGCGTGACTACGTGACTCTCAGACGTCCTCCGCCATTGCGCGCCCTTCAAACCAATGTTTGCCGCAAACAACCAAAAATAAACCTCAGAAAGAAAAAAAAACCCAATGAAAAACAAAACCTACCTTTCTACTAGACTAGAAAATTATTATTCAAACGCTGACCACCCTCGCACCTCCACCTCACCACTGGAACATGGAATAGCAATATGTGCAATTTCGGCTTCTGCACGTGGTTGGCTCATGCAATTCTAATAGGTAATTTCGCAATTACCGTTCTTATGATTTTAATTTTCATTGTGATTGCGATTTTAATAGTAATGGCGGCCACCCTACCTGCCAAGCCCATGCGGCATAACCATAATTATGATTTACTTAGTTAATGAAGCCGCGGCGCTCGCTTAATGAATGCGCTTCAACCAGCGTCATCTACAAAATAATAGCCTAGGAACCTACATTATACCTGCCGCCATCTGGCGGTGAAATTTCATCGCTAATACCACTGCTCACAAATATACGATGTGCGGACAAACGTCTACCTAGATTTGCTTTATTGACATTGCGCATTTCAGCGTTTATCGCTTGTGCGCGCGATAAGCGGCCATATCACAATCAACAATAACTAACAAAAAAAAACATCATCATATCATTGGAGATAAACATACCGAGCACACACGACGTGAATACTGATTATGCAAATTGCTGGCTGCGGGCGCACATTATTTCCGATTGCGTTAAGAAACATTTAAATTTTGACACTTTGACACTCGCTGCTACTTTTATACTTTTCTCCTTTTCATAAAAGTCAACTCCACTTACTTGCGCACTCAAGTGACTTAAGTCACATGCATGTTGTTGGTGCGGTGTTGTTGTTGCACGTACGCGTACTTTTAAAATGTTAATAACGCACGCGCAGTCGCAAGAGAGGTCAGAAGTCGCGCCGGAACGTAAACAAACGCTGCTGACGAAGAAACGCGACGAGTGGAAGTGTCACAAACAAAAAACAGGCTATATAATAGAAATCAAAACTAAAAACGTATTATCCACCATTGTTTAAGGTGAAAACTAGCGCCATCTATGAAATAATAGTTCTGGAAGTTAAAATGATCAATATTGCGGCTAAAAATAGCTAAAATTGAAATAAAAACGAAATAAAGCATTAACTGTCATTAGAAATGATGTAAACTAGCGCCATCTATGAATAAAAAGGTCTAGAAGTTAAAATAATCAATATTGCGGCTAAAAATAGCTAAAAATTGAAATAAAAACCAAACAAAAGCATGAACTTCAAATATATCAGATGTAAAGTGGCGCCATCTATGTATAAACAGCTCTAGAAGTTGAACTAATTAATTTTGCAGCGTAAAATAGCTAAAAATGGAAATTAAAACGAAATAAGATAGCGTAAAATAACGCCATCTATGTATAAATAGCTCTGAAAGTTAAATTAATCAATTTTGCAGAAAAAATAACTAAAAGTTAAAATAAAAACAAAACAAAGCATTAATTATCCTTTAACATGACGTAAACCAACGCCATCTATATAAAAATACCTCCTATCATTAAAATAATCAATTTACCTCCTAAAAATAGCAAAAATCTAATTATTTCCACCGTTGTCGACGTTCAATGTCACAACAAACGTTGCCCGTCGACATTTGCATTCGCTGCGTTTGTAGTACACATCGTATCGTATCGTACACACACACCGTGTACCCACCTAGACCTGCCGCACCGCGCGCTAGAATACCGCCGGTCAACATCTACAATTTAAATTACCCGATCGTAATATTCGATTGACGCAGAGCAAGCAAGCAGGCAGACGAAACGTGCATGACGCACATCAAACGCTAATAATAAAACAACGGCAAACAATATGTCCGAAATGCGCGCGCATGCGCACTACTTACGAATATCGGCGAAATTAATTCCAAGAAAACACATTAAGTGTGTAACTAGTGTGAAATCGGCGCGGAGAGAGCGTCGCGGCGCGCGCGGTGTGTTGACCCGAGACGCCCCGGCGTGCGCGCCTCCACCACCAAACCGCCCCCTCGACTGCGAATGACGAGCGGATCAATATTTAATCAACAAGCGCCCAACACACCAGCGACCGGCCATCACTAAACTCCCAAACCCGAAACAAATCTCTCCAATATCATAAATAAAATAAACTCCGCCCACAAAACCCACATAACCTATATTAAAGGCGGAGCTTAAAAACAAAAAATATCAAAAAAATCATCCACTAACCTGAATATTATGTCCGTGACTCTGTTGACTAATATGCATGGACTGCGCCTGGTTGATCTGCAGCGTAGTGGTACCATTATTCCCGCCAGGCCCACTCGGAGGTCTTGGAGGCGTGGCTCCGGCGAAACCCCCACCATTAGGTCCCGCCCCCGTCCCACCTCCCGGCTGATTATTGCGTGGTAAATACCCAGGACTACCATGACTCCCCGGCGATGGAGACCCATATGGGCTGTACTGCTGCTTGTAAATCCCCGCCGCCGCCGCCTTCCGCTTCATATCAAACTCGTTCCCTTGATAGATCATCTCCTGCTTGATCATTTCTACACCTTGCACGCTCTGTTGGAACCCAGGACTGTTTTTATGAAAATTACCCCCACCACCAGCACCTGCCCCCGAGGATTGATTCTGGTTTTGATTGGGATTGGGACTTCCATACTCATTCATAGGAAAATCAGAATAAGGTGATCGTGCGTTAGCTACGCCCGGAGGTGCTCGACTGGGCGGGTTAAACGACAGACCCATTTGTTTCTGATGCTGGTGTTGTTCAGCCATTTGTTTCAGCGTCTGCGCAGCAGGTGATAATTCCGTCTTGACGAAATCTCCGCTCATGTATGGCGGCATGCGTTTGTTTTCAAACACAGGCGGCGAACAGTTTTGATTCGCCGATTGAAAGTTACCCCCACCTGCATTACCGCTAGCGCCACCTATGGGTGTGGATTTTAAATCACTACTACTAATACTCGACAGTAAGTCTTTGGAGTCTTGCACTTTGAGATCGTCGCTCTTGTCGTCAAAGTCAAAATTGAACTCGTTGAAGTTCGCTGCAATGTCCTTGATGATCGCCTTGAACGCCGGCGATGTGAATAACTCATCGTTATTCTCATCCCCGATCAAATCTGTAATATTACCGAAACCCATTCCGCCATTGGCAGCGTCTTTCTCCACTGCGGCTGCGCACTCGTCTAAATCAGCGAAATCATTCAGTGGTTCCTGTTTCACGCAGTCGGGCATCCCGCTATCGTTGGATGTATTAACACCGCCGCCCCCATTGCCGGCCTTCGATTGATTCGCATTCTGTGCGTTTTGATTCTGCTGTGAGGGTTTCGGCGAGGCGACGTCGCTTTTAACCGACGCGTTCGTGTGCGCCTTGACGGTGACATTCGTGGAAATCTGCTGGGGCTGGGAGTTCGCCGCCGACGTTGTGAACTCGACACGCTGGACGATCTGCACGGAGAATTTCGTGAGACCGTCCTGCTCCTGTGTGCCGTGCTGTTGGGTGGTGCATTGCAGTTTGACGGGCGGTTCGAAGCTGGCGTCGCCGTTCGGGACGCCGCCCCCGGGACCGCCGCCACCGCCGGGGTCATGTTCTTCGGCGGAGCGTTTGAGGAATTTTTGTTGCTGCAACAGAAAAATTCGAAAAACAAAATATAGACGCGCCCACAATGTATTTATAAATATTTTATGTAATTTATGCCACGCCCACGTTATAGGCGGAGCAAAAAATGTTGAAGATGAGGAAAATTACAGGGGAAAATCCTGTAGGGGAATGAAATTGTACTAAAAGCAAAAAATCGTAGTAAATGAGATCGTAAATTGTATTAATCACACTCCGGCACGCCTACGAGTCGCAAATTTTCTTGGCGCGCACACGTAAATACTCTGTAGTAAAAGAAAAAAAAAACAGAGAAAAGCTTCACCCCAACTGGGGATTGAATTAAACTTTTTTAATTAGAAAACATTAAGCATTACGACCTGCTGAAACAAAATCGGATTGTAGCTTGATATAATTAAGGAAAATAAATCTTGCGCACATAAAAACAAAAGAAAAAACGAAAACAAGCCCCGCCTCTTAATGGGAGGAGCTTAAAATGTAAAAAATGCTAAAATTAAAGTAAAAACTCTAAAATTTCAAATTTTTACTATGAATTATGACGTTTTGAAACAAAATAGAAAATATATCTTGAAATAATTAAAGAAACCTAACCTAAAACAAGCTCCGCCCTTTAATGGGCGGAGCTTAAAACACACAAAACACTAAAATAAGCCTCAAAAATCCCTAAAAATGATTTTTTCATGATTGGCATTGTGTAGCACCCGCAGGTACTCGTACATCAAGGGTCTAGAGACATACAAAAATATTTCTATGCGATGCGATTCTTTTCTTCGCTCGTTCGCGTGCAGGTTGGCGCGCAGCGCTACCGGCTACCGGTTAGGTAGGAATGCGGGTGAACGCGCGTGGAAACTGGAATGGAACTGTCCGCGCAGTCCGCAGACTGAGCGCCGTAAGCGCGCGCGCGTAGATGAAGAAGAGAAGTACAAGAGGAAGATGCAGAAGGCGGTGTTGTGTTCAGCGAAAAGCTGGTGCTTGAGGGAAAGAAGAATCCTCCCGAGGGCCTGCGGGCCGAAGAGGAGACGCAGACTATCGCGCAAATCGCATCGCACCACACAACAAGTGTGTAACAACACCACAGTGCGGTGTATAGGAGCAGAAAACAGCAAGAAACAAATAATATACATGAAATTTAAAGAAATCTGTTTTTAGACCACGCCTAACAGGTGGGCGGAGTGAAAATAGAAAAATTTTAAGAAAAAATTACATAAATCGTAAAAATTTTAGGAAAAATTGAAAAAAAATTGAAAAATAAATATTTTTTAACAAACAATTTAGAGGACATAAAAGAAATTGTATTTTCGGCCACGCCTATCAGGTCCTCAATTGTAGGCGGAGCAAAAAACTAATTTTTGAAGAAAAAATGACAAAAAATGTAAGAAAACAAATTATTTCATGAAATTTAGCCAAAAAAACGTAAAAATGAACAGTGATAAACCAAATAATTCACATAGAACCTCCATATTGTGATTTTAAGACACGCCTACCAAATTTCCATTTGTAGGCGGAGCATAAAACCTATTTAAAAAAAAAACTGCAAAAACCGCAAAAAATTCGAAATTTTCATGACAAATACTTCTAAAAATGCAAAATTAAATTAATTTTGTAATACAAAATGACCTATTTTGAACTTTTGTGTATTGCGCATGCGTGAAACACTCACCAGGAAAAGTATGCTAGAACAGTGCGAAAGTATAACGGCGAAACTCGCATCGTTAGTCGCGTTTGCGACGTTACTTTACTTTTCAGCTTTTACCACGGCGGGCGAAATGCAAATGCAAATCGCATGCAACAATTTACAACAGACCCAAAGCAAAGCGAATAAGAATGCGAAACCAAATCAGAACTATGGGAGTATCCGCACGGCGCAAAAAACGCAAACGAATAGAGCAATCGCGCGTCGCCGCCGACGACGACTACGACTTCGCACACTTTCCAATTCGAGTGAAACCTTCACAATACCTCTCTGCAGTCTAAACTAAACTTAAAATATAAAATATTCCTTTTAGAAACAAAACGACAGCAAACAATAATGAATTTAAGCGTAAATCATAAAAATCATAAATATTAGATAAGATTTAAGCAAATTGTTGTTAAAATAGAAGAGAAAAGCGTTGAAATTTTATTTTTAACCAATTTTATCGTTTCTGGAAGAGTAACGGTATTTTATGGCCAATTTTGTTGAGTGTTTTCGCAAAATTGAACAAAAATCGCGTTTGCATATAATTAGTATTGTCGCACATGACCATATGATTACCATAGGCTCACATGACAATACTAGTACGACTACTAGTAGTAATGGTACTGTCGTTCGTGTCTATATACTTATCATAGGCACATGTGACAATACTAAAACGTATGTACCTTCAAAATACTATATAGTCTAAAATTAATTCAAAAAATTCTCTTAAAACAGAAAAAATGCCAGAAAAAATGAATTTTAACTATAAATCGAAAATTTAACTAAAATTACGTAAAATTTAAACAAAATAATTGAAAAAAGCATTGAAAATTTATTGATAACCAATTTTATCGTTACTAAAAGTGCCCGATGGTATTTTATAGACAATTTTCTAGAGTGTTTCACGCGATAAATCCAATTCTTTTGCTCTTATCCAACACTATTGCTACTTTAATTTACATTAAATCTTATTTTATACATTTATGCAACCTGCACACCAACCGAAAATTATTTCTACCGTCAATTTCACCAAACAAAAACAAAATAATAAAATATCGAAAGAATGAATAAGAAAAAAACAAAAGTAAATAACTTTCACGCGCGCGCAGAGTGAATGCGTGAATGAATGAATGCCGTTTTCGCTCGTTTATTAAAATGCGAGCATTGGGCAATACACATTTACACAAAACAGCCGCGGAGCGCGGAGGAGAAGAAGACGAAGTGTCGAAGAAGGCGAACGGAAGGAAAAGCGGGCGTGATAATCTTTTGCGAGTTATTTAATTTAACCCGCTTTTCGACAGCTACAAACGCGCGCCTTCCGGTCGGCTAATTTAAACACACTGTATAGTACATTAAACTTACTCAACCTGTGTGTGCGCAATAATAATGTGCGTCTGAGTGAATTACGATTATGACGATGCGCGGAAAACCCACCCAAGTAGTTCTCGGGATGGGCGAATATGTAAATTGCGATTAGAACATTAAATTATTTCCTTATTATTTATTATTAAAGTGTGAAATCATTAAAATATTAATTTTTAAAATTGAACTTGCGTTTGAGTTGCGGTATAAGTTCTATTTTTGTTGATTTAGTGAATTATAGAAGGCGTAAGATGAAAATTTCGAATTTTTTGTAAAAATAAATAGAATATTTTGTAATCCAATGTTGGACTTGCCGTATACAAGCCGAACATAGGACTGACAATGTAATTTATTTTATCTTTTAACGTTTTTTTTCATTTTTCAACTTAATTTTATCCCGAAAATTATGTTTTCTTTATTTTCTTCTTAAAAAAAGTTCTAAAATTTGTTTATTTACTAATATTTTACTCTTTATCTTCAAAATTACCATTTTAAAATGTTATTATTAATGATATTAGGGTAATTTATTAGCTAATCAATAATTTTTAGCAACTTTTTGCGTATTTGCGTCTTATTTTTACAATAACTCCAGAAAAAACACAAAACAAGACTTAAATTTTATTGTCCTATGTTGTGACTTGCGGTATACACACCGAACATAGACCTACCAATGTAATTCCCATAAATTTCTCTAATCTTTCAATTTTTCAACTCAATTTCAACCCCAAAATAAAATTTCCCTCATTTTTTCCCCAAAAAACACTCAAAACTTCATAAAAACAAAACCAAACTATAAATAAATCACTTTTTCATAAAATAATAATAAACATTGGTATGTACTTACCACGTGCACGCTGCTCGAAATCGTGTCCTGCTGTTTCTTGTCCTTGGGCTTATTCGGACGCTTGGCCTTCGGCTCCAGATAGCGCTGCTTGAGGACCTGCGTATCCTGATGGTTCTGCTCGCACAGCCCGTTGAAGGACTGGTCGAAGCGTGGCATGCACTCGGTCTGGCGGCGCCTGTACGTTTCTATCCGGCGGCGCAATCTGTAACCAAGCAAGCACACACCAAACTTAGCTTCCAACATTACCGCGCCGCCATTGGCACATAGATAGATAAATAAATAAATGTGTCGGCGGTGTCGACTCATTATTTCATAAAGCAATTAGGTCACACATCATACAACACTCATCGCACATAGAACATCAATATGCGCATCAAACATGACGATAGAATTATACAAAGTAACAAATATTTAAGAACAGAGACGAAAGTTTCCATCTACAAGGCAGTAGTCAGGCCCATATTTACATACTCGGCAGAAACGCGTGCAGAGACGACAACCACACAGAGATTGCTCACCACCGCGGAAATGAGGACACTAAGAAACATAGAAGGCAAAACACTGCTCGACCGGATAAAGAACGAAGACATCAGAAGAGCGTGCAACAACATAGAAGACATAACACAATGGTGCAAAAGACGCAAAATCGAGTGGAACGAACACATAGAACGGATGGACGAAACCAGAATAGTCCGAATAGCCAGGGACAAATCGCCAAGGGGAAAGCGATCCCTGGGAAGACCCCGAAAGAGATGGAGCGACCACCTAAACCCTGTCTGAAGTAGGAACAGGCAATATGCCTACAAAAGAAGAAGAAGAAGAAGAAGAACAAATATTTAAATATAAATTTAAATTTAAATCCATTCTTCAAAGAAAGATACAACTTAATTTGTTTGTGTATTTATTTTCTATGTGTTTGTATGTGTGTGTGAGAGGTACAGTTTTAGTTATTAGTCCGTTGTTTTCGCCTGTCTTCGCATTCTCATTCGCATTGTGATATTGTAGCGCGCATAGTGTACCTATACACTGACTCAGTTGTACGCGCTTGCGCCGCGCGCTGAGTTGCGGCGAGTGAGACTCGCAAGAGTCGCGAGTTTGTTGCACAGCACTCTCAACACACACACACGTACATACAGATACATACATAGTGTACAGTTAGAAGCGCGGTTGTTTCACTTTTTATACGGCGTACTTCTTACTTCAGTTCCACCTTTAATGTTTAGATGTTTGAAATTGTTGCCAGGCCGACCAGTGCAAAATCACACGGAGTTCTTATATACCTTTAGTTTATAATTGCATTTGTTGTACTCGTAATTTAAATACAATTTGACTACAAATTTTAAATGTGTGTATGATTGGTATTGTCGCTTGTGGGTATATAATTTCTATGGGGATGTGCGACAATACTTATGAGGTGTTTTTGTTTTGTATTTAATTCTTTTTGTTTTTTATTTATCTTGTTTTATATTTTTTGTTTCTTATTGTTTATGGTTGCAAATGCGTTGCGTTGCGTTATGCATAGCATTGCACATCCAGCTATTGTTACGTCACGATTTTGCGAATGTCGCAACGATTTCGAATTGTTGTAGAATTGTAGAGTAGTAACAACAAACACATCCACACAATCAAAAACATTCATTCACAGTGTAAATAAAATGCGAAATTTGTGTTTTTTCGGTTAAAAATCTAAACAAAACGAAAAATATTGTATTTTTGAAGTGTTTTTTTATATTTTTGGCTGTAACTTTTAAATGGATGAAAATATTTTATCAAATTTGATATCAAATTAAAGCCAATTTAATTATGAATAAAATGATGTAACTTTGATTTTTTACTGCAATTTGCTTAAAAGTTACACGCAATTAAAAATTAATTAACAGAAAAAAACAGAAAATTCTTCATTGTTTTTGTTTATATTTTTGGCTGTAACTTTATAACGCATGAAAATATTTGATCAAATTTGCTATCATTTTAAAGTCAATAAAATTCTCAATAAAACAACATCACTTCCTATTTTTAACTAAAATTTACTAAAAGTTATAAGCAATTAAAAATTTAACAAACTGACAAAAATCAAAAATTTTTCAATTTCATTTGTTCATATTTTTGGCTGTAACTTTTTAACTCTTTAAAATATTTTATCAAATTTGGTATCAAATAAAAGATAATCAAATTCCCAATAAACTTTGTCAATCCTAATTTTATGCAAAATTTTACTTAAAAGTTATAAGCAATTAAACATTAACAAACTGACAAAAATCAAAAAAATCTTAAATTTTTTGTTAATATTTTTCCCTATAACTTTTAAACCTCTCAAAATATTTTATCAAATTTCATATCAAATTAAACCCAATAAAATTCCCTACAAAACAACCCCTCCCCAATTTTCTATTCCAATCCACTCAAAAGTTATAAACAATCAAAACTCCAATTACCTCTCAAAATCCCCAAATTCCTCACTTATTGCTCAATCTGTTTAATAAAAGAATATTTCTAGTTCAAAACTAAATGACTCAAGCTGAAAAAAGCCGTCGAGATTTGTACGGTGTTGATATTGTGTGCATGAGCCACACCATGGCTCATATTGGCCATCATCGACCGGACGAAAGCCACCTCTTCGTCGCGGTCGTTCTCGGACAACAAAACAACACGAAAACAAACCAGTGTGCGCTTCCACTCACTCTCGGCGAAAGAACCGCGATAGTAGCAAACGCGGAGAGCGCTCCAAGTGCTTCAACCGGGCGCAAAAGAATGAACAGCGACGCGCGACCGGCCGACAAGTGGACACTACCAAACCGACGAAGACTAAACTAACTAAACTGGACAATATACAAATACGAAACGGAATTATTCAAACGTTTTTCGTATTCATTTTGATTTAATTTTCGTCATTATAGAAAAATTTCTTTTGTTAGATTTATTTTTGAGTTTTGTTGAAAAGGAAGCTTAAATATTAACATTTTTAAACGTCTATATGTATAAAATTGTTGCCATCTTGCATAAAATTGAATTTATTGCAATTTAAAAACAAATTAAACAAAAATTGCAATTTGTATATAATTAGTAGTGTCACTCGTTGCCATGTAATTTCAATAAGTACATGTGACAATACCAATGCTACTTGCATCGCAGTTTATCACAGTTTAAATCAAATTTCTCTAAAAATCACATTTGTATATAATTAGTATTGTCGCTAGTTGTCATATGATTTTTATAGACACATGTGACAATACTTTTCACTATCTAACCGATAAATTAATTTCCAAAATTATCCAAAAATTCGCCTCGTTTAATTTCTTTCTCTTTTCACTCCTACATTGTCTGCTCTTTTGAGTTGTGTTTTTGGAAGGAGTGCTTAAATATTTCGACAAATAAAAGTCGGGCGGTGTGTGTGCAATGCAAGAAATTGTGAACAAGACGAAGAAAGCCGGGTGAATATACCGGAATATATTGTGGCTAGGTGAGTTTCGGCGGGCACGGCGGCAGGTATAATAACAGGGTTAAATGGCACATCGACATCCCAAAATATAATAACCCACTGTGCCACCTACATTCACTAACAGCTAAAAACTTAATCCTCGACAAACGAAACGAAAACGTGATTTCTGGTGTTTTCGTGGAAAAATTTTCCGGTTTTTTGCGGATAACTCAACAACGCATTGTTTAATTTTATCAAATTTGGCGTCAAATTAAAGAGAATATCATGGGGAATGAATATTCAAGAGAAAATAAAAATTTTGACTAGTTGTTTAAAAGATATAAACAAAATATCTTGAAAAAACACGTAAAAATTGTGAAAAATCATCATAACTTTGAGGTTATGAAAGTTACAAAAATAAAAAATATCTCAAAATATTCTCCAATTAATTCTTTATCCACGGAAGTTTTAACTATTTTGATATCAAAGTTAGTTTAAAAGTTATAACAATTTGAAAATGAAAAACAAACAAAAAATTCCTAATTTTATCGATAACTCCCAAATTTTTGGCTCAAATTAATTATATTTACCATCAAATAAAAGAACACATTACTACCTTTCAATTGACACCACCCTCAACTTTCTACCCCTATTCAATTAAAAGTTATAAACAAATAAAGAAAATTTATACCAAAAAAATGGTTTAAAAACGTCATAACTTTTAGGTTATGAAAGTTACAAAAACAAAAAATACCTCAAAATATTCTCCTATTCTTTCTCTATCAATAGAAATTTTCCCTAATTTGATAACAACATTATTACAAAAGTTATAACAAATTAAAACTAAAAAATCACTAAAAAAATCAAATTATCTTGAAAAACTCCCAAACTTTCCACTAAAATTAATTAAAATCCCCCCAAAACAAAAGAAGACATCCCACCTTCCTATTAACACCACCCCCAACCTCCTACCCCTCCGCAATCAAAAGTTATAAACAAAACAAAAACAAAAATATTCCATCTCTAAATGAAAATCTAAATGTAAATAAAAACCCATTGGTGTGCGTTGTCATTGTGCCGCAGTTAGACGTTCGCTCAATCCCCGAAAGATTAGCATTAGGGGTGCACCGGCCAACCGTCTCTCCGGTGGCGCTGGTGCAAGTTCGCCTGCGTCTACCTTGTAGCACTCGCAGAGCGTCGCGGCAGACGAGTGATGTATGGATTTATTTGGGGTGCTGCTCGCCGCGTAGGGGCAAGAATGCGGCACAGGGGTGAGCGCGCGATGTGAGCAGCAGCACACCCAACGCGCCAGCGAAACGATAACGCACCTCCAACAGACGTAATACTATTACAAGAATGTGTTTTTACGTTTTCTACACACTCTAGACGCAACAGCGGCTTTTTGTTGCGTTTTTTAAAGTCACAAAACGCGGAGTGAACTCAATATAAGTCGGTGGGTTAGTGTTCTAACCTCAAAAAACTTTAGAGGTCAATATCTCTTAAAGTATTGAATGTAGAAATTTGGGGGTGGTGTCATTTTATAGGGAATTTTATCCTCTTTAATTTGATGTTTAAGTTTTTAATTTGTGATAATTATTTTAAGAGTTATAGAGGAAAATGTAAAATATTTCATAATTAATTAATTAATTTTAAAAGAGTCATAACTCAATTAATAAAAATGATACAAAAACAATGTAAACGTCAAATGAAAGAGGAAGAATTGAAGTTTATTTTAAGTCTAAGAGTGGCTTTGTAGCTTACATAACCTCAAAGTTATGACGTTTTGAAAGTAAGGTTAAGTTTTTTAGCGAATGTAAATTTTAATTGCTTATAACTTTTGAACAAAAATTGATAGAAAACTCAACGTAGTGTCATTTTATGCGTTAGGAAATTCTCTTTAATTTGATATATAACTTTAATATTTGCAATAATTATTATAAAAGTTATAGCCAAAAATGTAAAAAATTGCAATAATTAATCTGCTAATTTTAAAAGTGCGATAATTCAATTAATAAAAAAGATACAAAAATGATTCAAGTGTCATATAAAAGACAAATAGTTATAGATTATTTTAAGATTTGAAGTGACTTTGTAGCTTTTATAACCTCAAAGTTACGACGTTTTAAATATGAGGTTATGTTTTTTACCAAATGTTTATTTTAATTGCTTATAACTTTTGATGCAAAACTAGTATAAACTCCAAATAAACTCCCTTTTATTCCTTAGGAAATCCTCTTTAATTTAATACCAAAAATAATATTGTAGTTATTTTAGTTAATTAATTATTTAATAAAAAAGATAAAAAAATGTTTGTTTTGCTTACCTGTCAAAGACTTGCCGCTTGGGGGGTATGACGTCGGGGTGCTGCAGCGGTGAGAGTCCCTGCTGCTGCTGGGGGGCCACCGACGGCGGCGGTGGCGGCACGCCGCCCTCAACACAACCCCCCTGGCCGGGGCCGCCGCGCTCCAGGTTGAAGAGCGTGCCCCGCGATCGACCGCCAAACGCCGCGCGTTCTCCGGCTCACCACCACCGCGCGCCCATCGCACGCGCACCACACATACACCAACCCGCAACGCCCACGCAGCACGCCGCCGCCTCCTGCTCAGCACGCTGCTGAAGGTGGCGGGCCTGCGTCGTGTCCATGTGCATGGTGCATCTTAACTCGCCGCTTGTTGATACGTTGCCCTTGGCAACGCTGCCAACCTCGTAACACTAAAAAAAAAATTACCACCAATCACAATTCGATACGCAGCCGAACCGATTTCTATGAACAAATTGTGCGTTATTGCTTATATTACGAATGTTTATCACGTTTATCAGAGCCGCGCTGCTTACTTACACTTATATGTTGTGTGCAGTGTGTGTGTGTGCTTTTTTTTTAATTCAGCGTTCAGTCCGATGATGATTAACTCCACTCGCGATCGTCGTTTGTTTTGTTTCGCCGAGGTTATAAAATCCAATCACTTCGAGACACACTCGCCGCACATGCACTGCTTTTTTTCCGCTGGCGGCCGACGAGAGAGAGTTCACTTGTGCACAGGAAACGTCTGCGCGAGATTCGGTTGTTCGGTCGTTTGTTGGAACCCCGCTCGCAATACCGTTGCATATACACACACCGCTCGCACGGAGATATCGGACGCGATCGCACACAGCGAGCGCACCGTAAACACTGCCGCAATGTGGAAGTGGCGACGCGACGCAACCGCGCACCGTTCGGTTTGTGATGCGAGCGGTGCGAACCTGCGAGCGGACGCCGATGCGGCCATCTTCGATTAGGACACGCTAGCGACATCTACCGACTCGCAACATAACCAATGCATTTAAATGCAAAATATTTATTAATTCAAAGCGGAAAAAAATGTAGAAACATTGTTTTAGTTCAAAATATTAATTATAATGCAATAAAAATTAGTTTTTAGCAGTTTATTACTAGTTTTTAGATATTTTTTAGTAAAAAACTGTAAATTTTTTTGTTTTTCAACGCTAGGCAACCCACAATACACCAATTATATATTATACAAATGTTTTTATTAAAATTACTCATTAATTGTAAATATTAATGATTTAAAAGCTTAAAACAACCATAAAACATTTATTTTATTTAAAACAATAATTTCTCTACCAAAAATTACGTTTTTAACGGTTTATTGTTAATTTTCATCAATAAAATCAAAAAATCTTTATATTTTTATACTAGGCAACCCACAATACACAAAAATATAATAACCAAACGTGTTTATTAAATTTCCACACGAAATCATACAAAAAAATGGCAAAATACACTGGGTAAACATAAAATAACACTAAAATAACCTAAATTATAACTTATTCTACCACTTTACGCCTAATTTAATTAAAAATAAAGCTTAAATTGATGAAAATAAATTTTTAAAGTTTTTCTACTTTTACCACAGCATACTCTCCGCATGTGGATTCCGCTGGCGGCGAAACCGTTCGCGGAGGCGTCGGAACCATCATGCCTTGCCAGTGGCCAATCGATAGTTCTGCCGAAAGCTGTTGCTCAGCGTGTACGCGTGATTGCTGAAGCTGTAGGGGAGGCGCGACGCGCGCGACGTCACGTACAGGTCGTCGTCTTTCGTCAGCGAGGGAAACTCGGCCTTCACGCCGGAATTACTTCCGGCGTCGCGATGCCGCCGCTCACCGCTATCATTACCCACCGCTGGCAAGACATGCGTCTCTTTCAACTCGTGCCGGTACTTGTAGAGCTTTGTGCACGCCAGAATCGTGCTCAGCAGGACTGTAAACTCTACGAGGACGATTAACAACCCAACGGCAAGGAATAATATGTATTGCTGCTTGAACCAGTCTTGTAAATGTTGTCCACAGCCCTAAAAACAAAAAAAAATTATTAAAAAAATTAAATTTTGATATTTAACATAGGCAACCAATAATGCATTGGTGTAATGTGGGTTGCTTACATCACTATGCCTATAACCTTGCTGGCGTGATGTTTCCAGCGCTTGACACAACGAACTATTGACAGGATGAGGATCCAGATACGCAGCAGGATGATTATAGTTGTCCAGTTTACAACAGGTCAGAGGAACAGCTAGACTTGGTCCTAGAGCTTGTAAACGCCATAGTGATGTGTCATATTCTACTGATGAGACGATTCCACAACAACTATACTAAAGTGAGTAAAAATTTGAGGTTAGAAATGTAATAGACACAAACACATTGTATATTGGTGTTACCGAAGTTTGCAGCAGATCGATAGCAGCGGTGAACTGCTCCTGGCCGGCGGCGCCGTAATTCCGCTGCATTGACTTGACGAGCTCGTCGGCGACGACGCCCAGGCCCATGCATTGCGGCCATATCCATGCGGCTGCATAGGCGGCACATTCGCCAACCATAACTAGTAATATTAATACAAAATACTGCAAAAAAATTAGAATTTTTTAAGTTTTTGCGTTTTTTTTAATGTTTTCTGATGTTTTTTGGTGTTTTTTGGTACTTACTGTAGTTAACATGCAATAACTATAAAGACACGACGCCCAGCAGCCGAGTAGGCCAGCAGTGGCAAGGACCAATCCGACAACGGCGAAACCAAGCGCTAAATAATAAAGTAAGGGATGCGGAAGGGTTGTAAGCGGGCCATGGCTCAATAATCGCGAGAGCAGGACGCGCCCAGGATCCAGCAGAATTATTACGCCTCCAATTATTAACGTACATCCGCAGACCTGAAAATAAACAACAAAAAACGTTAAAAATAACTTGAAACGTAAAAAATGTTGATATTTCTGCTTAAAAACTGGAAAAACATTCAAAATTAGTAAATTTGCTCCGTCCACTTTACTTAACTGTGATTAAAAGTGCTAAAAGTGACATTTTTCAATTTTTGACACTTTTTTTCAAACGCGAATATCTCGTAAACTAAAAGAGATAATTAAGATCTGATAGCAGCGTCTTAATCTACGGATTATTTTCTATGAGATAGAATAGTTAAAACGGAAATCTGAGAGATGAAATTTTCATTCTTAAGAAAAAATTGCCAAGGGGGGGTGCTTGATACTTTTTTTCGACGATTTTTGATAATTAATATCTCCTCAACTAAAAGTGATAGCGACCAACGAATTGTTGATTATGAAAGATTGGAAAATTCTCAATCAGATAAAAAAATAAAACAATTACATTTCCTACAGTAAAAGGTCGAAAATTGCTAGTAAAAGTGCTAAAAAGTGACATTTTTCAATTTTTGCCCATTTTTTTCAAATGCGAATATCTCGTAAACTAAAAGAGATAATTAAGATCTGATCGCAGCGTCGTAATCTACGGATTTTTTTCTATAAGATAGAATAGTTAAAACGGAAATCTGAGAGATGAAATTTTCATTCTTAAGATAAAATTGCCAAGAGGGGGTGCTTGATACTTTTTTTCGACGATTTTTGATAATTCATATCTCTTAAACTAAAAGCGATAGCAAGCAACAAATTGCTGATTATGAAAGATTGGAAGATTCTCTATCAGATAAAAATATAAAATAATTATATTACCTACAGTAAAAGGTCGAAAATTGCTAGTAAAAGTGCTAAAAAGTGACATTTTTCAATTTTTGCCCATTTTTTTCAAATGCGAATATCTCGTAAACTAAAAGAGATAATTAAGATCTGATCGCAGCATCTTAATCTACGGACTATCCTCTATAAGATATGATAGTTAAAACGGAAATTTGAGAAATGAAATTTTCATTCTTAAGAAAAAATTGCCAAGGGGGGGTGCTTGATACTTTTTTTCGATGATTTTTGATAATTAATATCTCTTAAACTAAAAGCGATAGCAACCAACAAATTGTTGATTATGAAAGATTGGAAGATTCTCTATCAGATAAAAATATAAAATAATTATATTTCCTACAGTAAAAGGTCGAAAATTGCTAGTAAAAGTGCTAAAAAGTGACATTTATCGATTTTTGACATTATTTTTTGTCTAAAAACATCAAAAACTACTAAATTGTTATGTTTTGGCTCCGCCCACTTTGCTTAACTGTGATTGGTAATGATTCTTATGACGTAAATTTCATATACATCGTGATTTACTCAAAAACTAACAGTAAACATATAAATTACCTAATTAAACATCAAAAATAATAAAAATGAATATAAAGATGAATAATTTTGCGCGCTGGCAGTTTTAAGGTTAGTTCTGCTCGGACGACTGGCCACTGCTTTTGTTTGTAACTCGCCGTTAATTATTTAATCCTCGTGCTGCGATGATTACGAAAGCTATACTCGTACTACGCGTAGCAACAATGCGACAACGATGTTTTGCTTTTGATTTTAATTCCCAAACACGTGAATACGTAATGGTCATGCAATGCTGGTTGCACTCCATGAGTGCAGTGACTACAAACACATTCACTCACTACTCCACACGTAACAGGTTAAATTCTAGGTTATATTCATTATTGAATCCAATATTTTGCGCTAACCTCAAAATTAAACTAAAAATTCACTTTGTTTTGGTTTCTCTTTGTTTTTTTGTTGTTAGTTGAGAGAAACACTTAATAATATACTGATTATAAATGGTTAGGATAATTATAGCGTTTTGTTTGACATGATGTTGTGATTTGTGTACCAGTAGGACACATCTTTAACAAAGAGTGCGTGCGCAGCGAACCAAAATGGCCACCATCAGTGTAATTGCTATGATTGCTGAAATTGCGAGTTGGCGACACAGAATCACTATTATTTATTACTCTCGGCGTTCTTGGAGGCTCAGAAGTTGAAAAATAATAGAGGCCACTTATAAATAAAGGGAAACCGTTGAGTGTTTATATGCCCAATGGGTTTCTAGAGCAAAATTGTTTGAGTTTTCATTTTTAGACAATGAAAATGTAATAAAAATCACGTTTTTCACATAAAAAATATCAAAAATGACTTTTTACTCCAAAATATTAAAAGATTGATAAAAGTGAAGAGTATTTTACTTTTATTAAGATAAAATCGCATAAATACTAGTAATTAATTAAAATAATCAAAAAAGACTAAAAATGTATAAATTTGCTCCGCCCACTTTGCTCGACTGTGATTGGTCATGATTCTCATAACGTAGCTATCATACACTACGTGATTTGTTGAAAAATGACAATACATAACCAAAAATATAAAAAAATAACTCAAAATGATAATATTTCGGCTAAAAAACTTAAAAACAAATTAAAACTTTTAATTGTATATATACCCAATGAATTTCTAGAGCAAAATTGTTTAATATTCATTTCTAAACAATGAAAAACCCATAAAATCGTAATAAAAACACAAAAATCAATACATTTTTATCAAAATAATTGATTTTATTGCTTTTACAACAATTATTAATATTTTATTACTTGTTTTACTCACCAATAAGAGAAAATTGAAAAAAGCCAAGAGTGCTTTACTTCCACCGAGAGAAACCATCATAAACACTAATAATTAATCACTATAAACATTAATTTCTCAATTAAACACACTTTTCTCTCGATTAACAACCGTTTACTGCATTTTTACTGTTTGTTGCTATTGTTGCTACATTTTTGACTGATTTTTATTTATTTTTAACTCATACCCGCACTAATACGATGTAATCAATTGAAACTTTCCTTTAAACATTATTTAATCAATAATTACCCATTGTATTTGTTATTATATTGTTGATATACTATAAACAGTATTAAATTTATTGATTGATTGGTTTATATTTATAATTTTGTGTATTTTTTTAGTAAAATTGAATAAATATTGCGCGCGTGCGGCTCGACCAGTGCTCGCCGGTGAAGTCCTCCAACATTCAACATTCAGCCATCCGGCAGGAAGGAAATCGCAATTAGCAGAGCATGAAGCCCCCCCAAACACCCAACCAGACAATCAACAACCAGCAAGTTACAAGTTACACTCTCAGGTAAAACACAAAATCATTTCATTTTACATCTGCAAAGCGTATTTATTACATTTAATTGCAGAATTTTTACTTATTTTCGAGTAAATTTTAATATTTTGTTGGATAAAACATTAAATATTAATTGTAGAATAAAATTTTCATTAGATTCAGTTTCAAACTATGAAAAATGACGATTTGATCAAAAGTTATTGAAAATTTTGTTCAAATTTTTCGAAAAATCAGGGTTTTTGAGCGATAAAAGTAGTAAAACGATTTGAAAATTATTTTTTCGAGGTAATATTGATTCTAGAATAAATTGCTCATTGAATTATGTTTAAATCAATAAAAAATCATGATTAGATCAAAAGTTATTAAAGATTTTCTTAAAATCAGGCGAAACATCATCGTTTTTGGGCAGTAAAAGTACTAAAACTAGTAAAAATTGATACTTTATGGGCTAATATAGATTCTACAATAGATTCTTTAATATATCCTTTTTAAATCATTGAAAAATGATGATTAGATCAAAAGTTATTAAAGATTTTGTTAAAATTTATCGAGAAATCAGGTTTTTTGCCGATAAAAGTAGTAAAGCAATTTGAAAATTATTTTTTGAAGTAATAATGATTTTAGAATAGATTCCAAATTGGATTCTGCTTAAATCAATAAAAAATCATGATTAGATCAAAAGTTATTAAAGATTTTCTTAAAATCAGGCGAAAAATCATCGTTTTTGGGCAGTAAAAGTACTAAAACGAGTAAAATTAATTATTTTAATGAAAATATTAATTCTAGAATAGATTCCTTGTTATATCCTTTTTAAATCTTTGAAACATGTTAATTAGATCAAAAGTTATTTAATAAATTTATTACTTTCTTTGGTGAATACGTAATCCATGTTGTATATTTATAAAAAATATTTATTTATTAAACATAAACATTCATAAATGAAGATGCCCTCTGTGCGAAACATGTCAACTCAAAAATAAAATTGTAAATCCAAAATCACGTAATGTTTAATAAATAAATATTTTTTATAGTTATTTAATATTTTGTTAAAATTAATCATAAACTCACCATATATTAATCAATTTTTAATATTTTACCTCACAAAACAACGTCTCTCAATAAAACATTAAAAATATTAAAATTTACTAGCAAATTATAATAAATACCTCAAACCGGAAGTTATACATTTCTCCTCTTGATGTAAATATGCACATTTAGCATTTATTGCATGTGCATCGTATATCTCTTTAGCCTCTACGTTTAGTCCCTCATGAGTTGCGGAGCTGAGCTGATAGTTGCGAGGGCAGCGAACAATTGAAACAATCGTCAGCTGAACCGGAAGTGTCGCGTCACGCTCCACCGAGATGCCAACCTGTGCGCAGCACTTGTTGATCCGTCGATGCCCGATTGTTTACCGGCCACCATCATGCATCATGCAACCGGCTCAATTTCTCAACTTTTTTGTTTTTGATTTTTTATTTGTTTTCTGTGCGCGTACCGGATGTACAGATCACAATTACATGCTATTATTACTTAGAAACAATTCAACATGGCGGATATCTTGCAATTGAATTGTAGTCAGTAGTTAAAAATGTCAAATATTGCGAAAAACGCGTAAAAATTGGTAAAGTTTTACTATTTCTGTAATTTCTATCTTAAATTAACGGAATAATTGTTTAAGTTTTATTTAGAACTATAAAACAAGTTGTGTGTATTTATGGATGGAATGCGCAGCGTAAAAAAGTTTCGTTGAATGTAAACAACGTTATCTCCTGCATGAAATCGCGTGATGTGCAGCAAAAACTACGCTGTGGATTTATTGCGAATATGTGCATCGCAGAGACATCTATGCATGGACTAGAGAGTTATGTTTAAGGCAGCTGAATGTTGTACGCGAACGTGAGCTCGCACGGCTTGCGTTTCTCATGAAAGTTTTTGCTTACTCGACTACAAGGTCAGAATTTATTGAAATAAGTGCATCGTAGCGCCATCTGCGGGCAAAATTTGAAATTAACTTTCAAAATCTTTTCTTATTTTAATGAATAATTGCGTATAATTTCTGCTTATTGCAATAAATTATCAGTTTTTAAAGTATGCTATAAACTATATATTTATAATATTATTCATTAATTTTCTGTCAAATAAATATTGTTTTATGCATAAATAGTGCATAAATACTGTCAAATTAACATAATTAAAGAAATTGGACTTTAATTGAGCATAATAAGTAATATTCCACATGATTATGACAAAACACATGTTATTTATCTTCTTATCAACTTGTTTGCGGCTTTTATTTATAGATAATCGACGTAAGAACAAATATATTACAAATATTTAGTATAGGCAACCGCACTTGCCGCAAAATATTAATTTTTAATATTTTAAAGTATTTAAAATCAAAAACAAACGAAATAAATACTGGTAATTACTTTAAAATTAAATAATCTATAATATTTCCCACCAATCTCTCAATTTTCTAAATTTAAACTCAAAATATTTAATAATATCAACACAAGTTGCATACAATACACTGTGCGCAACTAGTAAGTGCGCTATAAATTTTTATTGTTTTGACTCATTACAGCTCATTAGCTCCAAATTGAAGCGATAAGTAAGTCGCAGGTGATTCATCCGATCAACCTTTGTGCAATACCACAGCGAACAAATGCCCTCAGCGTTACATAAAGCAACAAACATAATATTTCATCACCTAACCTTAGAATCGACGTAAACAAAGCATATTTAAGAGCATAAAACAAGTGAGATTAATCAAGAATGGAGCAAAGTACAGACCCCGAATCGGCCGCATCTCTACCAGTATACTTCCAGCGTAGTCAGAGCACTGATGGCACAAGGACCCTAGGCCGCCACGCACCGATGCGCAGTCTTTTAATGACACACTCCTCAACATTACCAACAATCACGAGAGCCAGCTCATTTGTAAATGCAAGTTTCCAGCGACGCAGCGTACAACTACGCGATAACTTTCATCATGTAGTCAGGGAAATACAACCCTTGGTTGAGACTGCAGGCAATGTCACACGGTTTCTCAATAGACCCACATCCGAGCCAAATATTCAAACAGCCTCGGAATCTTCAACATCCACATCAAATCATGATAATACATCACTAAGCAATCACGTGGTGAATATTGATGTGCCAAACAATGCTCCAGCTGCTATCAGTGAAGAAAATGTGATTGAAGAAGTTCCACCAACTGACGAGGCTGAAAATGCTCAACATGCGAACATGGAGGCACAGGAAATCCTGGGTCTCATTGCCAAGTATCTACCTTTTATGTTCTTGATCATTATCAAGTGTATGTATGACCATCAGGATGGTATATTGAATACGATATTGTTGTTTGCGATTTTTGCGAATGCCAATTCCGTTGTAAAAAAGGAAGCGACGAAACGCGAGCGTAGGAATGTCACGAAACTACTGCTTGCGGCTGTGTACATTGGCATAGGGATATTTTTCATTTATTACATATTCGACGATCAGATGTTGTATATGAGTTTGATTTTTATACAGGATTATAAAGTTCCGATGAACGAGTGGGATCTGTTGTGGTATGTGGGCATCACGGACTTTGTGCTGAAGCTGATTACCATCGCGGTGAAGATTGTTTTCACGTTACTGCCGGGATTTATTGTTGCATTCCAAAAACGGGTAAGAATTTTGATGTTTTTGGTGATTTTTGTTGGTTTTTGGGGGGTAAATGTGGTAAAATGGTTAAAAATTTATTTTTTTGGTGGTGGTATTAATTCTTGAAGAGATTCTTTATGATTATGTTTTTAAAATTTTGAAAAATTGTGATTAGATCAAAAGTTATTGAAGATTTTGTTAAAATTTGTCGAAAAATCATGGTTTTTGGGTGGTAAATGTGGTAAAATGGGTAAGAATTGATGTTTTTGGGGGTAATATTGATTTTGGAAGAGATTCTTTATGATTATGTTTTTAAAAGTTTGAAAAAATGTGATTAGATCAAAAGTTATTGAAGATTTTGTTGAAATTTGAAAGAAAAATCATGGTTTTTGGGTGGCAAATGTGGTAAAATGGGTAAAATTGATGTTTTTGGGGGTAATATTAATTTTGGAAGAGATTCTTTATGATTATGTTTTTAAAATTTCGAAAAATTGTGATTAGATCAAAAGTTATTAAAGATTTTGTTGAAATTTGACAGAAAATCATGGTTTTTGGGTTTTAAAAGCGGTGAAACGAGTGAAAATTCATTTCTTGTGAGAAATGTTAGTTTTAGGACAGATTCTTCCTTAAATTGTTTTTAAATTTTCGAAAAATGATGATTAGATCAAAAGTTATTAAAGATTTTGTTAAAATTTGCCAAAAATTCATGATTTTGTGAAAAAATCTTGGTTTTTGCACAATAAAAGTCGTAAAACCAGTTAAAATTAAGTTTTTTCGGGGAAATATTGATTCTAGAATAAATTCTTCATTATATCCTTTCGAAATTATTGAAAAATCATGATTAGATCAAGAGTTATTGAAGTTTTTGTCAAAATTTGTCAAAAAATCATGGTTTTTGAGCAATAAAAGCCGTAAAACTGGTTAAAATCAATTTTTCTGGAGAAATATTGATTCTAGAACTAATTCCTCACTATATTCTTTCTAAAATTTCGAAAAATCATAATTAGATCAAAAGTTATTAAAGATATTGTCAAAATTAACCAAAAACCATCAATATTTTGCTATTTTTGCCTATAACTTCATATTTTAACTTGCTACAAACAATTTTTCATATCACCCGATGCAGAATTTAACTCTTAATCACTTACTGAAGAAATTTCCATCTTATCACCAAAACTTATCAAATTACAACTAATTTTCTTAAATTTTCAGGGAAAAATTTACCTTTTCATGGAATCATTCTCACAATTCTACCGTAGTCTAGCCACAACACCCCCATGGCTAAAATACCTCCTAGACTCCTACCAAGGCACCGGAAAAATGGTGGGTGTCCTCCTCTGCGCCGCATATTTCGTATCAAAAGGCGCGTATCTCTGGAGTAAAATGCAGATGCTCCATCGGGCGACCTTAAAACTCCTCCAAAACGTCGTAAGTTAATACTAATCATAATAAAAATAGTAACAATTACGTGTTAATCAATTTTTATTAATATTCGTATCATCGCTGTGCACACAGGCGATCGGCTCGTCGCCGAGCAAGGAGCAGGTGCAGACGGCGGGCGAGCACTGCCCCATCTGCCACGACGACTACGAGAAGCCGGTGCTGCTGCAGTGTCGGCACATCTTCTGCGAGAACTGCGTGACGACGTGGTTCGACCGCGAGCAGACATGTCCACTCTGCCGGTCGAAGATCGTCGACGATCCATCATGGCGCGACGGCTCCACCACCTTCTTCCTGCAGCTCTTCTAAGAATTCCTCCACACATAGGATCTAGATTATTTTAACCGGACTATATTCTTTGAAAATTGTTTAGCTGATGACTAATCATTCATTTCTCTTCCTTTCTTCACTTTGAAATTGTTGTGTAATATTAATTAATAGTTATTATCGTTAAAATGTCGCCGCATTTCATTCGCATGATCACACCCTGCGTAAATTAGGCGTTGATTTGCTTTTCGTTTTCTGTGTTTCTCTTCATTGTTTCTAGATCGTGTCGACTAAGAAATGTTAAAATGTAAGATGGCTAAGCGAAACTCGCGTGAGTGAGTCAGTGCAAGGGGAGGAGTGTGTTTTGTGTGTGTGGGCGATCGGCGGGTCTAGAGCAAGCCGAGGTCGCCGGTGATGGCGTTCACTTGCCCTTCAGCGCCGAAGATGGCGAGAATTGTGATTGCGCCCGAGACGACCTCTGTGAGACCGGCATCTTGCACTAAATGTGCAAGTAAACCAGCAGATGATGCTGTCGAGCGTAGATCTTGTAAATGACGCTCGTGTAAACCTCGCAAAACAATGCATCTTTCACTGAAACGCAAAACATGTTTGGTGTACATTTGGTTGCCTACTTTATAAACATAAAATTGTTAATTTTATGAATAAATCATTACCCTTCATGCTCCCAATCCTCTAGAGCTTCACAATTCGCTGTTTCATCTTCGTTCAAAGCTCTGTATAGGGCTAGAGCACCATGTGCCACTTGTGCAGCTATTTTTCCTGTGCCCATCTCAAGTTGTGAGTTGACAACGAACACCATTTTGTAATGAGGCCCACCAGCAGATTCCACATCGTTTTCACGCTCTCTTAACGCCTGCCGAGCTTGTTTCTTCTTACTTTCCAATGATGATGATGATTTCGAGCCTACCTGTGCAGGTGCCTCTGACTCTGGAGCTTCATGCTGTTGTTCTTGCTCGGATAATGGATTATCAAATACATAAGCAATTGCTGCATCACAGGATTGATTGCCAGTTTTATACAGCGCCTAATAATGATACATATTAAGTTGGTTTATAGATTTTATGTTGATTAACTTACAATCTTTGCTGTTTCTGTGTCAATGCCCATTTGCATCATGGAATCCAGCAATTCCGGGTTGGGCATGAACGTGCTATAATCCGCGCTCATTTTTGTTGCTTTCTATGGGCTTGGATGACAATTAAACGCGATTATTTGTTGCGTACGCTTGCGAAACAGTTAATCGGGTCGGTTGTTGATTGATTTGTTTGGCATTGAGGACGTAACCTCACAGTGCTGAATAACCTAATTTTTCCGGCTTTTCGTGCGATTTCCCGACATTTCTAAGCCGTAAACATCTTGTCATGCTATAAATAATCCTGCATTACATATTTTTATAGATGAAATGCTGCCTGCCAAGCGTAAACATGACTGTACATCGTCGTCTGACGAGGAAATCAGTTATAAAAAGCTGAAAAAGACTGAAAAGCGCAGAAAACGCAAACATAGCACATCGTCGTCTTCCAGTTCATCATCGACGAGTTCTTCATCAAGTGAGGAGGATTACACTGTAAGGAAACAGAAAAAATCAAAATCTTCTAGAATTAAACATAAATCCAAGTCAAAGAAGCAAAAGAAACACAAAACAGACAAGAAATCAAAGCGAAAGAAGTCTCACAAAGAAAAAAAGCAGATTAAAGTTGAGAAAAAGGAACAAAAGGTAAAAAATGATGATAATAATGCCTCAAATGATATTCCACTTGACTTAATGGACAAATCTATGACTCCAATGACTAAAGAACAGTGGGAAAAACAACAAAGTGTTGTAAAAAGAGTTTTTGATGAATCCACAGGACGTTATAGGTATATTCAGTTTTAAACAAGTTTAAAACACAATTTAATACGTGTTTTTCTTAGATTAATCAAAGGAGATGGTGAGGTAATTGAAGAAATTGTCAGTCGTGAAAGACACACACAGATTAATCAACAAGCAACGCGTGGAGACGGCGAATACTTTCAATCGAATTTAAAACAATTAAATATTAGAAAATGAACGATATTTTTCTAAAATAGCTTAATATAGCTTATATACACTTATTTACTAATAAATATTTAGTTGTTTTTACTAAAACACATCAATTTTTGTTGATATTAAATCAAAATATTGATTTTTGCATTTTGCGTGTTTTTACGCTAGGCAACCAATTATACACGTTAAATATACAACCAGCAGGAATTAAAGCGCTCCCCCACTCAGAGTGCATTCCTGCTGCCAGCTGATTAATGTTTACATTTTATTACGATCGCAGTGAGTCGGCAAGCACGTTTTGCGTAAGCGTGTTGTGCAAGAATTCAAGCGCCCGCAGGATGCCGCACTCGTGATACAAATATCGGCGATTTCCGCGCGCGTCCGCTTAATTAGCGCTTATTATTCGATAATTGGCGCAAACAAAACGCGTGCGTCTTGTGTTTGACTAAGTGCAAGTGTTTGTGACGTCGCGCGTTTGTTTCAAGCAAATTTGTTTGAAACAACAGTTAGAAAGTGGTTTTTTGTGGATTATTTTGATTCGTGTGCGTTTGCAGTGCGTAAATCGCTGAGTAATCGGTGTAATTGTACTCGTGAATCACGTCCGCGTTATTACTAGGCGTTTTCACAGTTGAAACAACGAAATATCAAACATTACAGCGCAGGTTTTGTGTTAAAATAAAGTTTACTGTTGTGTTGTTGAGTAGGCAACCCAATATACACCTGTATAGGGGTTGTGGAAAGCTTAATGCTCTCGAGTGACTACAGCGCCACCAGTGGTGGAAAACCGTATCGAGAGGGTGGCGAAGGGCGCGTAAAGGGCTAGACCCAGCCGTCGGACAGGCAGGCGTCGTCCACCCCTCGGCGAGCGCGCGTTCCGGAGTGCAGTGCGTGCGGGTGCGGTTCCGGCGTCGTCTTTTGGCGTGTGTACGTGTGCGGTGTGCAGATCGTGAGTGCGGTGGCTGCCACCGAAGTCGACGTGCGCCTGAGGACGCGACGTCGCAAGCGACGCGAATCGCCCTCGGTCGGTGCGGCTGCGGCGTCGGCGGCGGCAGCGCCGGCATCGAGCGGCGACGGCAAGCGGGCGTCGCGACGTCGCGCGCGCCCCGTACTCCTGGTGCTCGTGGTGGTGAATCACGCCAGTGCCGCAACCCACAACACCACCAACACCGTCTCCAGGCGCGTGCACGCGCGCCCGCACGCTAACCCCAAGCGTCCGCCCCCAAAACCGCCGCGCCGGAAGATGGCCGACGAGGAGGTGCTCTTCGACGACGTCTACGACCTCTGCGAGGAAGTTGGCAGGTAAAATCCCTTAAAAACAAAAATTTTAAACAAAAAATTACATAGGCAACCATTTTAACATCTCTGACGTCATTCCGTTGCCGTGGTTACGATATTTTGTTACCATAGTTACACAACTTGTTGATTTTGTTGAATCATGTTTTATTCTTCTTCAGAGGTCCGTTCAGCGTCGTCAAGAGATGTCTACATCGTCAAACAGGGCAGCAGTTTGCTGTCAAAATCGTAGACGTGGCGAAATTCACATCGAGTCCAGGCCTCAGCACAGAAGGTACGTGAAACAAACTTTATACACACAAAAAACAAACAAATAAAACATTATTCACTTTAAATTGCGTGCAACTGCAGTAAATAACGCTGTTGTGATGTAAACGACAGTTGTTTTTTTTAGAGGTTAGGTTGGTGACGAGCGCGTTTTACGTACATTAGTTATGTTAATGTTATGTGGGTTGCGGAAATTGCAAATTCGCATTCGGAAACATATTTCGCAAACATTCGCGCAGAGACACCGGCGGAAATTTATGTAAACAGTATTTAAATTTAAAGCAAACACATTGTATAAATATTATACAGAGTAGGACTTAAAAATAAATATTAAAAAGTAATTTATTGCTTAAATTAGCACGTATTTTAGTATAAAAACAAAATAAATTCGCATTTTTTGGTTTTATTTTTATAATAAAATTGTTTATAATGTTTATAATGTTTATAATGGAATATGTCATGTGTAAATTGCAAAGGTAAACATCTCGTTACGATGTTTCTATTCAGAGCACGTTTCTACACTTGGAAACTTTTATTTTATACGTTTTAGTTTTTTTTCGAGAGGAGTTTTACTCGTTGGCGTGCTGAGTGCTCATATTTCAGCAGATATTGTCGATTCTGGGTTCAGTGATACTCGAGTTAGGCTTTTAATAGATTAAAAAGTTGTTTAAAACTTTATAAATCCTAATAAATATATAAAATAGTGAAAAGTTTGTTTTATGCATTTTCAAATGCGTTTTACGGCTAAACCGGTAATGATAAGGTGATAAGATTTACATAATTTTATTCAGTGTTAAATTAGCTTTAATTTGTTATATAATTTGTTTATGTTGGATGAATACTTTAAAAGTTATAAACAAAAAACGCACAAAAATGATTTTTGAGTAAATTTTATTGCAAAAAATATTTCAATTGCTTGCAACACTCTGTATTTTAGTTTCATATTACCAACCATAGTATCATTTTATTCACCATGAACCCCTCTTTAATTTCATACCAAACATGATAAATTCAAAAGAAGCGTTTAAAAGTTATTAACAAAAACGCAGAAAATTGAGTTTTCCTAAAATTTTATTACAAAAATATTTTAAAATTCTTACAACACCCTGTATATTAGTCAGATATTATCAACCTTGGTATCATTTTATTCGCCATGAACCCCTCTTTAATTTGATACTAAACATGATAAATTCTAAAAAAGCGTTTAAAAGTTATTAACAAAAACACAAACAATTTCATTAAATTTTCCTTTTTTTCCAGATTTAAAACGAGAAGCAACAATATGTCACATGCTAAAACATCCGCACATCGTAGAACTCCTCGAGACCTACTCCTCCGAAGGGATGTTATACATGGTGTTTGAAATGTAAGTAAATTCGAATAAATTAATAAACATTTTTGCAATTTATTTAACGTTCGCAAAGCAAATATTGAGCGAATGTAAAGTTTGTCGATGCGAGCGTTGCTCTGCTCTGCGCGTTTCATGTAATAAAAATGAATGTCACTAGTGAATATTGCACTCGTTGCAACCGGCAAATATGAACATGGCCTGAAGGCACGCCAGGAATAACTGGAACAACGCGAATAACGAAAATGTGACTGAATTTGTAACAAATTGCGGCTGAATGCGAGGAGAAATTCGGTTAACGCTGTATTCTTTTAGGCAGCGGGCGGGTTTTTATTCGCTGAAAACATCGTTTTGATATTTTGGGTCAACAGGCACATTTGGGGGTCATACGTGGTACAAATTGGGACATAACATGGATATTTTATTGGTTTTAGTGTTTATTTTGTTTTTAAAATGCGAAAATTTAGTAGTAATTGATAAGTTTTAATTATGAAAATTTTAGGGAAGATAAAAGAATAAAATAGGGATGAAATGAAGTTGGATGAATAAAATATCATTGTTTGGTGATGAGTTATGAATATTTAAAGTTTGGAAATTGAAAAATTTAATTATTTAACTGATGAAATGCATTTTTATTTAAAAAAATTAAAAATAAATAGTAACAATTAACGAAATGAAATGAATTTGTCAGAATTAGTTCAGTATTAAATAAGGGATAAAATAAAGTTTAAATTGCTAAAATTTATTAATTAGTTTAAGAGTAATTAAAGTTTAAAGTCAAGTGAAGCTATAACATGATGATATTTTATGTTTTAGTATGTGTTTTATGTTTTAAATGTTGAAATTTAATAGTAATTCACAAGTTTTAATTATGAAAGTTTAACCAAAGATAAAGTATTAACAGAGGAACAAAATAAAGTTTGAATGAATAAAATATCATTGTTTGGTGACGAGTTATAGGCATTCAAAGTTTGTTAATTGAAATATTGAATTATTCAAGTATACAATGTGCATTTTTTTCTTTAAAAATCAAAAATAAATAGTAACAATTAACGGAATTAAATGAAATTGACAAGAGTGGATTAGTATTTAATAAGGAACATATATCAATAATCTTTAAATTTTTCAAATTTATTAATTAGTTTACGAGTAATTAAAGTTTAAAGTTAATTAAACATCAAAAACTTATCATATCATTAGTTTTATCTCATAAAAATGCAAAAATCTCTTACTAAACATGAATCCAACTCTTTAAAATTTATACCAAATGAAACCTAGTTAAACAAGGAATAAATTGCACTTTAAATAATTCAATTACCCCTAATGCCTCATTAGTTATTCTCATTTAAAGTCAAAACTTCTAAATCACATCAAATTTATTACTCCGCATTCTCAAATTTTTATTCAGTTTTATTACACTGTCATTTGTCTACTAATCTACTCTATCTCCCCGAGCGGGTTAAATACTCCCATTGATTATATTATCGAGCCGGGGGTGGCGTCCCGCGTGCACCGAAAACGCCAAAACGTAGTTAACGTTCATCCGTGTTCCCACTCGGCGTGTTTCAATATCCATTCGAATCAATAGACGTTTTAAAGTCGTCGCCGCCGCCTCCAACGCCGCCCCCGGCCTCAACTTCCCTCGGGACTTGCGAACTCGACGTAATACCATCGGAGGGGGCTTCCAGTGTGTTGCATTATATTTTACAACCCCTAAAAAGTAGTATTTATGTATTTAGTTGATAAAAATAATAATATAGGCAACCACCGACATTATTTCACACCTTTGTGTGTATGGAGGGTTGCATAGGTGTGGAAATGTAGGAAATGTATGAAAACACGTGAAATACAGTTTGGTTTTGCACAAAATACCAAAAATAAAACAAAAAATCACATTTTTAGAAATAAAACATATAATATACAGGGTGTTTTATTAAATGTAATTTAATTTTGTTTAAAAATTAATTTTTTTACTTGAAACACACTGTATATTGAAAACTTTGTGGTTTTATCAAATTCTATTGTGTGCAGCGCGTTTATTCACAGCTTTTATTCACTATTGTGTTCAGTTTTCATACATTTTGCAATTTTAAACTTAAATAAATGTAAAAATAAAAATAAATTAAAACTTGGTTATATTGCATTGTAATGTATGCAACCAGTTATACGCAGACTTGTATTGAGTTTAGTGTAACTCTGCTTGACGTGCTGTATGTGTACATGTACGATACAAAGCATGAGTCGACATTCGGGATGCAGGACGCGCGTAAATCCTGATTAAGGCTCATGTCGCCCGGCTGGAAAACGCGAAAACTCGATGTCGACGAGTGAGTGAACAGTGAACTGCTGCTGTGCCCACATATATTTTCGAGTGTATGTAGAATGTGGATATATATATAGCATATTAGAAAATCAAGGCGAAGAAAGTCAAGGAGGACGGATTAAGCACAGAGGAAAGGATTGAGAGTTGAGAGGATAACGTCAACAATGGCGCTATTGAAACATTTCGGAAACATTTTACTACTCAAACATTCTCGTGGCGTTGTTCGGAGTCAAGTTGCAAGTTGGAATTAACATACTTTTATGAATTCGGGCGAAGTTTCGCTGGTTTAGACACAGTAATTATTTGCGAACGGGTTTAAAGTTATAAATATTCTATTGTTTATTAAGTTTTTTTATTTGGGGGTGAAAAAAGTTTGGTGGTTTCATGAATAAATAGAGAGTTATAGGGGTTTGAAGTTGGCATTTTGGAAAAAAGTCGAAATTTTTATAGAAAATTGTTTATAACTTTTAGTATATTATTTAGATAAATATTATTTTTTGGTGGTTGGTAGATGTTTCTGTAGGGAATAATTTAGTGAAAGAATTGTTATTGTACCTTTTTTCGTTTTTGATTTATTTACAATTTTGTGACAGAAAATGACGCAGTTTTTCAAAATTTTTACAAAAAACGGAATGATGACCTTGTTTTTTGTTGTTTAAGAATATTTATTATTTAAAAAAAATTTAAACTTATAAATAATCTATTGTTTATTAAATTCTTTATTTATTGGTGAAAAAATTTTAATAGTTTATTGAATAAATAAAAAGTTACAACAGTTTAAAGTTGAAAATGTTTAATAATGGTTAAAATTCAACCACATTTTTGCTTATAACTTTTTACATGTTGTTTAAATATACATTATTTTTTCACTAGTAGACAAATATTTCCAATTAGAACAATATACCAAAAGAATCACTATCCCACCATTATTTATTCTAAAGTTATAAACAAATTTCTTTCCAAAATTTCGTTTTTTTTCAAAATTTCCCAAAATAACCGCAACAAATCAACTTGTTTCGTTAAGTTTTACCAAAAAAACATCGTTTACTACTTGTCCAAGATGTACGACCGCGTCCTCCTTAAAAAAGAATAGCTCGGAACTTCCTGGCAAGCGCTCAGGACTCGGAAAACAGGAAAACTCGCGCAAAAACTGACAAAAAAACGCTGCAAAGGACAATAAATGACGAAGTGGACGAGCAGGCGACCAGGACCAAACTACAATTTACTACGATTTCGAGATTCTTAGATTCTTAGTGTTGCACCAGACTTGGAAAGAAAATTGAGTTCTTTCCTCGGCCATTTCCACACAAAAATAAAAATAAAAAGACAAAAACGCAATTCAACAGGATAACAAGATGTCTCCACTCATTTTTTCACATATACACAATATACAAGTACACAATCGATATTATCTCGTATCACACAGTAGAATATTATCCTTATTATTTACAAGGACTGAATACAAATTGAGTTAACCTTTCTTGATCATAATTTCGCTATATTTTACATAAGTAAGACAAGGAAATGTATACAGCTACCAAATTGGGTCCTAATAGTCCGTAATTTCATCCTTTACGCCTAATTTTTATAATTTTTGATTTCAGGATGGACGGTGCTGACCTCTGCTATGAAGTTGTCCGTCGCGCTGTAGCCGGATTTGTCTACAGTGAAACAGTGGCAAGGTATTTATTAAATTTTAGAGAAATAAACTCACTAGATGGCACCACTGGAAAAATTTAATTAAATTTTTATTCTCAGTCATTACATGCGACAAGTCCTCGAGGCGCTGCGCTATTGTCACGAGAACGACATCATCCATCGCGACATTAAGTCGGAGTGTGTCCTGCTGGCGACGAAGGAGAATTCCGCCCCCCTCAAGCTGGGCGGGTTTGGTGTGGCTGTACAACTCTCGGATCGTCATCCGTTGTCATCATCGAATGTTGGTGAGTTTAGGAAATATAAATTTAAAAATTTTTATTTTTTATTTTTGAGAGTTTTTATTGTTTGTGAGGATAATTAAAGGACGAAATTAATGTATTTGTAAAATATTTCGAGAATAATTTGTTGATTTGTTGAAATTTGTCTGATTTGTGGCGTTTTGTGGTCGGTGTGGGGACAGTGTCGGACTTTCGCACCAACATGAGCCCTCTGGGACGGCTCTACCTCAAGTCCGATCGAGCTGGTAAGAAATCATCAACGCAAAACCACCAGGGCTGGCTCTAGCACGAAATCATCATTTTTCAATTCTCATTTTATCATTTTTATCATCGCTTAGTATATAATAAAACAAGCGCACTTTTCACGCATTGTTATATTTTTAGAAAGTATTTTTCGCTTTTTGACGCTTTTTTCATATTTTTTCACAGGGAAATAAAGCGGAAAACTTGTACGGACATAAAAATATGAATATTTTTGTCTTTTATGTCTATTTTCTTTCGTGACGGCGTTTTTCAAAGGAAATTCTCATAGGGGAAGACATCATGTGTCGTTTTAGAAAGTCAAACGTTTTCTTTCACTCAGAAAATTTTATTTTTTCATTTTTTACTTCTTAAAATCATAAATTTTTCATTTTTTTTTCGAAAAAAACTCAAAAATCGTTAAAAAAATTAATTTTTTTCTTTTTATTTTTAGAAAAAAATTATTTCTCTTGAATTTTCTTGAAAATTTCACTTTTATACACTCAATTTACGCCTCCCCCAGTTATTTCTCACCCCATTTCATTCTTTATTTATTTTTTTATCTTTTTCTTCCATATTTTCCACTAAAAAAATATTTTTCTTTTTTCTGTGTTAAAACAATAAATTAATTGTTTTAAATTTATGTCCCCCGATGTCACGTTGCGAGTTTAATGAGCCGTAGACTGACGCGCTTTGTAATTTAGTCCTTTCGCGTCCTTTCACATCCTTCTCTCGTCGTGTTCGTCATTTTCCGATAAGTGAAACCAATATATCGAGCAAATTGACGGGAATAATTGCGTCGGCGGCCTCCCTGTTAAGTGTTAACATTCGTTGCGCTATTGTCATCAATATATTACTATTATTATATACAGTGTGTTCATAGTATAAATTCACAGCATAATTTTTATTATTTATTAAATTTAATTTAAACTCATCATAATAAATAAATTAGTGTAATGATTAAATTATAAATTAATCTTTGTATGTTATAGGTCGTGTCGGGTGTCCGAGTTTCATGGCTCCGGAAATCGTCGAGCGGCGGCAGTATGGCAAAGCGGTGGACATATGGGCCGCCGGTGTTTTACTGCATGTATTACTCTCCGGACAGTTGCCATTCCACGGGCATGGCCGGCGATTATTCGAGCAGATATGTCGTGGTAAACTGCAGGTAATACAAGTTTTACTACTAGCGACATCTAGCGGTTAATAGCGCTTAAATATTTAATTATTTTGGGTGGTATTGATTTTTTAAAATTATTTTATGATACATCCTGTATATTGGTGTCTGTCATTCTCGGTACTTCGTATAATATATGTATAATACTCTTGGCGTCAGCAGGAAGCAGGTTTTATCACATCCTGCAAGGAATTCAAAAGTCTCCGACGGAATTTTGAGAGTGCGTTAACTTTTTAAACTTTGCAGTACCTTTCATCTTTTGATGTGATTAATTCAGGTGTTATCCTTCGGTTAGGTACTTAAAAAATTAAATATTTACAGGTTTAAAGGATTTTTTGTTTGTAAAATGTAAAAATTACCGGTATTTATATCGGTATACCGGTATTTTATTTTTAAATACCGGTATTTTTATTTAACATCCATAAGCAAGTCATAAATCTATAATACCGGTCTTTTGATACAAAAAAATACCGGTTAACCGAAATATCGGTATTAAACTTGAAATTCACATCTCTTGTACTGACCTCCTTTCAGTCCTGAATTGTTTATACTTAATTATGGCGGCTGGGCTCCCTTGTATCATGTTTTGCAATGCGCATTTCTAATTCCGGTCTAATTCAGTTTAATAACGCGATTAAATTTGATTGCAAACTTGTAGCACCCTCGGCCATTACATAAAAATTAACTGGACATAGTGTATATTTGAATAGCTCATAAAACCTGTGTCTTTTTTATTAATTTTTTAGTTGGATACTACTCAATGGGAGTTTATCAGTGACAGCGCCAAAGATCTCCTTCAACAAATGCTGTGCGTTGATCCCAAACAACGTATAACGATACAAGAGGTCCTTAATCACAGATGGCTGCGTGTAAGTAATTTTTCAACACTTTGTTTACATTTAATCAGTTTTTATTACTTGTGTTTTGATTTACAATCGTTTTTACAACTGAAAACTGAAAAATTATTGCCATGGCTATTAAAATGTCGACGCATACTACAGCTAGGCAACACATCTTACACGCTCGTAACATTTTATTTCACACTTCTCATTTCTCATTAATAATTAAATTTAATTAGTCCGTCACGATTTAATCGCTCCATAAAACCAAAAATTAAAAAATATTTTTAGGATCGTGATAAAGCGCTAAGGATACATCTGCAGGACACCGTCGACGAGTTGAAAAAGTTCAACGCTCGCCGCAAGATGAAAGCCGTGGTCCTCAATGCAGTGCACTCTAACAAATGGAATCCATTGGACGATGTCAGTATCGACAGCTATACGGATTTCGGCGATGATGAAGTCTCTGCTAATGGTGAGTGGTAGTATATCTGGTTGCCTATGTTACACATCCAGATATCCATAGTCCACCATATGCATTATAACCTCCAACATTTTATTTTTGCATTTCATGCTTTTCTGCGCGCGTAAATTACGAAAATAATTTAAAACAGGATCAACACCTGGTTGAATATCAAGATCTAAAGTTTGGTTAGGTTTTAAGTACAATGGCAACCCTGCCAGGGCCGGAATCAAAGCATATTTCGCGTCTTTTTTAATTTTATCCGAAAAATTTGTTTCGTTGAATGTGTTTTCGATAATTTTTTGATTTAAATTTAATTCTTCGAGTTTTAAACACATCGCACATCGATAACACTCGAATAGGTCACTGTAATATTCATCACGGGTGTTTTTATCTAATGAAATTAATATTACGCTGATTAAATCAACCACCCAGGATAATATTCGACATCCTTGAAAATCAACGAATTTTGCATCTGTGTTGTCTTTTAATAAAATATTATTAGGCCACAAATCGCCGTGGATTACCACATTTTCACTAACGCCATCTATCGGTGGATAGTCTTGAAACACACTGAACACAAATAATGATAGTTTTTCTATATAAATACTGTTTTTCGGTAAGGAACTTTTTGTGAGTTTTAATGCGTCGTTTACACCTTCACGGAATATTATTTTGGTTGTGTTATGAATACATTTTAATTTCGAGGTTATTTCCTGGTAGATTTCCGGTTTGTAGTGGTGTAACGCTATAGAGTATGCGTGAAATCGTGCGAGTTGTTGTAATACTACGCGTGTTGTGGTGTAGTTTAGTGGTGTGTTGATGTCTGCGGGTGTGTAGCCATCGCTAAAGAGGTCCTCGAGGATTAGGCATGAGGAGTCTGAGTATAAACACACGGGGACACTGCTAAAAGGCACGTTGATTGTGGCGTGGAAAGTTGTTTCTAGTTTGTGGAAGTGTGGTAGTAGTTGGGAGTAGAATATTGTTTCGTTTGCGAAGTATAAATCGGCTTCAAAGTTGACTTCTTTGGTTGATTCTTCGGTTGTTGAGAGGCATTTGATAAAAACTTTTCGGGGAGGTGATAGTTCGACGCAGTATGTGTTTGGAGCTGGAGATGTTGCACGTAGAGACGTGTAGCCTAATTTTTCGAGGTTTTTTTCGATGAATTTTGGTAAAATTTGATGTTTTTCCATGTTTTCGGGCAGAAAAAAAGCACAAACGCACTTTTATGTTATTATTTAATAATTTTATAGGTTATAACATTGTTATTTTTGTGTGTTCGTAGGTAAATTATTTTTTATTAATATTTTTTACTCAGTTTTCCCGATTTTTAAATAATATTTTACGTTTTTATGAGTTTTTTACGCGATTTTTTAATGCTTTTGTAGTTTTTGCGAATAATATTTCACTGTAACGTATTTATGGGTGTTTTCGCGTGTGATAATAAACTAGTACTAAAGTTACAAGTGATAATCACAGCGATTTGATAAGAAAATTATTCATTCAGATGAATTTGTAGCGAATTAAGTCAAAGTTCAAATTTTTTATCTTTTAGAAGGTTGTCTGACTTTGAGACACTCTAACTCAGTCATTTTAAGTTATAAAATGTTAAGTAAACCGTCATTAGTAAGATAATTTATCATAGATTATTCATGCAAAAGAATTATACTGAGTGTTTTATAGTTTTACCATAATTGAGGTTCGAAAAACACGAAAAATGACAAATTTACTAAAAAATTTTACAATAAAAATGCAAATAACTCCGAAACTAATCAACTTAGACAACCCATTTTGCTTTCCCACTTATAGATTTTCAAAAAAACTACAAAATAAACAATACACAAACTCTTATATTATTTAAACAATCCTATAAACATTAAAATACTCAAAATAAAACTAAACATTTGTTATTTTTAGCTGTGCAAGCGATAGTAAATTGTCTCGACGACGTGGCTTGCCTCCAAGAATCGCGACCCGAAGAGCGTGCCCATCTGATGTCACTGCTGGACGACGCACAACTGCACCGACTGTTGGTGGTGAGTGAAAACATAATTCGAGACTCTAGAGCGCTTTAAATCGCCACACCTTGCGCGTCTTTATTCGCTGCATGTCGCATTATTATATTACCGCGCACTTATGCGGGGTTTACTGTGGTCTCACCGCCGCCGAAGCACTCAAAATGCACTCTCATGCACTCATGACTACATGACTCTATGCGACACTGTTCGGTAATTACTTTCTGCGATTTTTATTCAATTCTACAAACTAGAAAAGTAGAAAAATTAAAAATTATAGTTTAACTGCGTTTTATCATTACTTGTTTTGCATATTTTGAAGATAAATTAACCAAAAATAATTTTAGCGATAAAGTTGAGTTGAATATGAAAAGAAAAGAAAAGAATTTTTTTTTAGAAAAATTACATTGCAAGGTCTATGTTCGGTGTGTATACCACAAGTCCAACATAGTGGTTGGACTAAAATGTCTAAATTACCACGTTACGCCATCTATACTACCATAAATCAACTAAACTTGATCATATACCGCAACTCAAAGACATATTAACCACAAAAAAACGAAAATTTTAATTTTAATTTATTTTTATTGAATTAGCAAACAGTTTGAGAACTTCTGGTATAAGAACAACACAATATTTCACTCTGTAGTTGATATAATCGGGTTAAACACGCTTAAAGTATTATCACTTATCACTTATCATTGATAGTATCCTCGTAATTTATTCCGTAATAACTTTCCTCTGTTGTGGTTTTCACGTTTACGTCGTACATCATCATTCACCGTTGCGTTGCGTTGTGTTGCGTGGGTGAACCCCTGAGTTGTTGAGAGATTATGCGCAGTCGTCGCGTTTTCCGCCGGAGAATTTTCCGATAACGCGTGGCAGGAGCGCAGAGATAGTCCTGTTGTAACCGTCACAACTGATGTTTCACTTTGGTATTTAAATTCATAAACAAAGTTATTATAAACAAAGTTAGAAGTAAAGAAGACAGTAATTTTATTAATTAACTACGTTTTTACTCGCTAATTAACAAATTAAATACTTAAAAGTATACTTAAATAAAGTTTAGTGTTGTTTGGAGTAATTTTAAGTTAATTTAAGTTTAATTTTGAGTTTTAATGTATTAAATAAGTGATTTTTGATTTTATGTTTTAAATTTGTGGGGATTTGTAAGGATTTGCTACCACAACGCGTCAAATTAATATTTAAGGATAAAGGATCACAAGGATATTGATCACACAGTATCTCATTCAATTTTCATTCGGGTTCATTGTTTCTTTTTCTTTTATTTCTTTTATTTTCTTTTATTTCTTTTTCTGCTTTTTTAAATTAATTTTGAGGTTATTTTTTAAATTAATCTTAAAAATACTTAAAATATCTCTAAAGAAGTGATTATTTAATAAATTTGTTTATAATAATGGTCCGTAAACGTTACTTAAGAGCGTTTGGCAGTAACGCGACTTTTACATCTGACTTTGCTGCAATTTTAGGATTTTTGGTAATTATTCCTTAATTATTCCACATTTTAAGTTTTTTACCAATATAACCTATATTTTTATCTATTTGACTATTATTTTTATTATTTTTACCAATGTAAGTTATTATAACTAATTTTTTATCTTTAAAATGTCAAAAAATGTAATTCAACGTGCGCGTCTAAAACAGCGTGAAATAATGAGGAAGTTGACGGAAAAGTAAACGGAAACAGCGATTAATTAAAAAGGACGCTCAAGATTTCTTTCTCTTCGTTTTTCCACCATCAACTTTTTAACTTTCATAACTTTTATAACCTTTTTATTACTCTAAAGTTTACGTAAGATTGTTTTTTTAATTAGCAAATTACCTTCTTCTTCGTTTCGTCTTCGTGTGTTTCATACTTGTTGAAGTTATTTATAGATTACTCGTACATAAGAGTGAATATATACATTGACTGAGGAAGAGAAGAGAAGAGAGGAAGATGTATTAAGTTAATTTGACGTTTGAGAGATTTGGTCCTTGTCGACGTGAATATTGTGGAATGTTTGCCATCGCGTGTGGCGTGTCATGTTACACTTCTGTTGTGTGTGGGTGGATGATTGTGATTTGTGATGCTGTGGGAAATTGACTGGAGTCATTCAAGTGACAGTTAAATATTCACCAACTTAATCTATGCTTATTTGTTATTTGTTTGTGAATGAATGGAAATTGTTTTGAAATGGATACAAGTATTAACATTAGCATATTATTCTTCATTGTATTATTTCCACGCAATTACAGAGATGTCATTACAATGCAGTTATTAGAAACTAGCTTTAACCCGCGGCTTCGCTCGCGAATATCTAAAAGAATGAAGTTGCTTCCGGACGCGTCTGTAGTCACAGAAGAAGTAACAATGAAGTAGAATGGCGGGAAGTTTAAAATGGCTGAAAGTATAGTCTATGGAAGTATAGTGTACAGTCTCCATAGTGTAGTCAATTGGATTTGATGTTGACGTAGCTGTCGGTAATACAGTGTGATAATACAGTGTGATGGTACTATAGTACTTAGGTTTGAGCTTCATTGCTGGAATGCTAGATGGCGTTAAAGTAGTCAAATAGCCAGATGCAGAGGTATTATTGGCTAAACTATTTCTTTATTTTATTTAAAAAATAATTTTCTTTATTAAATATAAAGTAGCCTATAACCATTCGGGGACCACTAAGAATATGTGTACAAATTTTCATGATGATCGGTTAAGTAGTTTTTGCGTGAAAGTGTATCAAACATCAGGACAGTCGCATTTATAATATTAGTAGGGATAAATTCACTCTGCATGTGTATCAGTGAATGTACATCGAGTTTAATTGCTAGACTAGTGTGTTTTAAGATCTCGTTTTATCACAGATTGTATGTTCCTGGTTTGATGATAGTGAACGCATAATATTCACGGACAAGTTGAGACTTGTGGAATAAAATTTCTACCTGCAATATTATTATGATTATTATTGTGGTATTTTATTTTAAATGTAAATATTCTAGAAGAGTCTAGAAGTATTGTAGTTGAATGTTTTGTTTTGTTTACATCTCCGTGTTTCGTGTTTCTAGTTTTCTTATCTCTTGTGCGCGTTTCGCACCGGTCTTATCTTGTTTATCAAATTCCTCGCGCGCGAATACCGATAACAGACCAGTCTTCGTTCGTTTCGCGTGCGGTTTAGACGTCTTTTCGTGCGGTTTATTTCAATTCAATATTTTATTACTTAAATATTTAAACCTAATAATTTCGTTAATTTCGTTAATTGCGGACATTTGAACATTTTAATTAGTGTAATTAGTGATTTTTGTCCTTGTGTGCGGGTAATTCAGGTAAAAATTATAATTTTATTGATTTTAACTGAATTTGTAGCGAATTATGAGTTTTATTAATTAGTTTTTGGAATAATTTAGTTAAAATCATTAAAATTTATTGTTTTTATATTTTATTTACATATTTTTATCATTTTTTCTAATTTATTCTCATAATTCTCTCGGTATTTATAAATTTTATTATTATTATTCGTTTTGCTTTCTTTCAACATTCTTCTCTACCTTTAAAAATTCATAAATGCAGCGCATACAAACAAAAGAATAATTACACATTTTCTTGTTTCGCTGGTGAAAGTAAATTATGCGTAAAATATGAAATGAAATGTCTGCAAGGTATTATTCATCACACAATCACACACACATTCAAATTCACCCCTGTGACATTTTCTTTACGTTTTATTCTCGTGTTGCGATTTAAACCGAGTGATACGCTAATAAATATTCAAATTTATGCTAATTTATTTACAAATTACGGGTAGATTATTAGATTATTAGAAAACAGAGGGTGAATGCTTGCGTTTTGCTTATCAGACTGAGACAAGTCATGAAATATCATAAAACAACATAAAATCGCATAAAATTACATTAAAACATAAAAAAATCTATTTTATATAAAATTATGCGTTGAAATATATAAAATAACAAACAATTAAAGTAAAAACATAAACATTCTTAAAAATTCAACTTGAAAACATGTTTAAAATGCAAAGTTTATTTATAAATTGCATTTTTTTATTTGTGTTTAATTTATTTACAGTTGTTCGATCGAATCAGCAGTAAAGTTGTCTCGCCAGTCCGTGCGCCACCTGGCGATGGAGTGCAACGCGCCCGCGACGCCGCCGACGCTCTGCGCGAGATGGACCATCGTCGCGACGCCGACCATAGAGATCTGCAGGAGCTGCGCGACCTGCTGTGTCGTCCGCATTTTAAGGTAGGAAACATTCTCTTTTCCTGCTGTTTTAAAATCAATATTATTACACTTTGAACCACTTCACACATAGATGGCGTTACTCTGCCTGCAGGAATTAGTGATTTATTTACAAATTCTACTTTTCTCATTATAATTTCACCTTTTGTTTTGTTTCTACCATTTTACACTTTAATCCTTCAGGAAAACATTACACAAAGATAAAATCGTTATGTTTGTATTTCTATAATAACAAAATCCTTGTTTATTACGGGCTAAAACGATCAAGGACTTTTGTTTTGTTTCATTTTGTTTCATTTACGAACTCAACAAGCAGAAAAAGTTGCCTAAAGTTAAATCAATTGGAAATTCTCGTCCTGTTTATCGATTTCATTGAAATTTCCTCCACAAAAACGTAATTATTTAAATTACAGACTTTCCGCATACAATTAATTAATTAACTTAACACAAAAAAAGTCAATTGTGAGATATTTCACCATCATCCTTACAAGGATAACCGCCAACCACACAATCGGCTAGTAATTCTCCCTTCAACCAAACCCGAACTGCGGTACAAACTTTCATACAGATTGCAAGTTAGCCTGCAATGCAACTCTTGCGATAGTGGTCCTCGTGTATCCTCTCGCAAGGACTTATCTAAGTGTCATAGTTGTCTCCCGGTTGTGCAAAGTGTGTCACATCACACATCACACAAGTGAAGTTACTACTTACTTCACTTTACTTATTTTTCAAGGCGTAGTTTTGTTTTGTGTTGTAGTTTTGCAGTTTTTACCGTGTCAAGGTTTGGAAGTTTGCAAGCGCAGCAGAAACATTTTAGTTTTCTCGTTTTAGAGGGGAAGCAGGGGGTGGGGGTGAGAATGAACAGGGTAGCAGAGGGTAGTTTTGTGCTGGTGGGAATTGGGTCAGCAGGAAGTAGTACGAGTTGCAAGTTGCAATCGCCGCGAGTAACATTACTCTTCGTCCGGATGGGGGGCGGGTATGGTGGGTTAAAAACTATCGGTTTTTGTGACGCCCCGCAAGCCAAGAGGGATGAACTGCCGTATCAGTTATCAGTTATTGCACAGCAGTGTTGTAAAACGTTTTACAACTTTAATAATGGTTTAAATTTTATGTTTTTGGGGAAATATTTGGAAATTTGCCAAAAAATATACGAAAACGACGAAAAATTATTTTTTTATTATTTATAAATGTTTATTGATATATTTTATTTGTTACTTTATTAAATTTGAGAGGGTTATAGAGGTATCTTTAGAAGAAAATGTATGAAACGCTTTGAAAGTTACTAAAAGTTGAAATATTGCAATCAGATCAGTTTTTTGACGATTTTTGAAACTTTAAACGCGAATATCTCGAAAACTCTTGGACGGATATTATTTAAATTTTACAGGGTTATGTATTTTACAAGAATTTAATTCGTAGCCAAATATCTTTTAAATATGCAAATCCATTCTTTAAATATTCATAAAAAACTGTGTCAAAAATTGTCAAAACTGAAAATTACCCAAATTTCCATCAGTAAATTGCTAATAACTTTTATAAAACTTAAAAAATTTCAAAAATTCTTTTACCACATTATTTATTACACTAAAACTCATTTATCGTCCAAAAATCATATATTTAGGTCCACTAGTTATTTAGTTATAAACATTAAAACACTTTCCTTTGATACTATTGATTTTATACCGCATTGTCTTGATAATTTTTCCAAACGCCTTCGTTTTGTGCGACAAGGTGATGATCGGTAATGACGGAAGACATTAATCATCGCCGCGTCATAGCAATAAACTCGCGCAGCGTCGACGGTGGCGGCGGCAATAGCGCGAAAACCGCCCCCGAACGCGCCTCAAGCGGCTCAAAGCGCTCAAAACGTCATGCATACATGCGACTGGGGGATGCTTTAACCGCGACGCTCCACATCACTCATTTCTTCGTTTTTTTCATCCCCTATGTTTCATACTCATATATTACATCAAAAAACATAATAAATTCCCAAAAATTATATTTTTTATTTTAAAACTTAATTTTTTATTTTGTTTCAGGTGAGTCCTATGTTTATAATTCAATCTCCAAGGCAGAATAATCCAAGGTAATTAATTTTAATTATCCCGCTAGTAAATTATGTAAAATAATCGACAAACACGATTTCACGCTCTGAATGGCAGTCAATCGACTTGCTTTTCATCCCGGTATCCCTCTATTAGTCTTTCGAAGGAAATGTATCAGTTGTGCTGCACTCGTGCGCCATCTATACGTCATATATACGCAACAAAGGGTTGCAGTGTGCGCATCCGCGACGTCGGCGGCGGCGGCAATGATGGCGGCGCAGCATTCCCGGCGCTAGTACGACACGAGCGCAACCGTCGGACGAACGGGACGCGGGTGTGCTGGCTGCGCTGCATCCGGGGCTCGTTCGCCGCCGCCGCCGCCGCCGCCACCACCACCGCACGTTTTGTACATAAATACAGAAAAAAAATTACAACACGCACACACGATACGATGTATGTAGTTAAATAAAAGTAAACAGCAACAAAAACTTAATAACGGTTCAAATAAAAGTATAAATAAATACATAATAAATAAATACAAGTAAATTCAACGCACAAACGTATAAACTAATTCGATAAAGTAATACTTGTAGAGTTTAATTTCTAACCTAAAATATTTTAAACACGAGTTGTTGTTTGATTAAATTTAAATTTAAATGGTTCGTTGTTAAAGTGTAATAATGTGTCATCTTGTCATCTTGCATTTTACATCCCCCCGAGATTAATTAATAATTTGTTATTAATTGTATCGGGTAATTGTAACCACTAAGTTGTTTGTCATGTTTGATCAATATTTTATTATTGGGATTATTAATTTCATGGCGCATCCACCATTTATTTTCGTAAAATTGTAGTTTTTTCAAAAAACATAAAAATTTACTTTATTTATTATTTATTATTGATTTTTATTAAGAGTTAGGTAGAGTTATTTGGGAAAATGATAGAAATTTATAGGAAAGTTGAAGAGTTTGGCAAATATTTAATTTATTTTATGGCGCCTCCACCATTTTTTCTTAAATTTGCTCTAAAAATCGTAATTTTACTTAGAAAACTTCAAAATTTATTTATTTTTCTTTAACTAATGATTATTATTAACAATTAAGTTGATAAATTTGCGTTGATTGAGTGAAAATGGTAGAAATTGACTGAAAATGATAGAAAATTGAAAAAGTTTGGCAAATATCCAATTAATTTATTAGCATTTTTATTCCGATAGTATTCAAGGGTTAATCTAAGCGTGGTTTGATATATGTGCGTGGGGACATCATGAAAAATGCGATTTGATGTTGATGGAGATACTTTTCGACGCGGAATGACAAGATTAACTCGCAAAGTTATGCTCCGTGTAGGATAACGCGTTGATTTATCGTCTGCGTAAGGACGAAACGCAAGGATTCACATCCTCTGCGTGTGGGTGCATATTGTGTCAGAAACAGCCGGAAAAGTTCCACAAAGAAACAAAAACAAAAGAAAATATTCACATTTTTAGCAAATTTTTACGTAATTTTTGAATATTTTTTAGTTTGGTAATTAATTTGGTTGATATTTTGTATTTCCAAGCTTTCTGGGTGAAGATATACGTGTGCTTTATGCCCGCGCGAAAATTGGCAGCGTACAGCGCACGCCGCTAAGTAGTTTCCGAACTAGTTGGGAAATTAAAATGAGATTGGCGTCGTGCGGCGCCTTCGCCTACCCTCTCCTTCACTTTCGAGCTAACTTTTCGGGGCGAAGAAGCCGATTTAATTAAGAAAATTTCGCGTGCCAGCAACACGCTTACACCAGGCATAAACCTAAAGCTAAAGAGTTATTTGAATCAAATATATATTGTAGAAAATTTATAGTTTTCTAAGAATCAGGGAAAATCTAATTAAAGTTTGATATAACAGCGAAAATGATGATTTTTGTGGTTAAAACATGGGAATTATGTTCATGCGTGATTTTTTGCGTGTTTGTTTGGCTTGTTGCTGACCGTTGCAGGCGTAATCGATCGGAATCCGCGCCGAAGCAATTTCTTTCGTGCCCGTTTCCGTCGGCTTTCCTCCGGGCCTCCGGGGCTCCGGGCTTTTCGTGGCTGCGAGCGCACTGTTTGCACAATAGATCGAGCAATACGCGGCCAATGGATTTCGCTATTCAGGCGCTCGCTGGCTTTTAGAATCTTGGAATCTAGGAATCTAGGCATTGCGAGATCTAGGAAGCCTTTGGGAAATTTTTCCTCTCCTCGGGGTTTTCACGCCAACGAGGTTATGAGCAAAAGCTGCGAGCTGATAAAATTGAATGGCTTCATTTTAAACATGTTGATATTTTTTGTGTTTTTTGAGATTTTTGATGCAATGAAAGGGTAAATAAGAAAAATTTAAATTGTTAAGCGTAGGTTTTATGGTAGGACAGGTTTTGGTAAAATGATTTTTAAATGTTTAATGTTTTGAATAAGTTATGGTGAATTTAGTGCGAAAAACTACGTAATTCTTTGTTTTTGACTCATTTTGAGACAATTTTTAGACTATTTTATTCAATTGGGAATATCTCGTAAACTAAAAGAGATAAATAGGATCTGATTGCAGCGTTTTAATCTACGGACTATTCTCTATCAGATACGATCGTTAAAACAGAAATCTGAGAGATGAAATTTTCATTCTTAAGAAAAAATTGCCAAAGGGGGGGGTGCTTGATACTTTTTTTCGACGATTTTTGATAATTCATATCTTTTAAACTAAAAGCGATATCAACCAACGAATTACTGATTATGAAAGATTGGAAGATTCTCTATCAGATAAAAATATAAAATAATTATATTTTCTACAGTAAAAGGTCGAAAAACGCGACTAAAAGTGCTAGAAAGTGACATTTATCAATTTTTGCCCATTTTATTCAATCGCGAATATCTCGTAAACTAAAAGAAATAAATAAGATCTGATCGCAGCGTCTTAATCTACGAAAAATTCTCTATAAGATAGGACA